CCTATTACCTAGATAATCCTTCTACAGCTTGCTTTTCTCTCCCGCCACACACTCGCTCGTGTGACCGCCCATCAATATGACACCACGTACGTTACGCCTACTTACTGGAAAGTCTGCGCTAGACGCCGCAAAAGTAAGCTGCCGCCTCCGTCGCCGCCATGGCGCACGGGACATGTAAGCCCCGATGCCAGCTACCCGGAACATTGATCGGCTTGGGGAGTGGTCTATTGGCATTCCATGGACGAACTGCTCGTACTCATCCTGTAGGTATGCGCTCCCAAGTAAACCAGTAGGCATCGATACTATAGTATAAGCATGGACCACCTCATGTTCCAGCGACGTCAGACTGAGGATAATATTGCCCGAGTTGTTTTTTTTTTAATAAAAAAAAACATTAACGAACAGCCTACCCATTCGTAGTAATTATGCTGGTGATCTACCGTTCGAAATGATGTGCGGTGCGTGCGGCACGGATCCGCACGAGGAGCTGTCGGGAATAGGTATTAGGTAGTGCAAATAGACTAGGCTAGGGTGGGAACCAAGGTAGACTGACTTACAGTAAACAATGCTTGGGATAAGAATATTCCAGTCAATCCCGCCTGTCCTGGAAGAGTGCCCGGAAATAATCATGTGTGCAAAGCCCGACGAGTCACAGACATCATGCTGTTACCTACTTCGTCGACTTCCCATGTCAGCCAACGTAATGGCGGAAGGCGAGGTCTCAGAACGACGCCGCCGCCCGTCAGTCAACAACAAGGCTGAAGCTTGGTAATGCGGGTTAATTATGATTACTGATCGTTCTGTAGATCTACTAGCGCGCCAGTGGCCAGGTCCTGGTAAGGCGACGGATTGTGGCTCGCGGGTTGAGACTATACACGTTGTTGCGTTGAGCCTTGGTGGTATTCCTATGGTAGTGAATGAAATATGAAACATCAGCAGCACTATGCGAGCCCCTCCAGTAATACGACTAGAGTAGGAAGCAAATTACCTAACAGCTAAGCCAAGAAAGAATCTGCGTACTTACACTATGTTACCAACATGCGGACCTAGTAGATACGTGCAGTCTACGCTAGAGAAAGGAAGACCTGCCACAACTTAGCGTTCATCCGTCGGAAGAGGTGTCGGGTCAGACTCGAGAGGGCTTCAATAATAAATAATACATGTACGCCACTACTCTCGGAAAGGATATATGAAGCGACAAAAGGATAGTAATGCGTACCACAATTGCAAGCAAGCAAAACGTCAAGAGGGGACTTAGAGTTTGCTGGAGACGACTTCAGCACATGGCAGAATTGATAAACTTGGCTAGCCATGCCATGCCATCTCAGGTACGTCAAGCTGCCGAATATGGATCGGAATACATTTCTCATGTACTATAGGTACTAGGCACGTAATACTGGAATGGTGTTAAAAATATACTTACACAAGTAAAGCGAGTTTCTGTGGCGAATGGCTTCGTTTTAGCACCTCCTTACTATGTATGTACTTATGCAATAGTATGTTCATATGAGACCTCTCCATGTCCATATCCAAGTTCCGAAAATGGAAGATACGGCTTGCTTGTTTATGTAGGTAGCAACCAACAGGTTTACATCCAGACAACAGTACTTGAAAACCTCGGTTAGAGAGGGAGAGGGAGAGGGAGAGGAACGAGTTCATGTGGACTGCACATTGCAAAAACAAGAGTCGGCTCGCGACGAACAACGGAGAACGAGGACTTGCCGAAAAGTTGCAGCAGCAACTGACTCGAACGTGCAATGCCGGCGCTGTTCGTCGGCACATCGCATTGTCGATTATGGTAAAGCCTGCGCTACTATTACAATAAACATGCACCCAAGTACAGTAGGACGTCCATGACGGCGGCGGCGGCGGGACACTAGCCCCGTAGGGGCCCCCTTCGTCATGATGGACGTCGGTGGATAGGCGGGCGAGCGGGACCTAGCCAGAACCTAGCGTACCTGGCTTGCCTGCCTACCATTCTTAGTACAGAGATAGTACAAAATAAAAAAAGGACCAGACCTCGACGTGACGGCGTGTCTCTCTGGTGGACATGTTGCGGATGTCTTGTGGTGGACGTCTTGTGGGCGTCTTGTGGACGGCGCTATAATTAGTTGACAAGCTTGACAAGTGCAGGAGGCGTGTACGAGACGAAGCTACTGTACGCTACAGCACGCTACTGATGCCGGCGTAAGGGGTCGATCTCAACGGCTGTCGGCGGTGGCATGTGGGTTGGTTCGTCGCCTCGTCTTGCCAATTGAACCAAGGACCAGAACCTTTCGAGAAAGAACCAAGGATCGTCAGCATCTGTCCATGTACGAAGTAGGTACTGTTACCATATTCAAATCTCCAAATCTCCGTGTGCTCTCGCTCTCCACACGCCGCCCACACGCCCGCCCGCACGCGCACGCACGCACCGCACACCTCGGAGAATTCCATCTTAGCCTACCCTACATACTTAAGTAGGTATTTACCTAGGTGTTCACCTAGGTAGGTTTTCCAGTACCACCGGGTATACTTAATGTCCAGCAAAAACTTCCAATGCATTTACAAATATATTCACACCCGTTCGTCGGAAGTACTGCTGGAGTTTATATGTCCCGCTGCATGACATGCGCTACGTAGCCTAAAATCTAGTGTCTGCCTACCACGGAGTACACAGTAGAGTATGTCCCTACATACAGTATTTGAAGGTACCTGTAGTGAATGAAATACGGTACCTGGGTATGTCAAAAGGCATTCCGCAGTGGATTGAACTACCTACCAGTGAGGTACTTTCTGACAGTTGACATTTCCATAGCACATCTTTCACAGCAAAGTTCCTACCTTAGGTATGTATGTACATTAATTATGTACTGTACGTCAGTCCCGTCAAAAGCCCTCCCGGTAATGGCAAGTTGATGGACGCCGTCAATTTTGCCCGCCTCGGACCCTAAAATGATGTGCACTCAGTTACCCTCAATGGCCGGCCAATCATGAAATCATTATCGGATTTTAATTAGCCGAGTTTAGTCTACTATGTACTTAGTTTATCTGACTCTGTCTGACCTCGAACGCACGTTCGCCAGCGAGCTAGGTAGTTAGTTAGTTGTTCATGCTCCTTACTTGCTTCAGTAGGAAGCCATGAAGCGACCGACGGAGCCAAGTTTTCTTCACCATTACATTCCTTCCGAGTCTTGCAATTACTTAACTTTACCATCAATTCCTCGACTTCATTTGCGTTTCATTGCTCTTACTTCTTCAACCTTTTCGAGCAACTGGGCAGTGAAGTGAATGAATGGACCACATAATAGTGGCTGTTGTCACCGGTGTCGACTCTTGATATCCCGGTTTAGAGTTTTGGCAGGACCGGTCCGACGCCGATAGATAAGTCAGCCTAGGCCGGCAAGCAAGCATTCGTAGAGCTGTCCGTTGCAGCAGCAGGGAAGGAGAGGAGGCAGAAGCCGGGGCACGTGTATTTTCAATGTATCATCAATCTGCACATTACTCGTCCAAATCTGGAAATGCAGGCCGTTCCACCTGACTGGAACGTACTCAGCATTAGTCAATGAATAGTCAATGAGTCGTCATCCTCGGCCGGAACACATTTGCAAACTTTCGGAGGACACCAGCCAGAGCCAGCTCGAATGCCCCCGAAGCAACGCCTTCGCTTCGAGTCGAAGTTCCTGCTCGGTCTTTACGTCTGCCATGTAACAATCGTTTGATTGACACCCACAGTCCGCAAAGCCAAACCTGCATTCCGCGATGCCGAGCTACGTACGATGCACAGTCGACAGTCCTCGTTCTACCTCCATACCTGCCTCGAGAGTCTTGACCTACACGAGTATGAGTTCTTAGCGTGTAGCAGTGCTGAGCTATGATTCAAGATCAATCGCCCAGGTCTGGTCGGCGTCATGCGTACATCTGCGGCTCTTGACGAATCGCACAGTACATTTGCTGTTTTTTGTTGCGTGGCTCGTGGGCACTGCGATCTTTGAGTATAGTTTGCACGTCCAGCAACTGGCAGTAGCACAAAGTTCCTGACTCGTTTCTCTTTTCTGTCGTTTCCTTTTGCCTTTCTCTTGTCTTCCTGCTTCATTTCCTATAGTATTGCTGCAGATTACCAAACATAGATTGTCACTCCTGTGACATGATTCACGGCAGCAACTCGAGTGAAATGCCAGCGCCAGAAAAAAATAAAATAAAGTATGTACTCCGTAGCACTCTTCGAGAGTCAGTCCAATTTCTTCAACCCGCACGGTCAAGCAGGGAGGTTGCTTTGTGGAGAGAGGATGTGGAGAAGGGAATCTTGAACTGGAGCAACATTTACTACAGTACTAACAGGTACCAGGGCAGAAACCAGGGTTGGGACCGTAACATGCAATGACACCCGCCTGTGCAAGGTCTACCCCTGAAAGCCTCTTCCTCTCACTAGCACAGAACATCGGGCAATTTTATCTGGCTACCAAGACCCTAACCGCTACATCTGGGGGTGCCTCACAGAAACCTTGTTCCCAGCCGGTTCCTAGGGTCTTGCTCGCGCGGCAAAGCGCACCAGATACATCGCGCTACAGCCACTTCAGGGTTGGCTACCTCGTCAGACGGCGGATGGCTCGAGTGTGTACACTAGGTAGGCTTGTACACGCGCCCATGTACCTCTCTCGCTGTCGGTCGTGTGTGTTTCTCTACACACACCATGCTCCCTCGCCTCTTCTCTTCCAGCCCTAGTCCAGGTCGATGGTCTTTTGGTCGAGAAGACCCTTAAACCCATGGCCATGTGGCCCGCTCGGTTGCTTGGTGCCACCCCAAAGGCTTAGCAGGTCGACAGACTTCTGAAGAGTCATGGATTGGTACCTACTGCGTACTTGCCTGCAGGCTTTACACCTAGTTCAGGCCTACGCCACTCCACACGCAGTCAGTATTGGGTATGGTATACTGGTGGTATAATGTCGACTACTATTAGAATAGTGTAGCTGTCTAGCACAGTACGACAGGACTCGCATGTCCTGACTTGGTCCCCCTCGCATGGTTTCCGACTACTTCTGGCTTAGTTAGACTCAGTGTGCGTACATCTACACTCTATATGTATAAAGAGAACTTCAACTTAAGCCTCCCCTCCCCTCCCCTCATGGCCATTCATGTACCTACTACACCGGCGTGCTCCTTCCACTTCTTTGACTTCTCCCAAGACGCTCTTTTGAACCTTGAAGTTCAAGTACTTGTGTGATAAGAATTGAATTGTATATATATATAGAACTATTGGACCGTCCCACCGAATTCGCCTTCTTTCCGAAACCAGGGTTTTATAACACTAACACTGCTACTAAATTCTCAACGAGGCGTTGGATATATCGTTCTCTTTCCTTGGGCGTGGATCGACCCGTCGCTTCATAACAATCTAAGAGCTCAAAGTCCATCGACTAAGCTTAGGTTTCATTTCTAGAATAAGGGAAAAGCCAGGCTCGGTTCTGCCCTGACCTCTGGGCCGGTCTTGCCATAAACACGATTAGACCGCACCTGGCTGCCACTCGCTGCTGCTGCTGCTGCAAGTCGACTTTGCTGAAGCTAGGAGGCTAAACGATTTTTCCTGCTCCCCTTCGTTTGGAACTACGCAGCAAATCCGATAGCTAGGGACGGTTTCATATTTATTCTCGATCATCAAATAGACATGTTTAAACTCGGCTGTCTTGTGGACGGTTCCTCTCCAAGAGAGGTGCCTTTTGATCGGATTCGCCCAACCCACCTGCGCAGAGATGGACACGAGCCGGAACGAATCACTCTGCCGCCCATTCGCGAGGTAACCCCGCCTTCTAAGTTCTCAAAGGAGAATCTAACACATATCTAACATGTTCTCAGGCTTTTCCTCAAATCCTGGAAGATGTTCCTTCTGAATCGGCGAGAACGCCGCCATCGGCTGTGTCGCCCGTTAAACCATCCCCGGAGTACCTTTATTCTCCCAATCAGGTAAAGGGAAGACGTGCGTCTCGCGAAGAAGAGAGAGAATTCGATAGGGCTAGTCAAGTACCACGGTTCTATCCCCATTCACAAGCCGGATCCCGTCCACAGTCACCAACTGCTTATGGGTACTGTCCTTCAGGTCCCGCGTATTCGAACAGCTCAAGCCCCAACTCTAGAGTAATGGACATCGGAAACCTAACGGCGCCTCATGATCAAAAGTTGGGCCACGGCACTCTGTTTGCACAATTTCCTCCTTTGTGGTCACCTACAAGTCTCGGGCCATGTGAACGGAGGGACGCAAGACGACTACCTCCTTTACCACCAATGAATTATGATCTTCCAGTTCGTACGCGCGGCCGCTCCAATGATGTGCAAACCTCTGAGCACTCCAGACCGCCCAACATGGTCTTCGGCGGCGGCCCCTTCGCGGAAGCCGAGAACCAAGCGTACATGCGTTTAAACCACAGCTACGGCTATCACCATCCGAACAGGCCCCAGTCACTCTCTGTCGGGTCGACACCCCTCGATGGCACACAGTATCCCCCTGGTGCCTACATGCCGCCTTACCAAGACCAGTATCTACACATGAACGACATCGCCGCGGGAACGAACGGCCAAAATAAGGAGCGCAGACGCCGCGGCAACCTGCCCAAAGAGACTACGGACATACTCCGTAGCTGGTTCATGGCTCACCTGGTTCATCCGTATCCAACCGAGGACGAGAAACATGAGCTAATGAGACGGACAGACCTGCAAATGAGTAAGCTAATGGCTAGAACGAGTCTATCCTCTCTAGGTCTGCCTCGCTCAATCCTTGCTAACTTCGAGCACAGATCAAATCTCGAACTGGTTTATCAACGCTAGACGACGACAGTTGCCGGGCATACTGAATGACGCACGCGCCGAGCAAGCAGCGTTGAAGGGCCGCGCGGTAGATCCTACACTCAAGCGAGACGCGACAGGACAAGTTCCCGGAGAAAACCCGCACAGCGATGGCGAAACGAGTTACGAGGAACTAGACGTAGATCCAGGTCTACGGCGGCCCCGAAAGAAACGGGGAAGCATTTAGTGGCGTTTCACGATATCCTATCAACTCCTTTTTTTTCTCTATTATTGTTATTATTATTTCGTACGGGTTGTCGAATTATTGCTACTACAGCGGACATGGCGTTTTTCTAGGATGCACACTTCTATTGGGCAATAGGGGTATCGAGCATTAGCGCGTATGGCCATGGAAGATTAGAGACCCTACGACTGACGATGTCTTTCTCCTCGCGGTGCCAAAGATCTAGCTCCGGGATTGCAAGACGACGACATCACGGGATTCGGATTGATGAGTGGCCATCGATGGCTTCAGCTGAATGATACACTTGTGTATGATATTTTTCTCTGGTAACTATACTTTTTGGTGGGAACTGGAATTTTGGAGAAACACAATTTCTCCTCCAGTCTTGTATATATTGCACTGGCGAGGCGAACTGAGAAGAAGTATGAGGGTGGGGACGGACTTGAATCGAGCACACGACTTGTAGCGGTGCAGAGAGAGAGAGAGCCCCAAGCCATGGTCTTCTGGTCAAACTGCGTGGAGGATCCAGGCTCTGTGAAATCCAGCAATAAAACCTCGGTATTATTATTAACCCAAATTCTTCCGTTTAGACTCTAAACCCTTGATTCCCATGTGGCGTGACTCTACCGTGTTGCTCTACTTAGGGCAGCATCAAATTGCTTGCAGATCTCTCCCGAGCAACCCGTCTTCAAAATCCCACGAGTCCATGTCACGTACCCATCGGCCGTACCGCCTCCCCTTGGATCGCCAGTAGGGGGGAGTGGTCTCGGGATATGACCGAGTGGTATAGCCAAGTTAACCTCGGATCACTAGACCCAGCATACGTTTACGCCCCCCTCTCCCCCCTCTCTATCTATGTGCGGACTAAATCGAATCTCTAGAAGCCGTCAACGAATAGCGCGGTTTGCGGGCCCTGTCTACTGTGACACTTGTAGTTCCTCAGACGAGTTACATACTATGTCTGTCTACATTACTCGCACTAGATATCCCGGTTCCTTCCCTTCGGTATAGGGGATTCCGACATGACTTGACTCGACGTCGCCTACTGATTATATCCTATCGCCTAGATCAAAGTCCTAAGGATGAATTTCCCCCCTATCACTAACCCCGCACCCGTAGCGCCAAAGGATCGTGACATGGAACTACTGTAGGTACACAGATGACAGGGAAAGATTTGGAGCCGCTATTAAGAACTTGGGATATCTCGTGATAGGTTAATCTAGTCTAAGCGTGAAAGGTTTTTTTTTTTTCTGGTTTGACAATTGACAGAAGAGCCATCTTCTGACTCGTCTACTAGGTTCGCACTTGTCATACTTGACGGCTGCCAGAATTCATTACTCTAAAAATTCGAAGAGGAACACAATAACAACACAGTTTCAACGACTATGGCATCGCCAGAACCTCCTTTGTAATTTTTGATATTTTTTTCCAATCAGTACTGAATAGCTCGCTCAACCCCGAGAACACACCAACTGCCCAGCCGGTGACTCACACTGCGTCGTAAGCCAGTGAAGAAGCTCTATTACGCGTTCGATATTCGCTTTCCAACTAGTATTCATCAAAGACTAATTGAAAAAAAAAAACCTGGTGAAGGCAACAAGGTCGATGAAGAAACTCCTTGTCTTCCTTTCATTATAACAGGCTTCCGTCTATCATAATATGCCACGAGCATACATAAACTAGTGTTTCTTCCATTTGAGACATCAGCTTTATATATTTTCTTGCTTGGAGGAAAGGTGTCCAACATGCAACTTAGACTGCCATGATCAAGGGGGTGTATATATAGTGGGTTGGGGTACTATGCAACGACCGACTTACTCTACCTATGATCCGATTTTACTTTACGTTCTGTGCCGGGAGAATTTGTCTGCCACATAGTAGGACCCTGACAGTGGTAAGTAAAGGACCTAGCTTTTGCATACGCCTCCTTGTTCTCCCTCTCCTCCTATTCCGACCTCAAGCAAACTTCATCTCCTCTTCATGATTCTATTCATAGACAGATGGGCCGCGACGGCCATTTTAGAACTTTTTTTTTTCTCGATGATCTGCACAGGCATATACGAATCTTCACATTTCAGGGCAAACGAAAATCCAGGCAAATTAGGTTGTTGTCTAATGTTTCGTTAACTAGCAAGGATAGGCCCCCCTAGTACGTACGCGCAAACGGTAAGCAGGCAAATTTCCTTGGTGGAAGTTTTTTCTTCTTGCCAGGTTTATTGGATAATTAGCTATGATTACTCGTGAGATGGATACAACATGTATATTATATATGTATGTATGTAATTCAAACCCATCGAAACCGAATGGCCTTGGATCCCTAAGGATTTAGGCGTTTAGTTGTTACACTTGGCTCTCGGTTTGTCGGACATCCCTTCCTTGGATACTTGCCTCCTTGAGAGTCACCACCAAGACTAGCCAATCCCCTTTCGTGGTTTAAGAATAGGTGATGCATGGTACATTTGTATAGTGAATAACTATGCCTTTTCAGGTAAATGGTCTTGTTGCTATCCATGGACTTTTAGGAGAGGGGTATCACAGTAGATAGCGTAAGCATCTCTTCTATCTCGTTTTATCAGTCTGCCAGTCAACTTGTCTACGTGTTCACTGGCTGAAGTTTTCTACTATTTCTTGATTGGCAATGGCACCTTTCTTGTCTGTCTGCCAGTTTGTACTTGATATATCACGTCTGGTTTCATTCCTGTTTCCCACGTCACGTTGTTGTATGTGTGACACGTATGTAATTCTCAGTAGGTAACAGGTTATCTGGCTGCCTACTTACTTACACAAATGTACCCAGGTAAATGCTCATTCGCTTGACAGTATCGATTACTGTGTTCGCATGCCGTGAACCAGCAAGTCGAAGCGACCAATGACCTTGTCTAAAGTGCCGCAGACAATGCCTAACGGGGTAACTGCCAGACCAGATAGATATTCCCAGCAACAGGCCCCCCGCTACGGCACTTGTACCTGTTTGTACCTCTACTAACTTACTTAAGTATTTACATACTTACCTACTTCTCGCCTGGATGCCAAGGCACCACTAGTGACATGACCTGCACTACATACACTACAGTACACTACTGTACCTACTGTACTAGCCGGTGGGCTCATCGTGCTTAGCCATATCCACAGCATCATGACAGTGGACTCACTTAGTATCTGATAGGTAGTAGTGTAGTGGAGTGCAGTGGAGTGTGGTGGGTATAGGTACCGCGTGCTTAGGGGCGTAACGTGCCAATGCCAACGCCCCTGTCAACTCAGATCTGATCCTCTTCTTCCCTCGACCTGTCCATGACTTAGTAATGTTGATATAATACATATACATGCTGATCGTAGGTAGTGCAAATACCAAGCAACGGTTTTCGCTCTCTTCTATTCCTGGGCTCGTACGAGGGCCCCTCTACTATGCATGCCGAAGGCATACCTTATATTAAGTACCTAGTTGCACTTTCTTTCTCAAGTACTTACCTCCTTACATACTGAGCAATGATACCTACCATAACCCTAAGGAAGGTCCCAGTTTCATGAATACATATACGGTATGTGTATAGCAATATTATACAGCTGGTCAGTATCTATGTAGGTAAGTTCCTTGATTACTCGCTTTGCTTGCTAAGCTGACCTAGGTGCGCTCCTATCTTCGTTTCCTAACCCTCCTAACTTAAGCTTGTGTCCTAGATTAGAACTCAGCTATCAAGGTTGTTAAGGTTATCAACATAAACGAAGCAAGCAACCACCAAATCTTATCCTATCTATATGTCGAGTTATACGCAACGGTGTTGGTTCATTCCGGAACTCATATCCATAGGAACTAGTGGCTTTGCTACAGATCACATAGAGTATGCCGATGTTCCGTTCAACCAGTGTAAATCCCAATCCTGGCTCTTCATAGTCATACTCGAATGATATACTTTCGAGCTGTACTCCAAAATGCAGACGTGCTTTAAACATGCATATATATAGTACATGCGCATGCAAAGCCTAGTTACTATGTAGTAGTATGTAGACACCCCAGTTCAACATCTTAATATGTGCTAGTATCGGTGTAAATAAATAGATGGAACCTTAATAACGTCACTTGAACACACTTGATGACCTATCCCTCTTGCTAAGAGGATGCAGGAAACCAAGACCGGGATTGGGATGGGTGGGTGGCGAGAAAAGAGAGAAAGAAAAAAAAACCTTCGCTGCGGCTTCGCGGCGGCGGGCATGAGCACCCGGTCCTAACCCCTTGCATTATTCGCTGCAGACTCTCTCACACACGATCGTAAGATGCAGATGGGTATACTACTATAAGTATCTGTATCTACATACTTAGGTAACGCATCTACATTACAGTAGATCTGTACCTGGGTTCCAGCCGATCGCGGAACCAATCTTTCGCCCCCTCGCTCTCATACTTTTCCCGCTTTTATTTCCCGTTGCTGTCCACAGCCCACGCTGAATCGCGGCCATGTGTACGTACCGAACTTGTCTTAACTGAGCAGCGTCCCAGTCAGCCGGATCCGAGGTTAGAACTCTGGTTAACTCTTAGAGACACGCCCTCTCATGCCTCGTTAGTGTCTCGATTCTACGTGTACGTGTCTATATTGTATCTAGTCACACATGCTAACCCATCTATACGTGTACACATGGTCTACCAGAGCAGAAGACCAGTGAACCTGGTGTACTATCATAGTGCGGAATAGTGACACAGTACACCAGTCGTGAAAGCGGCATTTCTCGCAACAACTTGCTGGCACATAGATTATCTGCGATAAGTATACTCACATACCGACCGCCCCCAATACGTGTACGGCGTTATAGCCTGGGAACCCAACCCCAGAACCTGGTCAACAATGACGCGCTTCCTTCCTCTCAACCTTTCACATCTCCGTCTTGACGCCTCACGCCCACTCGCCTACTCGCCCGGTGATGGGAGCCCCTGGTCTGATGAAACCCCAAGCGAGAGATGGCTCTATCAACCCGGCCGTCCTCCACCTGTGCCTGCTGCTCTGACGTGCTTATATTCGGCACTAGTGAGATTGCTTGGGATTTGCGAGCCAACAGCAATTGTCATTCGACAGCTGACCTGTCTAGGATTCTGCAGCCCGTTACGTCAAGTGCTGGCCCAGCGAATTGTTACCTGCCTGAGGAAGTCCGAGCCGCCTGACTACATATGCGCGGGAAGCACAACCCCTATCACAATCGCCTAAAACCCATGCCACTAATCGTATCCATGTCAGTACTATAGTATGCGTATACACTCCTCGCCTATGAATCTCAGCTGGAGGAGAAATAAATACCCCTCTCCTGTGTGCTTGAGTAGCGTACCTGGCCTGGTACTGTGCTGTACTAATAAGTAGTTCAAAATCTGCTGCTCGCACTAAGATTAACCACGGTACATGAGATTTTATCGAAGGGGATAATTATGATCCGGCGAATTTGGTGGCCTGTCAAGAGTCAGTAGTCGGGTTAATTAGTCGGTAGAACGCCTCGGCGTCAAACATACCGCTTGACTAGCGGCATCTCGAGGCGAGCAGACGGACCACTCCTGCAGTAGTGAATGTCCAAATGAACTGATTGACAAGCTGTCACCTGTATCGAAGTCCTGGGATGATCTAGAACGGCCCTAGTTCTGTGGCACTACTGCGAAGGTCTTGTTTGGGTGCGTCCTTTGCGGAACCGACCATCTGCTTGACAGCGACCACCCGGTATATACTGCCATACCGAGATCACACACGCACACACACGCAGACGCACACGCATACACACACTACTTATGTAGGGAATCCCGTACTTATGTAGCTATTGCCGGCCAAGCAGGGGAGATCCTGGAAGTTGGCAAGGCCCGCACGATTCTCCTTAATGACAGACAATGCATGGACAGGTGTTTGAGCTTTCGACGTTGCTGGCAAACTTGGCTCGGGATGCGAGCAACTGCGCCTGGCCAATCAATCCTCTGACCCTAGACTGATCAAGTTGAGATGCTATATGCCACACGGCTGTACGTGTATGCCATGTCTCTAGGGTCCAGGCGAGCCCAGACGCCCGAACCCGCATTAACTCGCAAGAACCGCGGCAGCAAAGCACAACCGTCCGGCTCTCGAGCCTACCTGTCCATGGCAGTCGAGTTGCGGAGTGCAAAGCAAAACGGTAGCCTTTTATTCCGTAGAAAGACTTTCCTTTCCTGCAATGAGAGCAAGCCGCTTCATCTAGCCTCCATCTAGCCTTCATCTAGCCTAGTCTAGGCCGGGGTATCATGGATCTGTGGAACGAAGCAAGCGCCGGAGCAAGCGTCTGAGAGAGTCGTCTGCTTCTGCGTGAGCACCTCATCGATCACAGTTACCGTGGCTCACTGTCGTCCGCATTGTAATGCCCTCTTGGCACTGCATCTGGAACAGGCATGTGCTACATACAGCACGCCTGTCCGGAGTACTATAGTAGAAACTGACGCCAAACCGATCCTACGTGATCTCCCCCTATCGGCTATCGGCAATCGGCACTCCGCTGCGCCGTTTGTGGCTGAAGCCATGGCAACGATCACCAGCCTCCACAGCACTCGTCAAGCCTCATCCTGCATCAGTTCGCAGTCTGCCCAGGCACGACAAGAACCGCCTCCCGATGGTGGAGACCCCCGAACGGCACTCCCACCTATCAAACGCTGTAGGGCTGAATCCAAAGCCGTTCAATTTCCTTGTGAACCGAGCTTGATTGCCGTGATAAATCTCGTTTCCGATCGCTGCCGCCCCGGTGGTGACTATGCCAGAAGATGCGGCCGTCGTCGGGGAAGCGTCGAGCGGCCCTGCTGGAGAATCCCTGGTAAATTATCTATCTCACCGTTGCCTTGTCCCGACACATGTGAGAGACAGGCTAGCGTCTCTAACACAGTTCTATAGTCTTGCGTTACATGTAGAAGCCGAAAGCTCAAATGTGACAAAGCAAAACCTGCGTGCACACGTTGCACCAAAGTGAATGGTGACTGTGTCTATCCAGAGTCGCGAAGGAAGCCCGCCTTCAAGCGGAAAAACGTAAAAGAACTCGAGGAACGCTTGGGTAACTTGCCATTGACTCTCGTATGAATTCACCCGCACCCGCAGCTGAACGAATGCAGCACAGGTCGAAGGCCTTCTGAGGCAAGTTGGAGGGAGTGGGCTCATTGCCGCCGCTGCCGGTGTGGCTTCTGATGCTGAAGATCCCACCGCTGGGTCCATTGATGTCGACCCTTTCGAGACGCCCGTGACCGAGGAAGACTTGTTGCAAGATATTGACTACGGCAACACACCGGGCATTCATTTGAATGACTCTGCATTTACTTTCAACAATCAGGATCCAACGACATTTTCAACGAATGCTTCCAGTCAGTCATCGCGTACATGGAACGGAAATACTCCCACGGGCGAGCTGATAGACCTTGGAGGCGTCTTCGAGGCTCTGCCCCCTTTTGAGGTAATGGAAGAACTGTAAGTGGCCGATGCGAACCCGTCTCTCCTAGCGATACTAAACATGGAACAGGAATCGACTCTTCTTTGAACGGCCGCAGCACTTTGCTCCTATCATACATCCAGGTCGTTATCTACAGGCCTTCTATTCCGCTCCTCATATGAAGCCACCCATGTGTCTCCAATATGCAATATGGGCGATCACCGCGAACGGGGATCCCAAATATCACACTTATCATGATGGTGAGGGATAACGGGCGCTGTCTTCTTTTCGCCAGACCTATGCTGAGCGTAGGACTTTCCACTTTAGCTGGAACTTGTAACTCACTTCTCTGAGTGCTACCAAGACGTCTAATTGTGTTTCTTCTAAGAAATTATTCTAACTCGGTGATGTTAAAGTCTTCTATCAGCGTGCTCGAAATTACGCCGAGACAGACGAAATGAAGGTATGCATCATTGCTTTGCACATTTCCACACTAAATGACGGTCCTCGATCTTGGGGTTATGACTGACTGTAAAAAGGGAATTGGTGAGCATTTCATCACTATAGCGCATGCTCAAACCTGGTGTGTCCTCGCTTCAGATGAAGCTAAATCAAGTACGTTTGGTTGAACTCGGTCAATTCTCCCTTTCAAAAGATTAGCCTGTCCCTGGAAGATCTGGCGTAACTAGATACGCTCATTGTTTTCGAGACCTAGTATCCTCTACAAGCCACTACGAGACCAATTCATTGACAGACTGCTTCTACTTTATAGTGATGTTTACCCGAGCTGCAATGAGCAGCGCTCGAGCAATAAGACTTACTTCCATGATGGGTCTCCACCATCTTGACACTCCTCCGGATGAGTCAAGCCCTACCCTGCTGCCCCCTAAAGATTGGGCAGAACTGGAAGAGCGGCGCCGCGTCTTTTGGGGAGTATTCTGCATTGATAGCCACTGTTCTATCTCAACAGGCTGGCCACATCTGATAGATCTGACAAATGTAAGCTAGACTGAGCTTGATGTTTTCGAGAAGAAGTCAGCTAACTAGCGTTAGGTTACTACTCATCTCCCTTCTGTGAGTCCAACTTCATTCAGGGTTTCCTGAAAGGCGTATATGAAACATCACGGTCGAACCAGCGGGATAATGGGCTCATGAATGTCATCGTACCTTCAAACTAACTTCTTTCTCGTAGTCTGAGGCTGCTTTTCATAGTGGAAAACCAATGGAAACATGTACGATTCATGAGGTTTTCAAAGGCGACCATTCTTACTCGTCATTTTCCGGGACTGTAATAGTATGCCATTTGTTCAACATCATCCTGAAACACGCCCATCGCCCAAAAGACAATGATAACCCCGAGAACTACGAGTACGGCGAATACTGGAAGCGCCATCGCGAGATCGACAATACCCTCTCTAGTGCTTTCATGTTACTGCCAGAGTCGTTTCGACTGCCTGAGAACTATAGTGATCGAACAGCTGTTAATACGAATCTGAATCTCCACGCAGCTATCATCTGTCTACATCTACAAGCCCTCGAGAGGATTGAGACTTACAAATTACCTGACTTCGCAAAGCGAATCAGCCTAGAACGACTCAGCGCTGCCGCGCAAGAGATTGTTAATATCGTCAAGCTCACGAGCCACATGAGTTTGGGCTCGGTGAGTCTACCTGTTAAGTTGAGAGTATCTCTCTTACCATACGTTTCTGACAATTGACCGCAGAGAACACCACTGGTCGCGCTCTCGTTGTACTGTGCCGCCTCTGTATTCATGCATTACTGCATGGAAGCCTATACGCCAACGAACGCCGAGAATCTCGACTTTATCCTATCTACCATGGCCGCTATTGGCCGGACGCATTTCATCACGCGTGCGTTTCTACGTCAAGCACTACTCGACATTGAGCAGAATGGTGTCCATGATATCGTGGACCTTCCTCACGCGAGACGGCTTAGCCGGAACCTCAGTCCATCATTGAACCCTTACATTCCCTTGTTGGCCAGGACTAGGTTATCTCGGCACTCGAAAGCGCAGCCTCCGTTGCCTTGCCTGCCAATTGGAAAGGCCATGCGGCGCAATGTGCCACTTCCATCGGGGACGTGGTCCCAAAACACAGGGCCATCGGCGCTTAGTTCTGGTTCTGATGATCACCCCCACAAACGACAGCGGACTGAAGCTGCTTCATCAAGTGCATCATCCCTCTTTACGAACGCAGGTGCATCGAATGGATTCTCGTATCTTCCTTTGCGCTCCGAAGGTCCTCCGGCTTCCAGCTACCCCACCTCCACTCCTAACATTCCTCCAAACACAGAATCTCCGAATTCTAACACAATCGACACCAATCAGACCCAGATTGGCGTGACCATCGCATCAGGTATCCTAGGCCACCGCGGCCCGAAACCCTTCACGACGGCGGGTCGCGACGCGTCGCAGACCATGGTGTCGAAGGGAGGCATGGGGAGCTGGGAACTTGGGGGGATGTGTCTCAGCGCCATGGCTGATCACGGGGGCACACCCGCCGACGACAATGTCGCTGCACAGTTCGCCAATTCTGGTGATGACCTGGGCATTAATTGGGACGTACTAGGCGTGGGTGCCACGGATACGCAAGGTGGTAATATAGTAGATAGTGGTGAACCTGATGTCGGATAGGCCTGGAAAACAGCATCGACTCTGCGTCTCTTGTATGATCTCATCGCAATATAAGTATATCGTATATAGGCAAATGTATAGTACTTCGCAATTCGGACAAAATTCTTTACTCAAGTAGACTTCGCGTATAAACAGGTGTACGCAGATACCCTGTGCCGCGGCGTCATAGACCTTCTATGTATGAAGAGAAAAGGGGAAATCTCGTCTGCTAACTTGAGTAGAATAACATATGCACCTCCTAGGGCTTGCGCAATGAGTCGTAGTCTAGTGCCCGTGTCTACATTATACGCACATCTCCTGGTTTCTATGAATCATATATGATCGACACGCACCTCCACCATAACACCCCAACCGCGATAGTTCCAATTCCTTCATCGTGCGTCTCGGTATATAAGCAGCCCAGAGTCCTCCCACACACATACCCACAGATTACTTCCTAACAGCCCGTGATTCTACGAACCTATGAGGCACGTACCCATCAATCTAAACGAAACGAACCGAACGTAGTCCCATCAAGCATATATTTAGAGTAATCTCTCGTCCCAGGTACATCCCCCGAGCAACATGCAAGGCAACGTGAGCGCCGAGGTTATCAAGACGATGCGCGGCTAATCTCCATGCAGACTCTATCCGAACCGCAACTTCTTTCGATACTTTTACTACATCCGCCCCCCCCTCTTTCCACAACTTCGCGGAGTTCCAGGAGATGCACGGTTAACTTTATTATTTTTGATTTCAACGCTTGACGGGAGCTTAAGTCTATGCTTACTTGACATATAGGTAAATGGAACGTTTTTTCGTAGGGATATGCTTATGTTGAATGCTTGACCTTTAAAAAAACTATTGATGTTAATATCCCTCTAGAATAGTTCTATATTTTGTGTCGGATTTTCCTCTTAGTTTGACTTCAGGGATACGAAAGACTACTATTGTTATCGTGTTTTATCCTTCCTTGTACGCTGGGTCGTACGAGGGCACGTACAGAAGTAAACATGACATATCTATTAGCGAGAACAAAGTATACCTATACCAGTAAAGGGTATATACGCTGTTATGTATATATGTAAATAGATGTGGTACAGCATACCTGCCTAGGCAGTGAGGCGAACTTCTATGCAATTGGATAAAGTAAGTAGGTAGTCAAGTATAGCCGTTTAGTTCTTCATTATCATCTATTCTATCTACTCCTTGACCCATCAGCCGGTCATGACGTGTCCTCGCGCTATATCATGCCAGAAAGAAAAAAACAATTACTCGCTTTGCTACTATTCTATGAGAGTTTCAGTCGATTCTATGCTACTACATCATGTAGCATGGACTATTCATGCATGAATACTTGTGAGTACCATCTTGACGTTGTCTAGTTCGAACTCTGGATGTCCATCCTTATTTTTTTTCGCAAATGGGACCTACGATTACAGCTCAACGAGATGGGGGTGCATCCGGTTTTCCGCTCCGCATGATTCGTTTGATTATAGATGCGGGACCTCTCCTATCCAGTTGTGCTGGGCCTGTACTAGGACCCATCGTCGGTGGGGTGGCTCTCATCGTCCCGGAGCTCGGCTCCTCAGACGCCTTGCCCCTCAACGTCGACGAAGAAGAAGATTTATGTAAAGTTGGTTCTGGGCCTTGCCAGACATTGAGGTGGTGCGATTGGTGATGGTAGGCATTGTAGTCCCCCTCTGCTTCTTTTCTGGCATAACCCTTACCCCTGGAGTCATGGGACTCGCTAGGGTACCGAGTATATTGTGGCGGGCCGTTACCGGGCGCACCGTCGCCACCGCTGGTGTTACTACGTGATACATTGGAGGATAACGGTGTGGTAGAGGAGCGTGACAACCCGGCTTCGTGTTGCATTTTCGCGATGCCGCGTTCGAGATGGGCCACTAAGGGTGCTTTAACAGACCAATTCTCGTCCGGTTGGCGATTTTGCGCCTGCTGATACAGAGCGGGGAACGCGCGCCAAAATTCAACCTCTAGTGCCTGTTGTTCCCGGTCTGTCGCTTCTTGCCGTTCTGATTTTACTGCCGGTTGCAGCTCTGTGGTGTGAACTCTGTCCTCTTCATCGAGGAGTTTTAGCCAGTCATCGTAACGTTGTTGATCATCATTCTAATCATTAGGAGGAAAAGTTAGCATCGACAAACTTAGTTGTGATAGATAGGTACCTTTTTGCTTGCAGTCATCAAGGAAGATCAAAGCAAAGAGAATAACAAGTAGGTTGAAAACTTACACTCTCCTCCCAGGAGGCGTCCTGCAGACTGGCTAAGTATTTGATGGCCTTATCTGTGGTATTCGTCCCAACAATGTATTTGTCGAATGACTCCGAGAACTCGATATAGTGGCCTTTAAGCACAAAAACCTGGCCGGGCCAATGCTTGCTTTTGAATTTTTGAAAGAAGGCTTCAGCAACGGGGGCATCCCATGGGTATTCAACCACTTTGTCGTAAAAGATAACACATTTACTCGTATACCACTTATCGAAGGAACTCCGACTGGCTTCATCAGTCAGTGACCTCTCAATCATCTCAAATGATGCCCGTGAGACAAAGGATGCAGGGGCCCTGAAATTGATTGCACCATGAATGTGCGAGCGCTGATAGCTGGCGTTCGGGCGCAGGTCAATGACTACAGTCTGACCTGTTGGGAACATCTCAAGCAGTGTATTAAGATGGCCTGGTAGAATCATGCGAGCGCCGTCTTTTGGGTGTTGCGTATGATTCTGATCATTCATCCGTAGACTTAGTAGTTTGTTCGACACCTCCTGTTGCTCTCGGCGATGGCGGAACCAGCTCTAATAGATTTATGAGCATTTTCTCTGTGTAAAAAGGGAAGGGCCACTTACATCTAAATCGGCGGTTTCAATTCCTAAGTTCGACGCCAAAAAATCCTTCACCCCGACAGCCGGCTTGGGATTGTCCATAAAGAACTCCTCTAATCTTTTCTCCACATGAGCCGGAAGGGTTGGCATGGTGGGAGATCGATCGGCCACTTTAGCAGCCAACTGGAGCGATCGCGCCTGATCAGATAGCTGAGCGTTAGATGTATTAGATACACTTCGTGCTGCATTAGCTAGAGAACTTTGGATTCCTTTCGTAGACAATTGAGGTATAGGATTTGATGAACGCTGCTGTACATTGCTCTCCACAGGCGGTCGAGTTGCCAGTATAGTGTCAGCTTGGATGCCCGGCCATCTAAGCTTAGGCCTGTCAACGCTCTCATTGATACGGTCCATAACAGGCAAGTTCATGGCTCCTAGTGAGTCTAACTGGTCCAAGGTGACCGTGGTAGTACCCGAATAGATAGAGTCCTGATCAGATTCTATTTCAACATTCGACGGTGTAAGATTCCAAGATGGTTGTGCTGGCTCCTTTTCTTGCCTTCGCGCGACAAGGTTGTTCGATCGAATGAAAGCTACGAAGTTGCAGGCAGGATTATCTGGCAGCATATCCCAGACCATAATCGGCAACGATAGTAGAAGAAGCGTCGAATGGCTTTTAAACACTCCTTGAACTTGAACGTATTTGGCTAAGGCGGGGAAGCTGGCAAGCCAACGTTCCCAGTCTTCAATATTTAGAGTCTGGTCATCTTCTAGCGCAAGTGAGACCATCACATGCGGAACGGTTTCATTTGGTACAGAACCAATAATTTCCTCGGGGCTAGCGCGACCTCCAGCAAAGGAGCTACGTCCTGACGCGGGCCCAGAAGGAAGCGGAGGCGGTACTGTATCGTTGTTGATCCTGCATAGCTCAATGCTGGGCGCTCTATGATTCGCGGTCATCATAAAATGCACCGGCGTGGTTCTCGCTTCAAAGTGACCCCCATTGCGTCTTTCGGGGCGGGGGTGCTTCAAGCGGGCGAGTATTTCAGCATGAAGCATTGCTACTGAGAATGTCTTTCTCTTCCACTCTTGGAGGACTTCAAGGAGTGTGGCGCTGAACGAATATCTTCCAGGGTTCGGTGCGATAGCATCCCAACTGGAGGCCGAAATGGTTTCTGTTATACTACTACCGGTGGGAAAGGCAGCACTTGCGGCCCCAGCACAGCAGTCTAACAAGATTAAAGCATCCGATAATGATCTCTCCAGTAGGGTTTGGATTGCGGACCATCTTGTTCGTATTATTAGTTGTCATTCAAACCACTCCATAAGACCTCTTTCAAACATGTACCAGGCTTGACACGGCAAAGAAACAAGATAGGAAGAAAAGGGGGCGACTCACTGTAACCACGGCGAATCTAAACTTCGCGATGCACACCAGGTACTCTGTCTATTATCGTCAATTCTGGCATGGCCGGCATAGTAAATGACCAGTAAAGTGTCAGTAGATTCATGATCCTTTATCATAGCCCCGATCTTCAACATCAACTCCAGGTGCGCATTGCCAGATGGGAGAGTGAACCTTTCGGTCTCAAAGTTGTAGTCATGCTGAAAACATATTTCTAAATCTTCCAACTCGGGTAGGACGAACAAATCGTCTGAGTCCCAATGTAGCAGAAGCACGCATACTTTCCTATAACGCTGCGAGCTGCCGCGATTCGGAAATGCCCGAGTTGCCGACTAGCAAAACTTAGTCAATGAACTTACAATATTGCCTTATCCAATGGCGTCCATCGTGAACGGGATGGGACGGAGGAGAAACATACCTCTTCCAAAGCTCTTGCAAAGTCGGGCAGGCGCTTTAAATGGTAGTTCACGCGGCTAATGTCGTGGGTAGCCGAGGGGGGTTTTGAGTCCCCCAGACTGGAACCGTACTATTTACGAGGGGAAAGACGTTAGACGACGCAAAGCGAGTCATGCAGGCTGGGGTTTAATGTTTACCGCAGAATCCCCGCTGCTAAATCCATTCTCATCAGACGGTTGTCTCGAGCTAATGGTCACGAAAGGTAGATTGTTGAAGTCGGTCATGGCTGACCAGGCGAAACCGAATTCATGGGATTATCAGTCGCGGTAATGGTGGAGTAAATAGATGTTGAGGACAGAACAGGTTAACCGGATACGGACGGTTGATGGATGGATTCCGCAACCTCAGGTGTCATCTGTGCCTGGCCCTTGTGGAGCCTCACACATACATATTTCCCATAGATCAGATCGGACTTGGCAGAGTGAAGCATTTGTAACTTGTATCCCAACGTCTGCTGCGGTAAGCAATGGTAGGATAGGTGGATCAAGGTTTCCTGAACACTGTCGGGGCCTAGCGGAGATGACAGAAGGATTTCGCGTCTAGGTCAATGGAGGCATCAGCACTCGCTTCGCATCTACGGTTGCACGGCCTCTCAGCTACTTCGTACGAAATCAATGGCGCACTGGGTCACGGTTTGGCGGTGGCGGCTGAGACCTGTATCTGTAAGTACGTTGTGTAGGCAGTCGAGGCAGTATACATAGGTAAGTAGTATTAATGCAGCACTGCGGCAGTGTTGCCGCCCTCGGTAATAAGATCTGGTTTAGCGCAGGCATACTGGATCCTTTCGACTGCGTGTCAACCTCCCCAGCCATCCAGTGTCACAGGCGTACATGTAGACTGGTTATCAATTACAGGATTGCCCCATCCTCTACAATATCTAAGGAAGTAAGACGGCTAAACATTACAGTAGTGTATGCTATGCAGGTCCAATGAGGCTCAAGTGGGTAGCTAGTCTGTATCGAGAGCACAAGCAAGGCAACAAATTAGATCCAGTTACCAGCGGCGTAAAGCACAGGTGGAATAAGCCGAAATCCTCATCTTTCTGGTGCCTTTTGAGCCACTTTGGTGAGTCGATACCGATTGCTTCAGTGGGCTCGATTTCACTGTAAGTATACTTGGAGCAGTGTTCTTAGGTGCGGCCGAGCAAACATCCTATCCTGCCCACTTTATACCAACGTTCAGAGCTTGTACATCTCCTAACCATTGGCGTCGTTGATGAATGCTTTTCATATTTATACCAGTAGTGTCTAGTTCGTAAGCTTCGACAATTAATATAGTGAGCATTGAGACTGCCCGGCTGCACGGGGATCAAAGGGGGATTATAATGGTCCCGTGTAGTCAAGTAGCTACATGTAGCATGAAGCAACTCTAGACTACTAGAGGGCAAAGTTATCAGGCTTGTAAGGCTACGATTCACTCCTGCTTGCGCGCATTGCCCGAAAGACGACGCGCAGCAAACGCCTCTTCAAGGAGCCGCTCGCCCAAACTCCTTGGGGACCCATTAAAACTATACGGATCGCGACGGTAGCTGTCCGAGGCGTCCACACCACTTCGACCATCGACACTCCCTACAAAAGTAGAGAAGTCGCCCATTTCAATCGCCCTTTTGTGCAGGTCCTCGTCACGGACTACTCCTATTATAAAAGGTTTCCCTTTATATGAACCGGCGGATGCGCTTACAAATTTCGGAAGCGACGATACAGGCGATGCAAGAGGCGGGGTTGCAGGTTTGGCAATTGGAATGGCAGGTGATGTAGAATACAACGTAGTGGTCGAGTTCTCATCTGATTTATCCATGGCAGACGTAATCTGTTTTTCAGTTTCAACCTCGGGCTCCTCTTCTACCTCCTGAATATACTTAGAAGCCGGCTGCGCTGATCGTGATTGCGAAGCTGACTGGTCGTCATCGAAATCAAACATTTCTTCCTCTTCACCGTATAGAGCCCCATGGGTCTGTGACAAGAGAGCCGAGCCATGAGGATTTGTTTCGCTGGGCAATAACTGCTGAGATGTTGAAATCTTATTCGGCGTCACTTCTGGTATGCTTTGCTGTGCCCTTTTCGGAGGTGAAAACCGTTTTTTATCCTTGAAGGAACTGAGAGGGGTCAATTCAAGTAAATCATCCGCGATTTCTTCCTCATCCAGGGCGTGGTTATTGTGGGTATCTTCCACTAGATCTTTCGACTTTTCAATTTGTACGCGATCAGAACGTATACCATTGTTCATGGTTTTCGTAGAAGCTGGCTCTACAGAGGAAATTTGTGGTTTCTTTTTAGAAGTGAACATAACAAGTCCTTCCTCTTCTTCATCGTCGTCGAGTGTATCACCGACAACAGTCCACTTAGACGTATCTTCTGTTGAAATTCTGGCTAAGGCTTTTAGACGTTCGGTTGACGATATCTTCTTAGGTCTTGGGGGGGAATTGCCCAAAATAGAGGCTCCATCTTCAGGAGCTGTGTGGTTAAGGGACTCGTGGTTGGGGTTGACCATGTTATCGGACGGGGGTGACGTAAGGAGCTCATTGATTCGAGGTGAACCTGGAGGGGAGACCGTGGGTAGAACTTCTTCCCCTTCGACATCGAACCGGACTCGCCGCGGGCTCACGACGTCTTTCGTGGAGCCGCTTGAAGACCGGCGCAATGCACTTCTACGTGTACGCGAAATACTATCGTCTGAATTGTTTGAGGACATAGTGTCTTCCATAAGACGGTGGACGGTCTCCGGAGTTGACGGGGCTATGTCGATTGGGCTGCGGGGTGATGGTTCTTGAGTAATATTAGATTCATTATCACAAGACGTGGGAAGCGATGATGCAGCAATTGGAGGGGAGTGCACAGCTTTGCTTGGCTGTACGACTTCAAGCAAAGGGAGATAGCTCGGCGTGAAAAGACCGTGGAACTCACGATCACGATCGCGGTCAGGAGGTGAACCGGAGGTAACGTCATGAGGAGGAACACCCGAAGTGTGAGGTAGGACGGGCGGTGGTGAGACCCTTCCACGTCGAGACCACCGCTCAGCGTCAGAGCGACCAACAAGATCTACAGCGGTACCATTAAGCGTGACCAAAGCAGGGCTCAATGCCGAGTAGTTGTGGAGCTCCTCTGCAAGCACCTCCCCGACACGAACCGAGACATGCTCAGGCGCATCCTGTAACAGACGGTGCGAGTACCGTTGAAACTCGTCACCCATCTCCTGGCGATAATCGCAGACCCTTTGATTAAGCTCGGCGAGCTTGTTCAAGAGGTCTGAAACCAGTGTCGTGGTATCGTCCATTGTTTCCGGCTGCGCCACCATAGGGCCAAAGACGGACGCGAGGATAGATGGACGAAGAACGATAGAGGTTTAATCGAAAATAGCCAATTCACAAATTTCAGGCATTATTGATACCGGGATCAGATTACGGCTCCTCGACTGGGGGGTTTTCTCCTGTACTGGGATTGAGATTTTGGGCCGGAACTGGGAGATGAAAGCGACAGGTTTTGTGACTGTGGTTAGGCCAACTACAGTAGATACGAAGAACCGGACCTCCAGACTAACTGATAGGGACAGAGCTAATCGCGATGCTACCTAGGCTAGCAGGTAAGGTTGTGGTAACTCCGGGGTGCCCTCGGGCGTGGTGATGGTCCAGACTGAATTCGGACATTCAAGACCGTGACGTAGGACGCGCTGGCGAGGACGAAGACGAAGACGGATCAAAACGAGGCTGCAGATCGCAAAACGGTGCGCCGCACCGCAGGGGCAACGGCAGGACCTAGCAGCGACGGGGTGTGGTGTGGTGGCGTGATGGTGGGAGAGGCATTGGAAGTGTGAGTGGGAGTGGTAAGGTTGTTACGAACGGCTAGGTTGGTAGCGTAACAGTGCGGTAGTGTGGTAAAACTTGGGTAGGTAGGTAGGTAGAAGTCGGAGAAGATGGTGGTGGTGGGAATAATGGTGGTGGTAACGATAATAATGATGGGGGTGGTTGGTGGGCAGGGCCGGCGGGCGGGCGGTGGATGTGCGATAGTGGGATGTCGAGTGACTCCCGATGCGGGTTGGGGGGAAGGTGTAACTGCGGTACGAGTACAAGACGTGCGCCCAAGGCTCCTGCCATTCTACATGTACTAGAGACAGGAATAGAGAGGCACAGAGAGGCAGAGAGAGGCAGAACCAGAGGCCCGGGGCCGGCTGATCAGCGGCTGTTCAATTGTTCTCGAATGTCCGGCGAGAGCCAACGAGAGACGAGAGCAGCATCTGAGCAGCAGAGAGGCCGGAGAGAGAGAGAGAGATGTGGGGGGAGGGGCATTCTAGACCACCCCGTCGAACTCTGGGTCTGTTCTGGCGCTGTTCTGGGCCGGGATATACCCAGACTCACGCACGCCCTAAGCAGCCCTGAGGTAAGGTGCACGATCGGTAATGATACAGTACTTTAAGTATGGATTACAGGGCTGTGTATCCGCCCACAGCGACCGGAGTGGAGGTCGAGTTCCCGACCCGACCGCCTGGACTGGCCACCACTGACCACTACTGGCCAATCTGCAATGGGATTGAATACCTACATAGTACAGAGGCCAAAGGATCTTTGTCTTGAGTCAAGACATGATGATGCCTCTACACTAGTGTATATTGATGTGATCTTGAATTCAGCACCTACTCGCTAGGTACTGGATTACGTGTCTATATGCCATGACTGCCTCAGATGCAGATATAGATACAGATACGGTATGTATGAGGCCAGCCTACCTCATCTAGACACGGATATGATGTCATTAAGCAGTTACCAGAAGGCCGCCCCGTAACGATGCAACCCTCGTCGTGTCTAAGTCTCAGAGAGAGATACCAGTTCTGATGAAGCATCATCTGCTACTTAATTCAGGCGCCAGGGCAAGTCAGACCTAAGTAGAGCAGACTAGATTATCCAATTGATCCGCAATGCCATCTCCAGAACGATTGGACTTATCAGGGAGTCTACATCTATGTACGAGCAGAACGAGCTTTGATGTTGTGATGAGAGCTCGGGGAGCTTGTTTACGCGCCTACAGAACAGTTCCTGCTGCTGCAACCTCTCCGGGGGAGGTCAGACCCCTGTCCTGATCTCGCTCAGATCGACGATGCACTCGGCACAGTAGACTAGGTACTACCGTACTGCAAATGTTCATGTGATAATCATCATCCTTTGCTGTTTATAGTTTGAGACCCCAACCATCAAGATCTCAACATGATTACTTACTGTACCTACTGTATGTGTTCTTTGGTCAATTCCATTCCACCGTCCGTATCCACGAGATCCTTTGCCGAATTCGGCATTCGTCTGATGGCCGGCATTATCAGGTCGGTCACATGTTTCTTTTAGACAAGTCCTACCTAGCTGTCTTGAAAGTCCCGTGCCCGCAACTCCCTACATACCTCAGGTAGGTGCCAGCGAGCAGCCTGTATTGTTTCCTTTTCCAGCTATCTTCATCCTTTGAAAGAAAAAAGATTTGTTTCGAAGAAGGAAGAATAAGAAGAAAGGTGGCAACCTCCAAGGAGTTCTGCGACGGTAGTAACCTACTGTGGCCTCGTTGATAGAACCCCGCACACGCGCGTCCCAAATAGTTGGACACGATGAAACCTAGATGCTAATCGATTGATACTGATCATAACATAAAAATCAATCACTTGTACACTCGATTGCAGTCCATGACATTAAGATGGGGAATAAAGAAAGTGATCGGCTGAGTCAATCAGACTCCGCTCGTTTAAGGTGAATCACGAGACGCAAGCAAGGGGGAAGTAGAACGACTCTAAGTGCCTACTGTAAACGTCACTGGAGTGTCTCTGGCTGGTGGCACATGATGTGACAAAACTTCGCCTTGTCACTTCCACCGATTAGGGTAGGCGTACCGGTATATTCCCTCGAAATCGGATTCGACGCAAGTTTAAATGACTATTGCATCTCGGTGTGGATGTCACTCAAAGGGCAAGTTGGACTGCTTCAAGTCGTCAATATCTGATGAAACAGCTAAAACGTGTTACCTACGCGAAATTATAGGCATGATACAATCATCTAAGTAATATGTATACATGTGAAGATACCTACACGCTAATTGATGCACACGAGAGACTATACTACCCGCAGTGTCTGTCAGGATAAGAGTTAAAAAGCAGCGAAACTCAGAACGGGAACGCCAATCGAAATACTCATATCTGATTGAACAGAATGGCACGGCGTAATGAAACCCAGTGGTACTGCGAGCCGCTCACGGATAACTTGAGATACCATATTTCACCAATACTCATAGCCCATAGCCCAAAGGCTCGATACCTTGCTCTATCAATCAAAAGACAGCTAAAATGCGAAGGGTTCCAAAATTTAACAAGTACGTCATAATGGCATTTTGTTTTTATATAACATTTTGCCCACATTGAAGTTTAGCTTTCATTCCGAATATGTGCATGGAGTTTGGAGTGCTTAAAGTTGAGCGTGAAAGAAGAAAAATTCATCAATTAAGCTCAGGGCTCAATTCACAGTAAGCTCTGCTTTGGGAGAAAATGATATGGTATTTATAGTATCAAAATCTTGATCATTCTCTTCGGAAGGTGGAAAGCGCCGTAAGATATATATAGAAGGCACGCCTAAACCAGGCTCACTACTGTCATTAATGTTGAAGGGCAGAGCGTACTAGCTTTCGCTTTCCAAGTGTATCGGGTTCCTTATATATAGAAAATCTATATAGATGAGCTGCACAATGACTCTCATTCAGAGTATCTAGAATTGTGTAAATTGCCGAGAACAATGCCGGATGAATGTTACATATGGCTATAGGGCTGTAGGGTCGCCATGTTCCTTGGAGTTATTTTCGAGGAGAGCAGTCACGATGCCACCGTCAGATTAGCCGTGGAGGAAAACTTTGCACAACATAACCAAATTAGAACGCAAAAACTTGATCCTCCAACTTGCTCACCGGCCGGGCCTTCTGGAAGCCGAGGCTTTCGGTGGCCTTCTTGAGCCCGCTAATCATTGGAGGTGGGCCACAAAGTAAGATCTTGACATCTGGGGCAGCCTTTGGTAACCATTTCTGTATGTTGTGTCAGTAGCTGAAGTTGAAAGCAAAAAAAAAAAAAACAAAAAAAACAGAAGGAATACATACAGTAACCATGTCAGCAGTAACATATCCAACACCACCAGTCCATCCCTCAGGAGGCTTGTCAAGAACATAGTGAACTCGGAATCCAGAGTCTTCCTTGGCCAATTGGTCGAGATCCTCCTTAAGAAGAATGTCCTGAGTCGAGACGTTTGCAAAGATGAGGTCTACCTGGGTCTTATCGCCGGTAGGACGACCACGAATAATGGCCCGTACAACCTGTAACATGGGGGTGATGCCGGTACCACCAGCAACCATTCCGAAGTGGCGGACCATATTGGGAGTATAGACAAAAGCGCCCTTGGGACCGCGCACCTTGATGGTTTGTCCAACTCCTAGAGAAGCCAGGTGCTTAGAAATGTTACCAGTAGGGTAGGATTTAATTAGGAGGTCGAAATAACCAGGCTGGTGGTCGCCAGAGATTGGGGTGTACGAGCGGACTATTTCCTTGGTGGTGCCATCAGGTTGCTTGAGATTCGCACCAATGGAGATATGCTGGCCAATTGGAAGACCAAGGATGTCGCTCTTGTTTGGAAGCTTGAATCGGTAGCTGGGAATGGTTAATATCACGAGGGTGGTGTGGTTTGGTCGGTTACTGACATGGCAACATTGTGAGAAATGATAGTCTTTTCGGTGAGTTCGAAATCCTGGAAGGCATCGGGTTTCAAGACCTTCTTGGGTTCTATATAGCAATTGAAGGTCAGCAAAGGGAAATGGTAGCGGCATGAGAAGGAGACAGGAAATCATAGCATAACGTACGTGAGCTAGAGAACTTCCAGACACCCAATAGGATGGCGAGTATGGCAGCAAAAGGTGTCCATTCTTTCTTGACGATAAATGTGCCGAAGACTAGAAGACCGGCGGGGATATAGATGCCGTCGACATATTTCTTTGCGGTCAGGGGAGTGTCCGCCATGGTGAGAACACGGAGCTCGGGGAGCAAAGGGATCGGGAGACTAGGGCGACAGAAATAATCTCAGCAAGCAGAGAAGGATGCAATGAGCGATATTGGGACTCTCTTGTATTTAACACCCCACGTTGAAACTGGTGGGAGAGGCGTGGAGGGTTCCAGGAAGCTTACTGTCACTTTTCGGGCTTGGGCCAGGAAGTACCCAACAAAAGTCGGAATGGCGCCAGTGCTTGAAGCTGGACCAAGTGGGCTGATTGATTGATCAATTGGGTCGAATGGGGAGATCTTCCATATTGAGATATCATGGGTCTGTCATGGGTATGTCTACAGTCTACCTACCAACAGTGCTTTTATCGATAAGCTACCCTATCGGCCAGAGATCGGCTAGGTAGGTGCGGACTCGATGCGGGGTGGCGCCCAACCGCGACAGCTGCCAGTGTTCGGCACTGCTGTCCTGGGTGGTCCGGTTGGCTCAGCATCCCTGCTATTTGCTTTCAATTATCTAATTATTATGCCCCTTTTATACCCTCTTCAATTCATTTTCTTGACTGCAGAACAGTTCTTGACCCTATAGAATCAAAAGAGTTGTCAAAATATTCGACTTGCATTGTAGGAACGCTTTGAACAGCTCTATACCTGTATACCTGTATACCTGTATTGAGCATTGGTGGACATTTTTAGTAAATATGACCCAGTGTGTCACTTACACATATGTCAGATCTCTGATAAAACGGTAATATGCCGATACAGCTCGGGCTACACTAGTGGAATGTAGATAGCCGGGCGTACTTATTCCTGACACGATGTATCACGTAAGTGTTCCTACTCGCTGTTAACATTTATCTACAGTATGTTTGCTTGACCCTATCTTCGGCGCCGGTGGTGGGGCGATCTCAGCCCCCGCTTTCTTGAGGGCCGGCTGCTAACCGGGCCATTTCTCTCCACGTTTTAACTGAGGGCAGGCGTAACTATCGTCCATTATTTCCTTAACCCAGCAAGACCTGCCTAACGCCGGCCGCTTTCCGAGATAGCCCCGAAACTTTGATCCGAAGACGAGATTATAGCCATTGACAGCATCATGGGTGACATGCCCGCCAATACACCGCCAATAGAGGCACCGTTTCCTTTGACAGAGGTTGACAAGTGGGTTTTGTCTCAAACTGATGACGAGTTTCACTACCATGACTGGGAAGACCTGAAAAATATCATTGGTATGGCAGGCTATTGAACCTGATTTTAAGATGTTGATTGGAAGGCTAACGCACGGGCACTAGGTGAAAATAACCTCTCGGTCCTCAAACGGAAGCCAAGTGATCTACGGCGATATATGGCATGGACAGCTGAAACCAAGGCCCACTATGGATCCATGACTAACTATCTTCTAATTCATCGCTTGCCAAAAGCATGGGGATCGCCTCCTTTCACACCGGCTTCTTCTGTGCCCTTTGATGACCCCTCGGACTACTCGGTCCTCATCAATGATTGGCCGTACGGTCTGACGCCGGACATTACTCATATAGTCGTATGGTCGAGGACTATAATCGATACCGATCCAGAGACTGGCGATATGACCGTAGAGAGTCGTCAGGTCATCTCAAACTTTGTCAGAGAGTTCTTCGTGGATAAGCTCGGGCCAGATGGGGAGACCAAGGTTTTGTGGTTCAAGAATTGGGTTGCATTGCAAAGTGTTCGTAGTCTTGAACATATCCACGTCCTGGTGAAGGATGCGAGTGAAGAACTCCTCGAAGAATGGACAAAGAAGTTCGATAATCATGGGGTAGACAACTGAACGATGGCCCGTTCGAGATACGTCTGGATATGGCTTTGACCATGCTCGTCTTCATATCAAGAATTGCCCCCAATGGAGATAGTATTGCTCAAGCTGCCCGCCTTTGCTTTCTGTTCCCCGCTGCTTGAGCCCCTCCGGGCTGCTGCTGTTGCGCCTGCCTCATCCCTGCCATACCACGAGCAACACCGAACCCTTTGAATGCCCCATAGGCTGGGACAACGGACCAGAGAAGCCAGCCCCAGTTCCCGAAGAAGGCGACTAGAACAACAGAAGCCCAGGTAACCCAAATAACGTCGAACATGTACTCTGTAAGACCAGGGGCGGATAGGTCTTCGCCAGCCGTTTTGAGAGAGTTGTTGGATGGGTCATACTTAGGACGGCCAGTTGATTCCAAGACAAACTCACAAATAAAGCCTGGGAGAGAGAGGACCACATAGAGAAGTAGAGATCTCCGTTTGAAAAGTAGATTCCAGAGAACAAATAAAGTATTGACAACCAGTGTGCCAATGTGTAGGTTCTTGAGAGCAGTGGCGTTAGACTTCGCCCTGTCCTTGCGCGCTTTCTGGGCCATCTTAGTGCGCGTGTCTGGATTTCCCCTAGCTCCTGCTTGATGCAAACCCTTTTCTCATATAACACGCGCAAGGGTTCGTTGTGGTAGGTAGTATGCAGAGAACTCTCGGTTTGCGGGCCAATGGCGAAGAGCTCGGACGTTGATGTGGCAGAGGACAAAGCACAAAGAGAGTAGAGTCTCCAGCCACCTCAAGAGTGAATGGGAGCAGCCGCATCTAGGTAGTGGAGACCCTTTGGTGCCCCCTAAAAGGCGTGCCCATCCCTGTACAGGTAGGTATTCCTTGCGAAGTGCGTTTATTGGGCAAGTCTCCAGGTACTTGCATGCCCACGGGGCGATAGTGGCTAGCACCGGTACTGGATACCTCTTTGTCCAGTAGGGACTGCACAAGGCTTTCGTCAGGTACCCAATGGCGTTAGCGCTGTGCTGTTGCTCTGCCAGGCCAACTCGAGCGTTTCACAGCCAATCAAGCGGCCTGTAGCCCCCCCCTGCCAGCGTCACTCCACCATAACATGCCAAAATCGCTAAGCTGGATTAACTGGCAATCGCCTCCAGTGCTGTGTTGTTGTTGTTGTCGTCGACAATCCCGCCAGCCCACCCCGTGCATGATATTATCCCAAGGGCCTTTCTCGAGCCTCCGAAGCTGGAACAATTCTGCGCAGAGAGAGCACTAACGTTCGGTCCGGTCTTTCTAATGGATTCGTTATAATATACCACAGAGCTGTTTCTTTGACATCACGCCCAGCAGCCCCAGGAGCACTTTCTCCCAGGCATGTCTCCTTACTAAAGGCTGTCGAAACCTCTTAAACTGGATTTCTTCTTTCCGCCGTTGCCCATCTCTCGAAACCACGAGTCGACCCGAAATCATCCCTTGAAACTAGTGCTGCTTTTGTACAGCCTGCCTTTTAATTATAATCCTTACCATTACTTTCATTCACGGGCCGGTCTTTGTCGAGGGATTGCTGTCAGAGGTGCAGAATCTTTTGCAAGACGGGAACAAGCCCTTGGCTCCCTTCCAGAGACTGGGTTTTGACTTTGACCTCTCGCTTCCGCTAAGCATAGAGCTGGCGGGAGCACGGAGCGACCACATGGCTATTCGACAATAGTGTCACATTACCCACCACTGACCGATTCGACCTTGATCGTCACCATGGCGCCTTCGGCCTCCGCAGTTACAGCTCAGCTAAGGCAGCTCGTACATTACCACCTCGACAACCACTCATATGAGAATGCGCTCTTCTTCTCAGAGAGACTAGACGCACACGATCGTCGCTCGAACGAATCCGCGTATCTGCTTGCGCTCTGCCACTTTCGATTGGGGGACTACAGAACGGCGTACGAAATCAGCAAATCTAATGGGTATCGCGGTATCCATCTCAACTGCGCATATATATTTGCCCAAACATGTCTGCTGCTCGAAAGATACAAAGATGGTATCAACGCCCTCGAGAAGTCTAGAGGTCTTTGGTCTCACAAGTCAAACTTTGGCAAACACTCAGCAATCGCAAGAGCCCCAAACCCAGACTCTGCCAGTGTCTCGTGTTTGCTCGGGAAACTGTACAGGGCATACGATGACAAAAAGAAAGCAATCATAAACTTCGAGGAGGCCCTGAAAACGAACCCATTCATGTGGGATGCATTCACAGCCCTGTGCGATATGGGCGTGAACGTACGGACACAAAACATCTTTAAGCTTAATGACGTTTTAATAGACGGGCTTAGTTTTGACCAACCTCTGGGGGTTCTGGTGGAACAGAAGGATAACGGCATAATAAACCCCATTGATAAGAAGTCTTCTACACGGTCTGCAATATTTGATTCCATGGACCCGTTTGAGTCACAGCGCGCAGGTGCTCCAAATGAAATTCTTCTTGGCAACAACTTTCTCAACGCAGGTGCTAGAGAGAACGATTTTATGTCCAGAATCCGCTCCAAGATGCCCACGTTGCCTGACCCAGTCCATGACCCGCAAGAGTCGCCATCAGTGGCAAACATAGATCCAAATTTTTCTAGAATAGGCCTAGCCGTGGAGCCTCCTCAAGCGCCTCGAAGAACGAGAAATACGCAACTTACGGATCCCGGACTAGTGGAAGCGGCCCCTAAGCCGGGATATCGGTTGGCCAGCAAAAGAGGCCAGAAAGCTCAAGACGAAATACCTTCTGATCCAAACCCAGCTGTTCTTAGGGCGGCGGCTGTATCAGGAATAGAACGAAAGAGAACGGTTTCTGGTCATCCTGTACAACTTAGGCAGCAATCTGAGGAGCCCGGTGCACCGCAACGGAGAAGTGCGAGACTCTTTAGAGGCGCCAACGCAAAGGCGAATGTAGGAGCGGCTACTGTAGGCGCTACAGCAACAAGAGAGTTGAAGAAGGCCAGGCCTCAAATCTCCCGTATATTGAGGCCCAACTCTAGCGGTGCTGCTGTTGGGAGGGCTGTTAGTGGAAACAGGAAACCCCTTGAAGAGAATGGTATGGATGTAGATCAAGCTGAGCCGCAACCCAGGATCAAGGAGGTATCTCAGCCGCCAGTTGTCAAGTCTGTAGAACCTGACATAGTCAAGATTGAGGAGACGCTGAGGTACTTGATTGAACTACTGAAAAAGTTCGGATCTGGGTACCTAGCGCTTTCTCAGTACCGATCTGTGGATGCTTTGACTGCATATACATCACTACCACGTACACATCAAGAGACCCCTTGGGTGCTGTCTCAAATTGGTCGAGCATACTACGAGCAAGCATCTTATGCTGAAGCGGAGACGTACTATCGGCAATTACGGATAATAGCGCCTACTCGCCTCGATGACATGGAAGTCTACTCTACGATCCTTTGGCATCTCAAAAGAGAAACGGATCTCTCATTCCTTGCCCATGAGTTGGTGGATTCATCTTGGCACTCACCACAAGCGTGGTGTGCTTTGGGCAATGCGTGGTCCCTTGCCCGGGATCATGAACAGGCCCTAAGGTGTTTCAAACGTGCCACTCAACTGAATCCCAAGTTCGCCTATGCGTTCACGTTGCAAGGGCACGAGCACGTGTCCAACGAAGAATATGAGAAAGCCCTCACAGCGTATCGGATGGCAATATCAGCAGACCGCCGCCATTATAACGCCTACTATGGCATCGGTCGAGTCTATGAAAAGCTCGGCAGCTTTGACAAGGCCTACACACACTTTCATTCTGCATCTATCATCAACCCCACCAACGCCGTCTTAATCTGTTGTATTGGTAATGTTCTAGAGAAGCAACACCAGATTGTGCCTGCACTGCAGTATTTCAGCAAAGCGACGGAACTCGCACCTTATGCCGCCCAGACCAGGTACAAGAAAGCTCGAGCGTTGCTTGCCTTGAATCGACTCGATGCAGCGCAAAAAGAGCTTGAGATACTGAAGACACTTGCGCCAGACGAGGCCACGGTTCACTTCTTACTTGGCAAGTTATATAAAACCTTGAATGACAAGGGCTCTGCTGTCAGGCACTTCACGATAGCGCTGAATCTCGATCCAAAGGTCAGTTCCGAGTTGCAACCCCTAAAGCCCCTTTCGATGCTAAAACTAGATACTAGGCAAGCCAACAGATCAAAGAGGCTATTGAAAGCCTGGAAGATGACGATAGTTTTGACGATTCTATGATGGGATGACACAAGTGGTAATAGTCGGGCGTCGGGCATGCGCTTACCTATTTGAAGTACATGAAAGATTTCGTTATGAATCAACGGGATACGGAAATGGTCTGTTTGCCCATTGGTTCGGGAAATGCGTGGCACAATGCTAGGACTGGAGCTGTCCAGGGAGCAGGGCGAGGTGCTAGCCTCTGGCGTCTAGGTTAGCGTCTAGGTAGGCAGGCGTGGCGTCTGGTGAAGTTTAGTTAAGGACTTGCATGGCAACGGGCGTTCAAGGGCATGATAGACCATCCAAGGAAGGTCAGCAATCATTGGGGACTGGTCTTTTTGTGTATACAATCGGGGTTGCATTACGGAAAGGTGTACACTACTGGCAGCCTCTTCACACTTATGTAAACGGGGCATCATCAAGCAATTGCGGACCTCGCAAGTCAAAGTGATACAACTGTTGTAGGTGTTCATTCTCCTTGGGGCATTTCATTTACCTGAAAGACAACCAGGAGTCACTAGCCACACTGCTATACGAAAGTAAGGACGTTATCATGCTTTAAAACATTCACATGGAATTTTCCGTATTCGTTGGCATTTCCATGCCTAAGTATTAACAGGTACCTAAGTACCTACTTAGGTGGGTGATGTCGGTACTTCATGATGTACCAATATCTTAACGTTGGTACCCTAATAACTGAGATGCAAGTAACCACTGATAACTTCAGCTATATGGTATGGCTGAGGTCATCCCTCACAGAGTCCAATGTATATGCATGCGTGCTACTTACTATGTGTAAGCAAATATCTGTTCCAAACCTGTTGACAAACATTCAAAGCGGATAGCAACTTTGAAGGTACCTACGTCGTCCATCCTAGCGTGCGTCACGTCACATCAGTGGATCCCAAATAAGAATAGACTGCAAGCACAGACCACCGACATTAGCAGGGGGTCGTCGTCAGTTCCACGCTAGGAGGTAAATCAGTCCCAAAACCACAGCCAAATCGGCCAGGAATTAGCGTGCCGTTCGGAAGCGCAACCAGGCCCCCTTTGAATTCGAGAATCAGCGCATTGCACCGAATTTTCTGATTGGCCCGAACGGCCACTTTATTTTTCCAAGGCAACTACGTACCAGACCAAGTTGCAATCAGCAACTGCCACCCCCAAACCGCTCTTTAAATCTTATCCCCCCAGCGCCCGATTTCCAGCGCTTTTCCCTCTTTCTCTCCCTATTTCCTCCATACAACAACACGTACCATCAATAACGCGCATCAATCGCCGCCATCAACAACATCTTTCCATCACCAATACACATCCTCAACGCTAATTAACATCCATCAATATGACTGGACGTAAGTAAATTTCACTTTGCATTGTTACGCGGTCACCACATCGCCGTCGCGTCATTGGCTGCTTTGATGCGGATGTATCGTCGCTCTTGAACGGGAGTGGGGCACCGTGGTGGGCATGGCCTTGTACCACTTGACGCGTCGCGTTTACAATCTGTTATCGCCTCGCCTGTAATTTCATCAGTCAAGTCTCATCGATATCGATTGCTTCATGTCTCTTCAACTGTACATGCTAACCCACTGTCAATAGGCGGCAAAGGTGGCAAGGGTCTCGGAAAGGGAGGTGCCAAGCGTCATCGCAAGATTCTTCGTGACAACATTCAGGGTATCACCAAGCCCGCTATCCGACGTCTCGCTCGTCGTGGTGGTGTCAAGCGTATCTCTGCTAGTAAGTAATACCCAAGCACACTTAGGCACCCATCGCATGCTCTTCAAATACACGTATTAACCAACCATCTACAGTGATCTACGAAGAGACTCGCGGTGTCCTCAAGTCTTTCCTCGAAGGTGTCATCCGAGATGCTGTTACATACACTGAGCACGCCAAGCGCAAGACCGTCACATCTCTCGATGTCGTTTACGCCTTGAAGCGACAGGGCCGTACCCTCTACGGTTTCGGTGGTTAAGCCGGTTTTGCTCGGTTTCCCTCCAACATTGCACCTCTACTATCCATACCAACTCACATGGCACAAGGGCAATTGGCTCACTTGTACACGGCCTATGGTGTACTCTAGAAGATGGAGGAAATATTTTGCTTTCAGTATTCGCGCGTCGTTCTGCTGCATGATACACAAACATTGTGTGATATTAGGCGTTGGTGGTTTATGGGTTGGCTCGGGTTTACACGATGGATTGATTGCCCATGAAGGGAAGGCGTCTGCCGACTGTAGTAGTGCACAGCACTGATCAATACAGATGCAATTCTAATATTGCAATATGAACACAAATACTTGATTGTCAACTTTCTGTTTCATGTGACTTGGTATTTGTAAAATAATCATGGTATCTAGTCTAAAACTCCAAACGCCGCTCGCACGATACCTAGGCCAGGCATATACCTCCTTTTCGATGCTTGACGTCCTCTGTAATGACCAACCAAGAGATATATACACCCACATCACACACACATCATGACCGACCCGAAGATATTAGATATTACAAGTACTTGCGACCAGCAGCAGCCACCCGCTGGCGGAAAATAGGACTACGGACCTCCATGTTGGCGCGATAAAAGGGGCTCATGATGGCCTTGACCCACGACTCGTAGACCTCGAGCATGAAGGCGCGCACGGCCTCCTCGGTCTGCGGACTCGTCGGGTTCGTGGCGATGGTAGACGTCGACGAGCGCGGGTTGGTGATGCCGCCGCCGGACGAAGACGAAGACGACGCGGGCGGCTGGTGCAGGAGCATGAACTTCACGTTGCCGCCTGTCAAGAAGCAGGACACGAAGTTGTTGAAGAAGCGGTCGATGCACTTGAGATACCTATGGGTGGGAGAGAGGTTAATTCCTGGGGTAATAAAGGAACAGAACGGGGGAGGCAGGTGGGTGGAAAGTGAGGCTGCTCACATCTGTCCATTGCCCCATTGGACTTCCTCTACGATGTCCAGACTGCTGTGCACGATGAACTGGTTCATGTGGTGCGCTTGCTCGGGGAAGCGCGCCTGGCCGTCGCCGCCGGCCTTCGAGGTGCCGAATTCGTACTCGAAGAGCGGGTTGTCTTCTGTCCCGACTATGACGAAGTAATACGACATGGTTCAGGTGTTGTTGGGTTAAGAGGAATGATCGAGTTAGATGGTTGAGTTGATGGCTTTGGTCTGGGGGGTTGTAGGTGCCACGAGTAGTTTAGGATTAGCTTGTGTATTTAGCGTGGCCTTTTGCTATCTGTCGATCATTTGTGATGGTCGTCTATCGGTCGACGGACGGACTGACTGACGATGAGGGCTCTATGTCTGGTCTGGTCTGGATACTATACAGATAGAGTCGTTTGAGTGGATGCGACTGTCTGCGGTAGTTTACAGTGGGGCCTTAACAGCAGCCCCAGCGCTGTAGTTGAGGTGGAACCAGCCGGTCGGCACCCTTGGCTCGTGTGCCCCAGCTTTCTACGCCGGCGGTCTGCCGCGCCGAAACTTTTCCAATCTGTAGGGGCGCCGTTAATTGACGAACCACATCAACCCCCCTCAACGCCAACATCACCCTCACATCACCATGTTCGGCGCCTTCAGACCGACAAACGCCCTATTCGGCGGTCTTTTATGGTGTGTTGATATTACTCTTGTCCCTCAAATCAGCACAAGCACGAGCACAATGATGGAAATAAGCTCCCAATTTCCAATGACCGACTAGACCGAATTCGCGATCATCTTATATCCCTAGTTTGCTGACGCTGGACCGATACTTACAGGAAGACGCCCTGGCGGCTCTCGCGATTCCAAAAGGCTCGGCAGAGGCAGCGTCTACGGGCCGTCGATGCTGTCGTGGCAACGGTAGACCAGGCGCTGGCGAAGAAGGGCGAGACGTTGAAGGCCCTCGACACATGGAAGGAGACGATGCCCACTGAGGGAGAGATGCTGCCCAAGGACAAATACACCATGTTCGACCGGAAAGAGAAGCGATATAGGAAGGGAATACATAGTATGTTGACACTATTCTGAGATTCCAACTGGTTTCACTAGGGGAGGTGGCGGTTCGATGCTGACTCTGGTTTTTTTTAACAGAATTACCGAAATGGACGAGAGTTTCACAGCGAGTGAACCCGCCGGGTTACTAGACGATTGAGGGGATATGTTTTGGGCTGGGGAGAGCAATGATTGAATTGATACGGCTTCTACGATGTGGACCGAGATATATACATTATGGATTACCACGATACAGGGCTTGAGGATACTGACTTGTCGATCGGTGAATCCATGTGTACAATACTGTACAAATTTGCGGCAATATAAACGCAACGAGAAAGATATGGCGCGAGCAGCGCGGCTTGCATGTAACACTCAATACAAAAAAAGAAAAAAAATTGAAATCCATTACAGAGCATTTCTCGTCTGTACCAGTGATCTCGATGTAGCCCAAAGGTTTCTTACCAATAAGTATACTAGCATAGCGATTGTGGACAAACTTAGCTAGTCACGATTGCACCTCTTGCAGTTGGGTTATATTCAGGTATCTTATTTATGCGCCCAGCTAATTGTAATTTAACAACGTTGTCCAGAGGCTCTGGTCATCATGACATCTCAGGTAAGCCTGCTCCCAGTGATTCAGTGTCTATCGAGATCAACCGCAATTCCTTATCATGGCCGGCGGCTCTCGCAGCCGCTCTTCTCCTTCTTTCTCTTTGATTATGATTTGGCCGGCTCTTTTCACGATCATCTACGTTAACTACTCATTTCCCCTTCTTCGAGACCTGGCTCGTAGTGATCCGATCCCTATCGAAGTCTACCATAGTCGTCTTCATGGCGGCCATCCCTCTCACGATTCCTTTCCGAATCACGCAGCCTTTCTGCCTGAAGGGCCCTGCCTAGACCGCCCCTACCCTCGTCGAAGTCGTCACGATACTCGTCGCGCACCTGCCCACCCGATTTGCCACGACCGTATTGGCGGCCTTCTTCAAACCCTGGATCCAGATCGGTACGGATAACACGCTCATCAAGCTTCGTCCCACCGATATACTTCATACAATCGAGGGCATCTTGGTGCGTGTAATACTCTACGAAACAGAAGCCACACGGCGTCTTCTGAAACTTGTCCAATCCCATAACCAAGCGTTTGATCTCGCCGCATTTTGAGAAGAGTTCATAAACTTGCTCTTCAGTTGTATAGAAAGACCTAAGGATGAGTTTGTTAGCACGAAAATGGACCAGATAGCGGGATGCGTGTGTCCGTAAGTGAAATGGAATATGGCACTGACAGATTACCAACATAGAGTGTAGTGGCATTCTTGAGAGGATCCTCGGGCGGTTCCTCCGGTTTGGCGTCGGCCATGTCTGTATCCCCGTCTTTATTGCCGTCTTTGCCATCCCGCCCATGATCATTCCGTCTTCTTTTATTATTCTGAGATGTTCAGAGTCAGCTAGTCCGTGACACGATAGGCAATTACCTGGGCGAGATGAGAGCTCACTCACTCGGTTGTGGTAATAGGCACTAGGTTGATCCAACCGGTCGACGGTTGATCGCAGGCCGGAACGCATATTGAAGGACAAATTCGTTGTCTCCAGTGCAGATATATTTACACAAGACTTATGTGTCCGTTGCTAGAATCTTTGATAATTGTAAAGTGACTGAGAGGTACTATAATCAATGGGTGAGAAGTTGAAGGAGATGATGAGCTCTGGTCTTGGATCCACTTTAATGTAAGTACCTACCCTACCAGGTACGTATCTGCACATCAAGCAACCTACCTACTGTAAGCTACAGCTACAGGGTAGAGTAGAGCTGTCGCGTCTAGACGCGCCTCATGGCTTAGCACAGTCCTGCGTGGGTAAGTAAGTATCTAAGTACATACCTATGTACCTACCCACCACTAACAGGAACAGGCTACAGCACCTCCAGCAAGCGTTGGCTGGGGAGCCTGCATGTCATTGGCCAAGGCTCCCAGCACACCTGAGCCACGGGCGGGAGATGCGCTAGGTCAACACGCTAGGTAGCCTGGTATCAGGTATCAGAGGGAGAGCTCCTGCAAACAGCAACCTTGCAATCTTTTTGCCTGAGACGATCCCTCAGGGCTTCAAGCTGCACTTTGGCATTTTCCACAACCCGTCATACCCAACCAGACATGCACTTCTCTTGAAAGCTGCGCCACTCGCTCGCCTCGTTCTCGTCGTCTACCATCGCCATTCGAGATGCCCAAGATAAAAGCATACACCCCCGCCTGGCTTTCCAGTCCATCGCCTGCCCACCAGCTATTCGCTCCGAATCCTGATAGCTCCCCGAACATACCCTCTCATGCCTCAACAGCAGCCGCCAACGCTGGCCCTCGCCGAGTTGTCGCAACCAGAGGGTCCGAGGTTTTCATTGCCGTGGGGAAGGAGATCCGCTGGGGTGATCTGGTCTATCTCAAGGAGAGATGGCAGGAAAAGGCAGCTCGCGGCCGAGGGGATGTTCACATAAAGCGCGAAGACGATGATGAGGTCGATGACAGTGATATAATCAGAGACTCGATCGAGAGTGGATGCGCCGAAGGCTTCCGGGTTGGCATTCCTCCATAAGCTATCACTCAGCAACGGCCTTGACTAACCCTGCGCAGACCATCAAACCTCCAACCATTGGAAGCGATATCCAACAGCTAATCATATCACCCTATGCTAACTTTATGGCCGTTCTGACTACCCACACCATCCGGATCATCCTCCTTCCTGATCCCTCTCACCTTACGGCTCCTAGTCTTGACATGATCAAACCAAAGTCGTGGTCCCTTGGTCCTACAACCCACTCCGATGATCGTTCACCTATCGCCTCTGCCCTGTGGCATCCCCTTGGGGTTGATGGTTCAGCCTTAGTAACGGTGACAAGGGATGCAGTAGTTAGAGTATGGGAATTATCGCAGAAGGACCGGTGGTCCTTCGATACATCTGCTTTGACAATAGATCTTCAGAAGCTTGCTGATGGAGTGTCACTAGACGAGAACTTCTCCGCCAGCAATCTTGTCAAGAAAGGCTTCACTCCCGACTCCTTCGATATGGAGGTAGCGGCAGCCTCCTTCGCGGAAAGAGGATCCGGAGGTTGGTCTTCCATGACACTATGGATCGCAATGACAGGGGGTGATGTGTATGCTCTGTGTCCGTTGTTGCCAAGTCAATGGGCCCCCCCTCCCACTCTCATTCCATCTCTATCAATATCCATAGTTGGTAACCTAGCCGCAATCGAGGACGACCCAAACGTATCTGAACAAGCCAAGTTATTGGCACAGCAACAGCTTGATTGGATGTCTGATCTTGATAATCAAGAACCACGGGTCATCGATGGTCCACCAGGAGAACCGCCTACAGAGGTATACACGAGACCTTCACGACCCGGTGTGGTACCACGTCTCCAAGGACCGCTTCCTCTCGATCTAGGCCCCGACAGTGAGGATGAATTGGATCTCAACCTAACGGATATACTTGTCATTGGCGAGAAACTCGACACCGAAGATCTTATGTATGGCGAGGAGGAGGACTTGGAGATGGAAGATACCGAACGAGAAGGCTTGTCACTGTCGATAATCTGCCTGCTCTCGTCCAGTGGGCGGGTGCAGATTTGCTTAGATGTCGGTGGCACACAGGCCCAGTGGCTACCGCCCCGGAACAAGTCGAAGACCATGGGCCGCTTGGTTGGTACACCAACGTTATTGACCTTTTCAACACTTGACACACTGGCCGCTTTAGAAGTAACGAGCGAAGCTTGGCCGGTCTTCAGTCCTGATGTTACCTCTCGATACTCATTCTATATCACCCATCCCTCCAGCCTCACCTATGTTTCCTTGGCGCCCTGGGTTTTCCGCCTTGAAAGTGAACTGCAGGGGGATTCGGAGGCTGGTTCTGAGTTCAGGATCAACCTCCTCATCAACGGCCAGGCCTCCACACGAGAGCGCCTCTATAACAGCCCAGCTCAGAGCGATATGCAGCTACCTCTAAGCGCAGCCGTTGCAATTCGAGACCCTGACCTTGGTTACTTCCTATTATCTGCTACCCCGTTTGAGCCAGTTGCTCTAATATTCGACGCACCAGAGGACGATTTCGTGCCTATACAGGCGAACTCGCCATCCTTCAACCAGGAAGTTGAAGTTCAACCACTAGAGTTCTTCGAGCCCCGTCCTGTCTATCAGCCCTCTCACGCGTTTGATGAAAGTTCGGTGCTTCCTAGATTTATTGAGCAGCTCCGGACAAGTCGACACAAGGCAATTATGAATCAAGAAATCCGACTATCTCCACTTACGTTACAGCTATTCACCGAGGCACACCAAATTCTTAGTGATGAGACCCACAGGCTTGGTGTCGCCGCTTCTGAGGTATTCCGACGTTGTGTAAAGCTCCAAGAAGAATTGGAACAACAAATTACGAAGGCAAACGAAGTTAAGGCAAGGGTCGAGGCTATTACGGGCGAAGACCAGGCTGAAGCGGGCGAAGAACCCGAGCCAAGTAATGCCGCTATCGAGAGGCGGCTTCAAAACGCCAAAGAAAAAGGAGATGCCTTAAGCCGGCGCTTGGAGAAATTAAGAAAGACGGTCAATAAGGCTACCAATCGGGAGCTTAGTAAGAAAGAGCAAGACTGGGTTAAGGAAGTGAAGGCTTTGGATGCCGGCATACATGGAACATCTCACACAACAGATGGACCAAATCGAGCCAAGCAGTGCATGGACAGATACCAGAAGATTGCAGAGCTAAAAGAAGAGCTTGCAGAACAAGCCAAAGCACTTGAGGCTCCAAATGTCGAAGAGGATAGTCCTACTCCTTCACGGACCGACTTGCGTATCCCATCAGAGCTCAGGCGCGCAAAAGTTGGCCAAGTCAAGGATCTCCTCGAACGAGAGACAGCGCTGCTCGAGGCGGTCAAGTCAAGGCTGGGACGCTTGGCGGTCGGGTAGGAGTCGAAACAATGTACAGAATCGGTTCTATCTGTCCTGGATGACCATTGTAAAACTGTCAAGGCTATTCCGATTTACGTCAGCGCATGTGCAAGGTCATGGGTGGTCAATCGACCATATGATATGTGTGAGGTTCGACAACTATTCGAAGGTGGTCAGCGCTGCCTGCCCGTGGTAGTTCCTTCTTGGACGCCTCAGTTGCATTGTAGCATTATCTGTAGGCATATAGAGGCTCTTGTATGACACCTTTTTTTTTTTTTTAAACCTTATGATTATGTGGCGTTGTCGGACGCAAAGTGCGGCACCACAGTGCTAGCCAGCCTCATCCTATCGTGTCATTGGCTTCTCCGTGGAATCTAGTAACCCGACTTTTTCAGCGGGGTGAACTCAAAGTGCACATCCAAGTTGACCATACAGCACTCTGAACTAAGGGAAAAATCAAAGAGTCAATCTGCACCTGTCCCTCCTCATATCAGTTCGCCAGCTAGGAAATATCAATATCGAGAGATGTCTTTTCTATTAAAACCCGACAGTGTGGGATGATGATTCGGGGTTCTCAGGGGGGTGTCCTAAACAACCTCGGGAACCCCCAACTGCTCGCCTCACTTTTGAAAAATCCTCGCGGCTTTCCAAGCCGGACCCTATTCTCCCTCGCAGTAGGCTGGCTACGTGCAGTGCGGCATCTTCACGGTTGTCCGAAGAGGCTAGACTCAGTGAAACGGTTCTGCGTGTGTTGCAGGAGTACGACGGCTTCTCACCTCTCTTGTCATCATCGTCTTGTAAGCCTCGTTTGACCAATAGTTGCCACCAAGCTCGAACACAAAGGGGACCGTGGCTGCAGAGAGCCATCATCACCTCACATTTGGCTCACATATAAATAAGATGGGCTTTCCGGACACTCCGGCCATGATGTCTGAAGCTATCTATGCCAACTTTATTTTCCTCGATGCTAGTGTACCTCCAAGCGGCCCCCAATCCGGTTCCAACCCAGCTTCAGCACCCACTAGATACCGCCATGGCCCCCCAATTGCTAACCCCGTCGACTCTGGTCTTCGATAGCCGTACGCAAATTATAAGTCAGTTGCTTCACCTCTCTTACATAAGACCGTGCCCTGTTCTGATTGGACAATCTCAGGCAACTGCAAGTTTCTTATAAACAAAGGTGACAATATCGAAGTAGTTACCAGCAAAGATCCCTCTGGCAAGCTCTTCAAAGCACTGGCAGTGCAATGCGGCGAAGAGTCTCGCGAGCTTCTACTAGAGTCAGAACACTGTGAGAATGCCCAAAAGGCAGTCGAATCTCTGCATACAAAATCATGCGAAGCAGTCCATAACTACACTGCGATAAATGGCTTCGCAAGGCCCCGCGACCTCAAGACGACGTTTCTTGAGCCTAGCTTGAATGACAACGATGCCGCCTCTATCATTTCCGGCCGCTCTGATTCATCTACTGCAGCCATTTCCGAATGGGGCAGCTCTGGTGATGAGGCTATGATGCTAAAGCACGCATCAAGGACCAACAGGGCTTCAAAGGATCGACAACGTCCTTCTGGTCGCCCCGGCAGTTATATCGCGACGACTACTGGTGCTCATGAGCTACTAGGAGAAACCCGTTCAAGGGGATCCCTTCGAGAGGTCACCTTCGATCCAGCACCCCCACGCGGCCGCGCTGTCCGCCCTGCCCGTTCTTGCTCGCCTCCCCTTGTTTTCAGACAAGGGCCTCCGCCGCCTCCCCCTGGTAACCCTGGCACGAATGGGCCTTCAGTTCCGCCGCCCTCGATGCGAAACGTGCCCATGCCAATACCCTCACACCCTTACCCATCGGGCATGGCAGTCGGGCCGCCGCACCCCGGCCGTCCGCAAAATAACATGAACCCACCCATGCCTCCGGCGCAGCACTTCCAGTGTCTTCGTGTCCCGGGGTACCCGGCAGACGGTCCCTCTTTTCCGACGCCTTTGGCGCCCATCCGCCCTACCAAACCAGCAGGCCCCAGTGCCTCCAATAACTACCACGGTGGCAACGGCAATGGCCATAGCAATCACCTATCCCGTCCCCTCTCCGTCTTTCACCCCCAAGTGCGCACCCACGCCGTCCGTATCACGGTGCACTGGCTGCGTCACGGTCAGCATCGCATCATAGCCCAGTGTCAGCCAACTCGCGAATCCCTGCAAAGCGCGGCCGTTACGGACGTACGCCTGAATCCAGATGCTTTCACCAGCGACGGCAACAGCAGCAGTAGCCATAACGCCAACAACAGGGATATTAGAGGCATAACGGCCCTGCGTGCACATGTGCGCCAGGCCGTGTTTGCTGGCGAGCCGTACGACATGAGGACGTTCCACGGCCAAGACCTGGCACGCCTGTTCCACGTCATGGCTGCCGACGACAACATGCCGTCCTTCGAGGTCGTGGTGGAGGAGCTCCCGCCGCACGACGCCGAAGACAGCGACTACGACGGGGCGAGCAACATGGGTTTTCCTTGACGTGAGACTTGAAAACTTGGCCCGAGCAAGCATGCATCGACCACCCATGATATTAACAAGGCGGATTGAGTAACCGTCTACTCGGGCCGGGTCAGGCAGGACTAGCTCGGCTTCTTGTTTCTTTTTTTTTTTTCTCCACCCTGGTAGGATGTCTGTCTCAACACTCTCTCCTACTCCGTAATCTTTCGCGTTACATGTGACGCACAAAGCGCGCGATTTCTTGGCTTGTTCCTTTTTTATCATTTTCCTAGGCCTTTTGCTCTCATTGCTTGGGCTTTTTTCTCCTCTTTTCTTCTTCTTTTCTCTCTCTAAACGCAGTCATGCACTGGCAGAGCGGCATTAAATTGGAATTGTCATGAATTGGTTTTCACCTTTACCTACTCGCTTCATGTTTTTTTTCAGGCCAGGTTACACACCTTCATGAAACAGGAAACAGAAAAGTATTGTGCAGATTTCTTCAACACACCACTGTCTACCTCCTTGATGCAGTGTTCCCAAGTTTGCTTTGCTATTTACAGTGCTTCTTTAGTATGCAATCAGAAATAGTTATCTAGAAACACGGGCGACTATTGCTGTGTCCACATCTAGACTGAATTTAGACATGTAATCTAGGATTGAGAATCCTGCTAGCAGTATCACAGCATCTTGGTCTGTCTACACGTGGGCAGCTTTGCATTTCGATACTTCAAAAATTAGCCCTGTTTTCGTAATAACGATGAGGTAGCGTGCATTGCCCTCCCTTTTGTCCTTACTACACTAATAAGCACCATTCAATCCCCGTTGGGACTCCCACTTCCGTCACCTGTCTGGATGTATTAAACGGACTTTTGTGGTTGTATGTGTGTCAAAGACCCCAACCCTTCCTTGAGAGGAAGCCCAGGGAAGGTTGGTGACGGAAGTGGAGTCACAACGGGGTGCTAGACCTTACGCCTTGCCGCTCACAAACTCGATACGTGTAGATGTTGTATACAGAGTGAGGCTCGCGAGGCTCCTACGTTCAAGATAGCCGTAGTTCCCACTATTAAAACATACCTCAAGATAATCCAGTTATCACTCGCCCTAGGTATTTATACATGGCAGAATAGAGTTAATGATCGACAGCAGGCGGCCCAGTAAGAAGGAATTCATCACCAACCAAGTTTCGAACTATACTACGGTGCTATACACTATGGGTCTAGGATCAAGGGTATTCCTATTTTGTCGGCGTTTTCAGCAGAACCGGTCAGTAACGGGTGACGGGGACATGGATTTGTCTTAGGTAATAGCCAGCCAATAACTTTGCTTGATCCATTAGGTAGTCTTAAGTTTGTTTTGTGTGCTGTACATCCAACAAGCAGCTTCGACTGCCCGGTTAGCTCAATCGGTAGAGCGTGAGACTCTTAATCTCAAGGTTGCGGGTAAGTTCCCACAGTCAAGTATTCGAGCCCGACTCATTCATAGCTAACGCGCGCCGGCGCCGCAGGTTCGACCCCCGCATCGGGCTCAATTCCTGATGCTTCCTGGTTAACTGGGAATTGCAACTATCTTTTTCTGTTTTTTTACAATTTTTTAATTTTTAATTGTTTTTTTTTTCATCTTGAAATGATGAAGTTATCATTATTCTTGGTTGTGGTGTGAGTCTGGATGAGTGACAGGTGGCTGTCAACTGTACCACTCAGATTCACCCCGACATCATCCCATTAACAGTGCACACTAACCCTAAAAGGTTCACACCAGCTCTTACAAAAGACCAGTGAGTGACATTGAACAGAATTACATGCTTGATGCTTCCAACTTCACTGTAAAACTAATCGGTGTTTGAAACTCTTATTTTCTTGAAGTATCTTTTTCTCTGTCCTTGGTACTATTTGGATTTTCTCCAATTTTTCTCTTGCAAATTCAAGAGGTAGGTAGGCATTGTAAAAATGGTAGGCGATCACCAACCACCTATAAGATCGACATCTACATTGTGGTGTAGACTACCTAAAACACCTTTGAGGCGACGATATCCAAGCTGTTCTTTCCAAATACGCTGCAACAGCCCTGTCGCCCTCATATTTCGATAGGTAATCAGTAAATTCGTTCTCGTGTGATGACTAGGTGCCCTCCGTTTCCTCCTGGCCCACAGTGAACACATACATAAATAACATCCATGTTCCATGTCATTTCTAGGCGAGGACTACCGGTACACGCACGCCATCAACATCATACTCGACAGGCTAGGTGCTTGCAATATGGGTATTTAGTGCGATCAACATACTTACGTAGCCGTATGTGATCGTCCAAAGCCGGATTCAGGAACGACGAGCCCAGTCATACACGGGGTCAAAACGACGGCAGTTGTTTTCAAACTAGCTACCACCTTACTGTAAGAGGGCGTGAATCGCGAAATGGTCTGACCGTATGGATTCCACGAGGCCTCGACTCCAAGGGCCCATATCACCGCGTTGTAGTGTGTCACATTGGGAATTTTGTACAGAGGCTACACTAGGATGGCCAGATGCCCCCTTTTCTCCCTGTCTGCCACTGGGAATGATTCCTTGTGTGTAATTCATCTACGCAACTCCATGCTACACTGCAGCGGTGGTGTATCGATGGGCGGTCGGCGGTGGGAATGAAGCAATCTATTCTCTTTCCCTCTTGGCTGCAGTACGGGCATCATGAGATATCTATGATACGGCATGGGATGCCTCCGTGCGAGGGTTGGCAAGGCAAGCTCAGGTGACTCACGTAAACAAGCACCGGGTTCACGGAGAGGTAAGGGATTGGTCCGTTTCCCGTCTCTTTTTCCTTGTGTGTCTTCGCGGGTTCTCGCATGAGGGTTGAGGGATATGGACTACCTACGTGACAGTCCTTTTTCGGCTTCTCTCCTTGTGTCCTGCGTAAGTCGGCTGTGTGATATACGTACGGGTAACTAGGTGATACGGAGATACCATCTTGCGACCACAACACCACACCGCACTGCACTGCCGGAAGTTGTATAGGCGAATAGATGGATGGATCTGCAACCCCCCGATCTGGGTGTTGCTGTGTGCTGGATACCCTGGAAGTGATTGCGCGTCTGGTGGCTACACGGAACGCAGACATGGGTGTGGCAGACTGTCTAGACTACCTACATTAGTACGAGCGAAACTCACACGTAGTGTAGTACGTACATATCGTTCATCCTATGACAGGACGAGAACGCCTTGGGGCACGAAAATGAGGCTACACCAAAAGTACCGAGAGGTCGGACTCGGGATGGCACCCCAACAAATAACATAAACAGAGTAACCAGTAACACACTTGTTTGGCTAACACATCCGGGATATTGCCTGTCTGCTGCCCTCGCCTCCGCATATGACAGATATATGGGTGGGTGGGTGGACAGGTAGTCTGGCATCGGCCGGTTACTTGCTGCGGCGCCATTCCACGACATTGAAGCGTTTTCGACGGCATGACATGACACATCACCAGAAACAATCGATGTGTCAGATTCAGACAGGCGCGAGAGCAATATCGAGACCCTTCTACCGGGTTGTCGGCATGCCACGGTGAAGCCGACTACTGATTGATTAGGTCACACCATTCCAGAACAACGTGGATCACGAGAATTAGGACTCCTCAAAATACAACAATTGGGCAACCTTACTGTTTGAATCCAGGTCGTTGGTCAGTGGAAAGCGAAATACTTGGCTGTTGCGTTACATCTGCCAAATAGAGATCATAAGGCCATAAAAATCATCCAACAATTTTAGAGAAGGTTGGACAACCTCGCATTGGACCAAGCTGTCAGTGCCCCCCCATGGCCGACTCCAGTTCTAGGAGGCTTCACAGCCGCAGTAAGTATCGTAGTTCTTCAGGCAGTTAGAATCACAATGTGTGCCTTCGTCAACCCATTAGCAAAGGACCTACGTAGGTGGGGGTCTTTCTTATCCGACATTTTACTCGGTTTTATCGTGGAAGTACTCAGGGACGTGTTTCGTATATTTCGCATTGCTAGAGACTAGTTACGGCAAATCTAGGAAAAAAGCATGGCGATCTAGAAATCGGGCTATCTTCGCCGTGTCTTGGGATTCCATATGCTATAATGCCACAGCATATTTCAAGGGCTTCCCTTCAGTTCAGTATCCCCTTTTCTTCATATCTGTTATCCGATTACTGTTTCCTCGACCGTGCCCCAGCCTCTACGAATCATCTAAACGACGACCGAGGCTGAAACTTTCTTGCAATGGATGTATGGCTTTCTTCTTTCTCCTTTGTAAAGCTTGGTACAGAGCGAATGCCAGCAATGGCGAAAGAAGTGCTTTCTCAAGTATTTTCTGGTTCATGGTTTCGCAAACGGTATTATGAAACAATTAAGAAGAGAAACGAGTACGGTTGAATCATTCGAGTTCTGCTCCCCTTATGTTGAGTTTGACGGACGTCTTTCTTCAATGTGCATGCTATTGCAACTCGGTGCTATTTCCCAGGCAATAGTCATGGCAAAACGCAAAATGGAAATGGAAAGGGAAAGGAAGAGGCAAAGGTTGCAGGATTTTTTGATTAGCTTTCAAGAGGAGAGAAAGAGTCAGTGCCGAAGCCTCCTGTGCCATGAACAGGAGTAGTGTGTATGATCAATGGAAATAGGTGTGATCCTTGTTTTTTCCACCTCTTCTTGAGCGAATGAAGCAGCACTCAATTTGTCTTGGTTAATCGTGGTGCGCATCCTGATGTTGGTTCATGCCCGGGCTTTCTTCTCTGTCAATCCTATTGAAAACACAGCCACGGTGGTTGCTAATTTCCATAGTAGCTACACACGCATGAGATGGCATAGATTATGCAGCAACTAGGGCAAGAGAGCAAGCACTAGTAGTCAAGAAGACCTTCGCCAGTGTCAAAATCTGTATGAAGAGGGCTCTTTTCTCCACCATCAGTGGCCACCATGCATCCTGAAGTGTACATTGGAGAACAAGGTGAACAAGGTGTCTCATAGACGGTATTGTAGTCGTAGCTAGCCTTTTCATCTGGTGGTTCAGGATACTCATAACCCCGCGCACCATATGAGTCGCTATGCGCCAGTAGCATATGTGCTCCAGAACTGCCAGATCGTTCTGGATCTGAGTCACCCTCATACGTCAACAAAGGTGTTTCCAGTCGTGGGCCTGTCGGATGAATGGACTGGCGCAGACCAGCATGGCCAAAATAGGCCGGTGAGGTTGGGGGCAAACATGCAGGTAAAGGATTTTGATCAAAATCCTCATAGGAAGTACGACGTGCTGGGTCAGCATGTGTTACTGTCTCCATGCTCTTGAAATACCCTTTATCATAGATATCGGATGGTTGATTGCCCATGTATTTGTCCTCGATAAGGGAGCCAGTATAAAAGGGCGGTGGCAGCGGAGGAGGCGGAGGAGGATGTATGCTTCTGTGACGTTTACGAAAACGAAATGGACGATCTTGTCCTGTTGGAAAACCTGATTGTTGGGATGGGAATGCCTTGTGGTCCTGACTCGAACTAGGGGTTAAATCGATATCGCGGCTTCGCCGAGCATAGACAGTGTTGGAAATCCAGCCTCTCTCAGTATTTTCGCTCTACATTGTCATGACATTATTATGGATATTCAAGGTTGACATCTGTAAGCTGACGAGGGGATGAAGGAAGGGGCTCCTTTGGGACTTATCACGGTTGGACTAGTACATACCGGATGTGCATTCTTCTCAATGCGAGCAGCACCCAGGAGATAATTCTCTAGATGCAAAGCATTAGTTTGGCAGTTGTGACGTTCCAGAATAAGGCGAAGGAGGCGGGCAAAGGAATAGACAATGCCGTGGGTTTACCAAGCAAATATCAGTTATAACATACCTCGGTCTTGTTTCGACAGATAGTAATCAATCCAACTACCCCGGGTCATCTCTTCCTCAGCACTGATGCTGGGGTTTCGACGCCGCTGTCTGCGCAGGAGAGTCCACTTGTAGAAAGTCTTGTTGAAGGTGTTGCACAGGCGCAGGAATGCAAACTTCTTCGCCCTTGTCACCCTGAAGGGTGTGGACTGTCTTTTGATGTAATCCATGACAGCTTTGTTCTTTATCTCAATAAAGTCCACAAGCTCTCGCACATCGGCTAGTGGAATATCATCCTTATAGTTATGCATGCCATGAAGAGCCTCATTCAGCTTTGTGGCAAAGGAGAAGGCCCAGTCACTGACATCGTCTTCCGACTGTCTGCCACCTCTTCTCTTCGCATGAGGAGAGCGTTGCTTCTTCCCCTTCTCTTTCTGGCTTGCAAGGTGCTCGTACTTGCAGATTAAAGACAGTACAGTGTCTAGCTCGTATTGAGACCATTCTCGTACTTTGGGCTCTTGATCAAGATTGAAGGGTAGCGAAGGGTAGTTCTCCGTAGGCGGAGGTGAGTTTGCTGTATCTGAAGAACTTGCCATGTCGAATTTAACTGTTTCCTAGCTATGTTAAAAACGCAACGTGAGTGACCATGTACAGTATTTTCAGGAGCAATGGGGCGGATACATCTGAGTGGGTGAAAAGGTGATAATATTTGCATAAAAATTTGCCTGGCAACATTGTGGAAGGAGCAATGTAGAAAACACGCAAGATACACTGTAGCCCAAAGGAAATAGGAGAACATGACATGCCGGTGACCGGAGATACAAGGGATAACTGATGCTCTTTCTTTTCTGTGCCTTACCTAGGTATAAGGATATATATCTGCGAGACCGTACTCAAACGTAGGGCAGGCCAGCGGGTTGATAGTGAATTGGTAGAAGTTGCAGCTTGACCAATCTTGCACGGAAATAGTCACTGGTATCAAAGGAATTGGAAAGGCGCCGCAAGAGACTGCGTTAGATGAATCGTATCCTGTAGTTAGAGAAAGTACGAGGAAGAGGAAGGTCGGCTGGAACAAAGTTGTAGATAGGTGCAATGATGGGAAATTTGATAGGCATGAGATTAGAGAGGTACTGCAGACCTGGGTATGAGTGAAGTGCAATACGTTTCATGGGTAAGGATGCTACGTACCGAGGTGATAGCTTGAGCTACACTGTAACAGAGTGGCCTAAAGCTGGTAGTTACCTTTGTTGAGTCAGGAAGATCTGTGAACGGGGGAGAGACGTGGAAATAAGACTTCACAGTGGTGTGGGTAGAGATGTACTCGAAAGTTAAGGAAAGCAGTAGAGAAAGAGCGAAGACTAACAAACATGGTCTGTGTGTGTGTGCGGTACAACAGTTATGTACTTTGGATTTATCGCAGGAAGGCAACAAGGTTGGTGATGTTATTTGATAAGGGCCGCATTGAACTAAACATAACATCATTTTCACCCTCAAACTGCACGTGTTGTGGTTCTGCGTGCATGTAGCAGGACAACGCGGAAGGAGATAGAAGGGGGCCAAGGGGGTGAGAGGCTGTGGGATATATCTCATTGTATATCTGAAGTATTCATTGCCCAGCGTGAACCTATGACCATCAACAATATCAAGCCAAGTAGAATTCATACATCCAAGGCACAAAACTATAAGGGTCGTTACATTCAAGGTTCAAGAGGTATGTTGATACATGTGTGGTAAACATCATAACATGGCGTTTATTCGGTGTGATATCACGGATTGACTATTCGGAGGTAAGTTTGGCAGGTAGCTAGCTACGTTGTCACGGCAAATGCCCAGCTACCCTTCAAGAAGTATGTAGACAAGTGATTAGTGACCTGTAGGTGACAACTGACATTGTGTGCTCATCATCCGCCCTTGCTGCCACAATAATTAACATCTAAGAAATCAAGGATATCAATACCTTGGATACCACTACGCACAAGCAACCAGAGGATACTTCCTAATTTTTAGTGGGCTCTATAATAAATAAGCACATGCATATGTTCGCCCAATTTCAATAAACCTCGGGTCACCTTCAACTTATATCTGGGAGATTACCTTCGATGCCCGAGGGGAACGATTAGCCGCACGGAGTGTGTCAATACTTATCCCAGATATGCTATTGTGAGGCAGTGATGGGTTTTGTGGAAGTGATACTGAGCTAGGTCTTCAATACTTGAATTTAAGTCTTCTGAGACTTGGTATGCATGGCATGTAGATGGTATAGCTAGTTAGTTATGGAGAAGCTGGTTTCTCACGTCTATGCTGGCAGTGCTGCTTCACCACAAATCCAGTTAAATCAGTTGTCCTGGTGGAGATTATCCCAATCTTAACTCTATCGCCCGGAACGCCGCCCAAATGCCAATGTTGTCATATCTCCCCCTCGTCATGACCTACATGTCGTTGTTATAGCTTAGTATATACCCTGGGTGCGATATTGGAAAGTGTCATAACTAAGGATCTGTCAGTACATAGATCTTAATATGAGAAGGCAAACTTGCAGTCGTGTATAATAGCTACCGAGAGATTTGGCGATCAAATCTGTCTCAACAAAGCTTTCGGCTTCATCGGCGCTCAAATGTAGCTGGAAACGTTGCCGTAAAGCTGCCGTTGTCTGTATCACACCAGCAGAGTAGCATGGCATCTTCGAGTCTCTTCCCATCATGTTTACGAGATCAATAATATTGTCCGCAGATCGACGAAGTGCTTTTTTGTATTAGCAACAACGATTGCTGTAGAACTCATCTGGTAAGACTTACCTTGGAACGCTTGCTTGCATAACGTTTTGTAGTCTTCAAAATCCGAAGACCCGACCCCGCCCAAAACATCCACATACTCCTGAGTGAGTTTGAAAGGGGCGGCTTCAAACCCAACCGAACCGGGAGAGTTTGAGAGCATGAATCCAAAATCAATATGAATAATGTGTCCTTCGTTATCTATGAGTACATTTCCGTTGTGACGATCCTTTAGCTGCAAAACGTATTGTATCATGCTGTATGCAGCAAGTGATCGTTTAAATGCGTCTACGGCACTTCTGTACGCATCACTGTCGGGTTTGCCGAATGTCTTGACCCAGTGATCTTTGAGAGTCGCGAAGCGCCTGCGAGGATTCACACCAGATTCTATTGACGATAATGTCAAGCTGCGCTTTAGAGAGTGTAAGGAGACACCGTTAGTAATGGTCTCGATAAGCCCAGACGACTCGCCAGTGACTAGTATTTGCATGAGCTTGACCCAAACAGGTACGCCTGCATCCACCCATATCCTGTGGCACACCTGGATCAATTGACATGCAAATGCTTCCTGCCGGAGGTCGGACCCTGTCTTCACAATGACACTGACGAGATCCCAATTTTTCATCCAACCATAAGGGGAAGTCTTTCGAATGCGTTCCTTTTTGACATGCCACGCCTCGCCAAATACAGCGGCGCTAGGGTCGTCACGGTCGCCTTTTTTCTGCACACCTCCAGTCATAGCATCGTTTTCCATCCTGGCGGCTCCAGCCGTAGGGGTGTTCACAGCTGTAAATTCATCGTCAAGGTCGGCCTCGGAAACTGACGAGGTGGCGCTTGCCTTGGCGATTATCAAGTCGAAAGTAGGTCCTTGGCCGTCATCTAGATCGAAGCTCTGTTCCTCTAAGCTCTGCATACTGGCAATAATCTTTGATCGAATAGCCGCGACTTCTTGCTTCGGCCGTTTCCCGCTAGTCGCATCCAACTGCGCTAGCATTTGTGAGGCAGTACGCATATGAGTTGCTAATGCTGAGAAATCTGGCTGTTCGTGTGTATTTCGCGGCCCCGAGAGTCCCATCTTCTGTAAGGATCCAGGGCTACTTGATCGAGACATAGATACTATAGAATCTCGTGGAGGCGAATCTAATGTCGCATTTATGAGGCCATTTGGCATAGACTTGCGAGAAGATAGTTTCGCATTTTTCTTATCGTTAGCATCATCATCGAACGCTTTGAGCATAGGCGAACTTCCTAGGTCTCCTGATGTCGGCTCGAACACGCTGTCGACCTTTTCATTCTCTAGAGATGTAGATCGTTCGCTGGTAGGCCTTCGCTGAGCATCTGATAGATCAAAAAGCCGTTTACGGCTGTTCTGCTCTGAGAGTAGTGTGCTCAGTAAGCGTTGATTATCTACCGAATTGGGGTCAAATGTGAAGTCATCTTTGAGAATTTCAATCATAAGGAGAAATGGAACCTTTTCCGCGCTATTTAGAACCGTGGCTTCAGCGGGATTGACCCTAACTATGCGATGATGCCGGCTCTTTGCAGGTGAGCCATCGACAAGTGTTGGCGGACATAAAACTGGAATATCGAGCTCCGCAGGTAAGTCCCTGGCAATTAGTGCAAGTTCGGCTCTCAAAGCACTGAGACGAGCTGGCTTGGGTACTATCACAAGCCTATTCGATATATCTTCGAGGGCTGAAAGGAACATTGTCTGCGTCCGAAAATAGTTTTGTCGAAGCAAACTGATCTTCTGATTCATACTCATCTCTGCTAGAGTGAGAGTAGTCTTTACATGGTGAGAGTGTCTACGGTAGATAGCTTCTGTTGGGCGTGGCAGCCGGGCTGAAAGTGGTGTGGCAGGGCGGGAAATGGCTTTTGGTGATCTCATCTCAGGGAGTGGAAGAGATGAAGAACTCATGCGTGCATCTACTAATTTTGAATCGATGAATTCTGGTTTTGCGTCTGCTTGAGTAAGGGTAATCTCTGTTCCAGCATGCGCTGTAGAGGATACGTCAATACTTCGCGGCGCATTGTCCGGTCCACCGACCTTCACGTCGTGGGAATCAACCCCCTTAATTCCATCTCGCTGCCGTCGTGATCTTGTCGAGGACACAGTCACCGTCTGGCTCCGTGTCATCTTAGGCGGTGTTTGGCTCAAGTCAGAAATGGCGTCGCTGGTGGGCTGGGATTTCCGTGCTTGCGCGACAGCAAGGGGCCCGGCCCATTGGGACAGTCTAGGAAGTCCAACGCTCGCTAGTACAAAGCTCGCCAGAACAGTGACGGGTAGAACATTTTCTTTTATTTTCTCCTGCCGCGCAGTATCGGGAAGCCCAAATACTATATGTTGCACCTTGTTGTAAACTCGCCGGCAGGTCTTGAAGGCTTGTGCTTGGGGTGTCAAAGCGAGGTCGTGCAGATAAGTCTGGAAGAGCCAGAAAGTCTGAAGAGGTTGCTTAGAAATGAACCATAACGGCAGGTGAATGGACGACAACTAACCAGAAGAGCCGCACTGACAGATTCTTCACACAGGTCCAACAAGAACTCCTCCAGAGCCATGGACTCATTGTCGACGCTGATTATAAGGTGGCATAGCTGAGGAAGGAAGAATTCGATGTCTTCGTATGGAAATTGGCGCAGCTTGGAGCATAGGACGTAATGAATCCCGACATGGTCTGCATATCGGCTGCAAGTTTATACGGGTCAGAGCTCGGCGTTAAGGAGATTCGAGACGGCTGTCGACTTACGACAGATATGAGACAGAGAGGAAGGGGTTCTGATTGAAAACATCACTCTCGATAAACCGCCGGAGCAGATCCCACGACATAGCGACCTAGGTGTGTAGCTTCTGTCGATAACTGTCGCCGCCACGGCGCCGGCCGTTCTATTGCTGCTATGGGTGTTGTTGCTGGGTCTCTTTCTCTTATAGCGGAGGGGACATTAACCATGTCACCTGTATCGGTCTCGAAGGGGGAGCATCAGAAGGATGTCTACCATGGCTGCGGCTGTGGACAATTCAGCAGAGCACTCGTGAACGCACCGACTGTGTGCGCATCGCAGGTTCGAGACAAGACAAAAGCGCGATCGAGAGAATGACAGATGGAATTGGAATTGCCCTATTCCGAGCCAGTGTCCAGCCGGGATGAACCTACAGCTACCCCTTCCAAGTAACGCGCGCTAACATGCCGGATACCCAGGTAGGCTAGACTGTAGCTGGTATTAGCTTTTATTAGATCAGTGGCCAGAGACCAGAGAGTCGCCAAGCGTACTTAGTAATCTTACCCCTTCGTATTGTCGCACGCGGACCCTGTCGTCGAGCCTGTACTTATTCCACTATGCCACTGTAGTAGAGCCCAGAGTGATTGGTCTAACCTGCCATCTCTAACCTGCCGTAGCTCCCGTGCTACCTGAACAAGTTAGAAGCCTACACGTCATATTTATTTATACACTAATCCGCTGGCTAGATTATACAGGTCAAAGTACCTAAGTACCTATAAGTATATTCGTGAAGGTTCAATGGCATCAACTCTTTAATATTAAGATCAAGGACAGCATTATTCTTTGCATTGTTATTCGCAATAACACGTGCAACTGAGTTTGTATCATGGAGACATAAATCGCCAGGAGCAGGATAAAGAAGAGGTAATCTTATTTCTACCTTGTTCATAACTACGCTGAAAATGACAACGTACCAGCTTATAGTTGCAACGCGATGCTCAGGCGCAACAGCACACTCCGAACACTAGAACATCATAGTTAGAAGGTTGTGTGGAATATCTTGCAGAATGTTGTTAACAATGTAGACAAAGCTGCGGAATCACAGAGTCCCCGTCCCAGACTTCATATGATTTTTAGACTTTCACTGGGATGTCTAGTTTGGAGGGTATTGAAGTTGCTTTCCCAAGGACAAAGCAAAAGCCCACATGGTACTCAATAATGATATGTGCCAGGGGCAGAGAACGCCGACATCCTGTCCTTGGTCCACCGGCTTGTCCTGTAAAGCTTAGTTTATCGTATTTACAACTGCGTTGGACCTGCCTATGTATCTAAGGTAGCCTGCCAAACCACCAACGCCGTTACCTATGCTACTGACAGTTTCGCAGACTGCTTCTTGAACGCCTAAACATAAAACCAACCATCATGATGCCTGCCTGTGATACTGGATAGAAATACTGATGATCTGAAATGAGACATATCTAGACGGCCGCCTTCTTCTTGCGACCACCTCTTCCCTTTTTCTTGACTTCGCCGGCATCGACATCATCGTCACTCTCGCTTTCTGCTTTCGGACGGCCGCTGCTTCTCGCGCCTTCTTTCTCCTCGGTTACTTTGGCCACAATCTCCCTGAGAAAATCCCATTCGTTCGTAGAGTCGATGGCTTGCTTCAACATGGGAGCGGTGATGCGTTTTGAATTCTTTTCTTTGGCAACTTCGGCACTCTTGTGTACAAGCTGAACCATGAAGAGTTCTAGCGCTTTGCCTACGGCGATCGGCGTTTGTTGCGCAACTTTGCCGACCTCCTCATCCGCCTGCATGATGCGCTTGATGCGCGCGGTAGGGAATTTTGTCCGAACGGGCGAGTCCATGACCTCGGGCTCCCTTGCCGCCGGGGCAGCAGCCTTGCCGCGTGGCATGGCGTCAGGCGGGTTAGACGTGACCGGTCGGTTGGGAGATAGGCTTGGCGGTTGTTGCTGTTGTTGCTGGTGCTGCTGGGCGTGGACGTGTTGCTGCTGTGGAATGGATTGGCTTGCAGGTTGGTAGCCTGTCGAGGTAGGTGAATCGGCGTAGGACGAATAGTATGAAGGCTGGTAGGCGGACTGATGTGGCTGTAGGTAATGTGGTTGCTGCTGCTGTGGTGCAGGCGACGGGTAGTAATGTGTACCAGGCTGGGGAGGATAGGGAACCAATGCGTGCTGTGAGGTGTGGTCGTACGTATTCAGCGACACACGTGGGTGTTGGTGTGGATGACCTGGATAAGCGTTGTGGTCGGTGATGGTGGCTGTTGTCGTTGAACCGTTGCTGATATGAACGTGACTGTTGAGATTATAATTATGATTATTATTGTTGTTGTTGTAGTGATGATGAGCTTGGTATTGGTGGTGCAATGGCGGTTGGCTGAAATTGTGTGATCCCAGTTCCAGCTGCTGCTGCTGTGGTTGTACCTGTGGCCGTAGCTGCGTTGGGGCAGAAGTCGGAGCTAGAGGCTGCAGGGAAGGATTGCCACCAGATGGAGGAGAGGCACTGTAATTGGGGAAGGCGTAGGACGGGTTGGGCTTGTAATAGGCCGAGGACGAGTGGAATCCCGGCCCAGAGTCAAAGCAGGATAAATCGGGCGACTTGGGTGCATACGACGTGTTGTCTGCGACCGGAGACATGATCCACCGTTGTCTCTAGTCTATTGTTGGGAGACGAATCGGAGATAGGAGCGCCCTGGAAAGGGACAAAGAGACACAATGCACAACCGTTCTAAGGAACTTGTGGGGAACGGGTGTTCGTTGTCTTGACTGAAGGCTTTTCTCTAGCGTCGACCGTAGCCTCAATCAACCTTCTACTCTCATGCGTACACGCTGGACGCGATGTCTGGCTGTTGAGTACCGAACCGCGACTCTTATTTCTGCTGCTCCCTTGCTGCCTGAGTGGCTGATGTTTCAATCAATAAGCAGATGACACCCTACCCCTGTCTTCACGGGAGCTGAGGACCGGATAACGGGAACAAACACGCTCTTGCTACAGTCATACAGGTACCGTAGGTATGTGGAATGCACCGTAATGCGATGATGCAATCCTCTTTAAATGATCACCAACCAGTGCCGATGCTTGCACCCGTTGGTTTTGCTGCACCTACTGCTTCCGAGAAAAGAGAGTGTGTGTGCGTGTGTGCGCGAGTGAATGAGAGTGAAGGAAGCGGGAGCTCAACGGCGATATCAACACAGGCTCGATGGCAACAAAAGACGGCAATAACTTCACCCTGGTGTCCTATACACCTACAAGTAGCCTGACTGACCTGCTGACTGGCTAGCTGGGGGATGGATGAATGAGTGGATGGGTGGATGGGTGGATGGGTGGGTGGATGGATGGCTCAAGCGTCCAACCACATACACATACACAACGGAAGGCTTAGATGCAAGAGCGCACAGCCTTCTTTGGTAGCAGCGGGGTTTAGACTGATGGATTTTCTATCCCGACTAGTAACCATTGACCAAGCAAAAGAAATCTTCACGCGAAGAGCTTCTATTGGTTGCCTGGGCTGACCAAAGCACGCAGTAGTTTTACGGATTCGAGGCGTGTAGATAAACGGGTTTTTACTGCATCCACTTTCACCCGAACCAACAAACGCCAAACACCCAAGGTATAGAAATGTCTGATGTGAGGCGCTCACAGATGCTGCTCGAACGGCTGGGCGCTTGGTAGGAGGTGTTTAGGTAATCTGGAGACGCCGGGTAGTTGGAGGGAGATAAGAAGCCCGATATATATAGATAAGGATAGCCAGATAAGATATAGGGTGCGAGTCTGGTGAGGTGGTAGCGAATTGCCAGGCGGTGGAAGTGGGGGTAGGTAGGTAGGTAGGTACGGTAGGTAGCTCTGTACAGTCGAGACAGGATGACATGCAATCATGTGGCTTAAGCTTGGATTTGGACTGTGCAGTACAGTGGTGACGTGCGCTTTTATGCTTGTTCAGAAATCCAGGGTGGGTGAGACGCGCTTTTTGAAAGGTTTCAATTGTTGGTGGCACCCGGACGGTAAGTGCCCACTATTTTATATGCGATCACACCGAAACGACTCAGGGGAGCTCTCCTCCTACTGCCTTAGGTGCCTAATTCCAGCTTGAGGTACAGATCAGGTACTTCATTCAGCCCCGTAGTCTGCGCTGAAGCCTGTGTACTCTACATGTACAAGCTTGACTAATACCTAGCAGCCTACATTTGAAGTTAGCGGTAGGTAGTTGTGCAGCGCCCCTACATAGGTGTAGTACAGCAGGTACTTACACAATACCTTACGTATATGCTCTATGTACCTACTGCTTTAATAGTTGACCACTCCTTAGTAAATATAACTGCAATACCGGTAGCATGATAATAAGTTTAAAAAGAGCACATAAATGAATCTATTTAGGCATGTAATACCTAATAAAGATAATATGCGCTAGGTATGTCTTATGTCCTTATTTACTCTAGCTCGATCTTAACCCATCTGCCAGAAAGCATGGAATGTTCTGACCTCGAGGTACCTACCAAGTCACCAGTCTATTACAGACAGCCCACCTCTCAAGATCCCCACTCACCTTTTTTCTTCTGTCTTTTTTTTTTTCCCTTCCCTGCTCTGTACTAGTACCACCTACCTACTCCACTTAGCATCACTCATCTTCACCTTACCAAGGCGTGGTCTACATCTTATGATGTATGTATGTACTACGTAGGTAGGCCTTTACATGCAGATCGCTTTAAAGTACCTGTCGAGCCCTGTCTCGGTGCGTACTCTAGAACTAGCCCTGTTTGCATAGACACATCATGGATGGGCACAGTCAGATTTACATCGTCCATCCGTCACCCTGCCTATCAGATCAGAGCAGCACCTTTGGTTGCATTATTCGCTGACTGCATGCGTACGCCGAAGCCACGATGCAATCGAGGTATCACAAGGTGACCTACCCGCAGGGTTGTACCGATGGTGCCTTAACGCCCTGAAATGTGTCATGCCTTACCTGCTCTCGACATATCAAGCTCGGCACATTTCTGCAGACTGCTAGCCTGACTGTCAATTTGTCCGGTGTGTACGCCTGTACGCCTGTACGGTAGGCCGGTTCGAGAGACCAGTTCGAGCAAACATCACCGCGAGTTCATGAAACATTGCACTTGGCATCACCCCGCCTCCTCACGGTAAGGCTTCGAAATGCATGTCATGTGCCTAATCACAGGCTGGCCCGTTGGCTCTACCACTCCATGGGAACGATTGGTACCTGCCTACATGCCCAGGGTAGGTAGTTCCACTGACTGGTTGATTATTCATCCATATTCAACATCAACACTTCAAATACCTACTCTGGATTTTGGCATTATCAAGTGATAACAGCCCGTGTGTCATGGGTGATGAAAATTACGACAAAGAGCTTTTCGGAGACCGCAAAAGCCAGTGACCTAGAAGCCGGGTGCATCAACACCAAGGTTCCTTCGTTACTGCCTGGTCGATGATGTTTGTTACTTGATCTAATCTGACAAGACACGCCTAATTCCTGCCCGAGTCATTGTGCCTGATGGGCTAAATGAAACGCAGCATTATTTCAACTGTTTCTATTTGATGTTCTTTCTAATTTCCTGAACTATTGCCTCCAATCCCTTTAACCGTTTGTTTGACTCGCTAAGGAATAGCGAGGCTACTGGCCATGCATGAATGCCACCGGTCTCTCCGCGATCAACGACTTTGATGTCACCCTTCTTCCAAAATTGTACAAGGCCCTCGGTTTCCGGGGCAAGAACTTCTTCATCTCCATACGCTACAAAGAATCCATGATCAGGAGTCGCCCGACGCCACCATTCTACATCCCGATTCTGACCTGGCGAAAGTAAGGGGTCATGTGGTGAGAGGTCGTCTCCGGCATACTCCTCGGCATATATATGCAAGTTTCCAGCATCAAGATAATCACTCCTGGTGTTGCGGTGTCTATCCGAAACGAGCGACACCCAAGGGGATATGAGGACAGCGAAAGCGGGTTTTGGTAGTTGCCATTGCCCGATCCCATTCATTACGTCTGCGTGTTGGCCCGTATTCGCCAGATGTAACAGCAAGTTGAGAATGATTGTTGCACCTGCGGAGTCTCCGCCGACGCACACCTTCCCCGGATTGCCCACTGTTGACAAAACATGTTCATATCCAGCAATGGCTTCCTCGAGTTGCCCAGGAAAACTATCATCTGGAACGAGCGTGTATTCTAATGCGAAGATTGACGGATTCCTATACCCAGCTTTCTTCAGAAGATCTAGCCAGGAAAGCAGAAACTCTAGATAGAAGTACGACGAGCCCATAGAAAACCCTCCACCTTGTATATGATCAGCTGCCATGATGACACGACTTCTCGATGCATCGGATTTTCCCTTACCATGGGCATAATAAACACATAGGTCCGGTCGCTTGGTCGGGTCATGTATTGTCCAGATACCTCGGAACCTTTTCTGATAATACATCTCTGTAAATACCGTGCCTTGTCATTAAGGTTACATCAACCTACATCTTTGTACTCGTGCCAGTGAACCGGGGACTTGATATAACCGTGGCGCAACATCCTGAATGTCAGGAAAGGCAGAGCGACTTGCTTAGAGAAGAAGACTCTCCCGACGCTTGGGTGAATATTGGCGAAGGCATAACGAACGCATCGGATAACGAAATCCTCAAACGGAGACGCTTGTTGCACAAAAGGAGACTGGTCCCCGCGCTTGGAGAAGTATCGCTCCCGAATAAAGCTATAAGGAAGCTCCAGGACTGTCGGCGGTCAACATACGATCCGGCCACCCGAGTTATTCTCGTCTCATCACTTACGCAGGAAAGGAAGGCATTGCAACACGACTGCTATCGTCTCGAACAGACCCACGTGTATCACCAGCTGAGGCGCCAGAAAGATGCAGAACACGATGCAATCCAGGTAGGAGATAGGACTGAGAATCATGACGTTGATTCGAAATATGACTGTGCTGATCTCGGCGTATTCTTCCCCTCTTCCTGGACCGAAAGCTCAAGAGTGGGAAAAAAAAAAAAGAAACGAATGAAAGGGGGTAAACACCCACGATTTCATATACTTTTCCGAGCAAAACTATATTGACAATGTAGATACGAGTATTACTAACGAATGCGCAAATACAAGGTTGTAAGGCACAGCCAACTACCTATGTATAGTCGTGTATACTTGAGCCAATCAAGCTGCGAGGTATGCATGTAATATGTAATGTAGACGGTGACGTCGAGGGATTCTAAGTGCTGATTTGCGCTAAGATGTTTGTTGCATGGCATTTGATGCGGCCCAGTGCCGTGCAGCCGGTGTTGAACGAATGAGCCAATCATCATTCCTTCCCTTCACGATAGCTAGCTACTTCACATAGGTACCTATCTATGTAAGTAATTCTTACACATTGAGGGCATGAGGTTTTCGTAGAATACCTGGATTTAAAAATCCTTCCAGCGCGGAATTGCATTGACGTGTGAGCGTATTGGTTACGGTGATCGAGGAGAGATCTCCTAACTTTCTCTCTTCCGCCAAATTCAACGGTAGAATAAACAATCCGCCAGAACGGTTAGATATCGTCGAACAGTGGTTATAATGCTTGTAGCTATTCCGAAGGTTTATTTATGACAATACAATAAATATGCTGGTCTATAAATTCGACCTTTGAAATGATATCGCCACGGACCATACATAATCTACCCTGCGATGTCATCTGCCCGGGAAAAGGGGAGATATATACGGTCTACAAACTCTATATACCCCAATAAACACACCTAACCTAATTCTTCGCAACGCTCAAGACCCTCCGCTCCATCTCCTCAAAGGCGCCCAGCACATTCCCATACATCGCGTACTCCCTCTCCCGATACCCATCGTCCACCTTCTGGATATTTCCCTCTTCCTTCCATCTCGCACCAATAAGCTCGTCGAAGCTCTGCCACTTCTGCCCCTCGGCTTTCCCGTCGCCGCCTCGCTCGCACGCCCAGAGCGCCTTATACGCGCCGCCGAGCGCGCACGCGTTCCCGCCGACGTCGAGCCGGTACACGCCCTCGGCGCCGCCGAGCACGTCGCCGAAGACGCGCGCGATGGCCGGGTTCAGCGAGCCGCCGCCCACGAGGTAGATGCGGCGCGGCTGCGCGGGGAGCTCCGGGTGGTCCGGGACGGCGGATACGAGGTTCTGCGACCGCAGACGCATCGAGAGGGCTTGGGATTCGACGATGATTCGCGCGTCGGCCTCGGGCGTCCATTCCGTTTTACTTGACGAGGCAGAGTATTCTTCTGGCGAAGATCCGTCTCGCGCATTGCACGTGTAACGCCATGTGCCGGCCTGGACGTTGGGCACGATTTCCGGCAGGGGGAAGTACAGCCCGAGCTTGGCGGGGTCGCCGTCGTTCTTGACGTCGAGGGCTGGCGTCTCCAGGACGGCCTTGTTGAAATTGGCCCAGGGGTCCTTTTCTTTTCCCTCGGGCTTGGGCAGTGCGTCGCGGACTTTTTCGCGCGCGAGGCCGCCGTTTTTGTAGCAGAGCATGAACATGTAGTTGCCTTGCGTTGTGGGGTGGTTCATGAAGTGGTACGAGGGATCGGGCTTGTAGGCGGGCGTGTTCATCAGGAAGGTGCTCGAGGTCCCGAGCGAGACGATGGCGTCGAGGGGTCGGAGGGGTAGGGAGAGGATGGTCGCTGGATTATCGCCTGTGAAGGCCGTGATGCGGCAGTCTTTACTGAATCCGAAGCGCTGCACGAAATACGGCGCTACCGTGCCCAGGATAACACCGCCGTCTAGAGGCACATCTCCGAGCTTCTTGCGCAGTGCCGTGACCCCTTCCGCGCTGCCTGCTGTGAGTTCGAGGAGCTTCTCGTTCCACGACTTGGCGCTGATATCCCACAAGTTCATCCCCGTCACGTCGCTAATGTCGAATGGCGCGATGGCACCGAGGAAGACAGATGCGAGGAACGAAGAGCACAGAGAGATGCGCGCAGTCGATTCGTAAACTTGCGGGCGTCGGCGTCGCATCCGTAGGATCTGTGTTCCCGTAAATCGCTATCGCGGAGCAAAAACCATCTGTTAGCCCCCTATTCCATAGAGCCAATCGACTAGCGAGATAGAGGTACGCAACGGAGTAACAGGTAAACTTACATGATGCGCAGCGCTCCCCGAGACTTCAGCAAGCTGCTGCGGGTCGCCGAGGTGGGCGTCAAAGTCATCGCATTCCTTCTGTGTGCTATGGTCCTGCCAATTCGGCGCAAACTCGTAAGCGAACACCCCTCCCAACTGCTCGAGTAGAGAACGTCCCGGGTCGAGGTCCTTCAAGGTTGCCTCGGCGTCGCTATTCCAGTACACGCTCGAGTGCTGCTGACCTGAGCCACTGATCCCCTTGATCCGGTCCATCGGACACCCCTTCTCCCTCAGGCGCGATAGCACAAGGTCCACAGCGTCCACCCACATCGCCACGGGCTGGTATACCTCGCCTTCATCCTCATTGATGCGCACGCCCTTGTTAATACCGTACTTTTCCTTGAAATCCGCGTCGAAATCGACCTTAGCTTCTGAGTTGACTGCCAGGTCCGAGGATGTGACAATGGCTGATCGGTTTACGCGTCCACGTTAGCTTAAAGATTCATCGAAGACTCCCCCGCACATTGCCAGGAAGGCTTGGTTTTACCCCTCCATTGTCGTCATGTGCTAACGTTTGGTTTGACTTACCTTTAAGTTGCTGGGTCGAGAGATCGAAACCCAGATAGAGGGGACCGGAGCTCATTTTTGCTTGCCTTCTTGCTCTTTAGATTTAGTAATATCTGTCGTTTGATTAATGAAATGATGAGCTGATTGGACAAGTTTCTTATCATCAAGGAACCCTGCCGAATGTAGTTGCTTGGAATAACAGCTGATGGGAGGGAGACCTAAGCATCATCTGAAGTGGGAAGAAAGAAGAAAAGAGGGAAAAGAAGCAAGAAAATAGCCAAGTTTACATGATACTATTGAAATGGAATGGGGAACTCAGCGCTTGGTGTGCTCTTGACGTTGATAACCCCACGATCCTCGAAGCTTAGCTGACCCAGGCTCGCGGGGCAATTCCCCTGGCAACTAGCTGCGTGGCATTTAGCCTAAACGTCATCCACGCCAATCATTGGATCCTGGAGCTTCTGCTCCCAGTGAAACGGCACAGATGAGCAGTATTTTGGGGCCATGCAAATGATAATGACGTTGTACAAACAATTTTACAGGGGTAGGACGAAACTGTTCTGGGAGGTCATTCTACTCATGTAGTGATATAACAGAAGCATCATGGAAGACCCCCAGCTTAAGGCCAAGGCTGCTTCCATCTCTGCAGGATGAAACGCCATCTAATGCATTCTTTGATTATGGTACATCCAACCTCCTCGTTCAAGAAACCTCAGTTGCATCCTTTCGAATTTCACGGATTGGTATCTTTTGGGCTGCTTTAAGCATGCTGCAAATAAAACCCAAATGCCCCCAACGCCCCCAACGCCCTTTTATTCATCGCTGGCTATAGACCGGCCTGCTCGTCTATTTAGACTTTTCGTGTATTGTGTTATTGTTATTGTTGTTGTTGTTGTGATCATCTTCTGCATCTGGCTCAGGGCTAGACCTAGGGCTGACATCGCCTGGGATGAATTCGTCGAATTTCGGGGTTACTGTTGCTTCCTTGGATACAAAGCGAACACGAACTTTGCGAACACCTCGCACTTTACCACCAACTCTGGTTCTGATGATGTCCTCGGCCTTCTTCAAGCCTTCAATTGTCCAAGAGCCTGGAACAGCAACCTCGAGGTCTACAAGATAGTTCTGCCCTGATTTGATGCCTGAAACATCGCGTAGTTCAATTTGATGCCCTTCACTAATGTCAATCATGGCCTTTTGAGCCTGTTTTCGAACGGATGATTTGACTTCATCGTCAATGCTTCGGTCGGCAAGCTCGAAGAGGGCGTCAAGGGTATTTGCTGCGCCAGCTTTGACCACCATCAGAGATATCATCAGGCCACCAACAGGGTCCAACCAGGCTGCATTTGTGAATACATTGGCACCAAGGATCACTGCCAACGTGACAATACCGGTGAGACTATCTATCCGGTGATGGACGGCGTTAGAGGCAAGGACGGATGACTTTCGTTCTCGAGAAACTTTCATGGCTGGGGCACAAGAATGCAGTTAGTCACGAGTTACAAATTACTTTCACGCTAAACAATGGGAACTACTTACTCGCATGAAAAAGCCACTCTTTGATAGCCACTGTGCCTGCAGCAAGCCATGCAGCATGGAGACTGGGTAGAGCAGCGCCGTGATCATGACTATGGCTATGGCTATGGCCATGTGCATGTGAAGCCAATTCTGCAGCTGCTGCAGGGTCTAGGAAGAACTGACCATAGAGAGTCAAGAGGCTGCTGTATCCCATCCAGAGACCACCAAATAAGAGCATACCAGACACACCCAACGAACCTAAGCTCTCAATCTTGCCAAAACCAGTGGGGAATCGGTCAGTCGGCGGTTTGAGACTCCAGGATAGGGTGGCAAGTGTGAGTATATCGGAAGCAAGATCTGTAGCGCTATGAACAGCGTCGGCGACCATTGCCTGCGAATTGAACGCATAACCACCAACTCCCTTGGCTATCGCCATGCCCAGATTGGAATAGAGGCCAATTCTAGTGATACGCACGCCTGCATCATTTTTGTTCTGTGAGGTTAGGTAGACATTGTCATGATGGTGATGGTGATGTCCCCCATGGCCGTGATTATGACCACTGTGTGTTCTAGTTTGGGTGATGGAGGTCATGGCAGGCAAAGAGCCGAGGAGGGAGCGTGAGTAGACGTGAATTGGAGAGGGAGGGAGCGAAGGTGACAAAGGCGACGAGGTCGCTGAAGGTATTGCTGGGGATGGAATGCACGAGGTCCGCAGGACACGGCGGGATTGTACAGGCAGATGCGGGCAATGTGTCCTCAGACCGGAACCTTGGTGGTTTGGGCGACCCTTGTGGTGAGGGAGCCGGGTAAAGGTTGTAACAGGAATGGTGGTGGTGGTGGTGGTGGTGGTATCGCGTGGCAGCGTGGATCTTGATGTCAACCAACGGGAACGCCCTTGGCCAGCCGCAAAACAGTGGTGTAGGCGGCCAAAGCTCGGCCTACATTGTGCCAACATACCTACTATAAGCTATAAGGACTCAAGATAAAGACTTCCCGCCACAAAAGGGAGGGGCACCATGTACTAGTTACTGTGTAGTGGTAGGTAGAGATACGTTCCCCCTTGCACCGGATCGCTGCGGCAAAGCCAAAAAAACGAGCGGAAGTGCGTGTCCAGGACCTGGTATTGGTGTTCTGGAATGTGGGAGGATATCCTCGAGACGGGAATTCTTCCATCAACAACACCGCTGGTGAGACTGGGCAAGGAAGAACGAAGGATAGAGCGCCGATTGTCGTCATGGGACCTTGCACACTATCGGAATTAGGTAGCTGTGCAAGTACCGAGCGAGAGAAGGTGAGGGTCCGCTGAGGGTCCTTGCCAAGGTTGCGGGTGCGTCAGCGCTTGGGAATGTGGGCGCGCTGCTAGAACGCGCTGTACAGGTACTGTAGGTAGTATACCTAGGTAGTATTCAAGGATCCTTGCTATTCAAAGTTCCAACCTTCGAAGTTGTGCTGACTTTTCTTTTTAGGTCTGTTATTCATTGTGTTGCTGTGGTACATAGTACAGTAGGGCAGGTACGGACATATGGTACATGAACTCTGTACCTTACTCATGATTCCATCACATTCGTAGTGTGTGTGCCCTATGCATTCAGCATGTACTAGTAGGTACAATATACATGAAGCTTTATCTAAAACAAGGTACAGTAGAGTGTGAGGTAGCCATGGTACTTATGTGGTTATGTAGCTATTGTATAAAGATTTACCAATGGCAGCTCAAAGGGTAGGAGAGGAGTTTAACATGTGAAGCTGATTTCGTGTTTAAGTAGGTACTAAATGTCATAAGGAGTTGTTCTTTCACAATGGCGATATATCATCTGGAGGCCAATACCCACAGGTATGTATAGATAAGTACCTATATAAGGTACTGTAAAAATAGAAGCCCAGGGCTTGCTACCTAAACCAATCTAAGGTATAAGACTTAAAAGAATACTATTGATATTCACAGGTATAAAGACTAGCATCAAGAAAAGAGAAGGGAAGAGGCTAGCAAGTTGATGATGACGGTATAGTGCGAGCTGACAAAAAGCGGTCCCGGATTCCTGGCCAACTGGTGCATACACCTTCCCATGTCTCAAGCTACACTGCAACATCACACAATATTGGCTCCAAAGATATCTTGGGGCTAACATGAACTCATCTGAGGGCTGTGTTGTAGTGCAGCATTCATATGAAACCAGCTGGTGCTAAGCTGCTGATGTTTCGAACGGTCCCCTTGAAACGAAACGAAGCATTGTACACATAACTTTCACTCGGTGTCAGATATCTGAGATCTGAGATGCGCAAGCCATATATGCGCATCCCGTACACTGATGTGTTAGCGGCCCCCACGATCATCCCAGAGAGTGCAAAAACCCTTTCGGGAGCCGTTGCCGCCTTGCACGAGTTTCTCATAGCCTCCTCGCCCTTGTCGCGGTCATCGTCGGAAGCGCGTCCGTCCACGGCTGTTCTGACGGGAGCCGGGATATCGGTAGCCAGCGGCCTCGCCGATTATAGAGGAACAAAGGGCACCTATCGCGTCAACAAAACGTACCGTCCTATTTACTACCATGAATTTCTCAGCAACCACGAGGCAAGGAAGCGTTACTGGGCCAGGAGTTTTCTCGGCTGGACTACATTACACAAGGCTAAACCAAATGCGAGTCACTTCGCCATAAAAGACCTGAACGAACTGGGTCTTGTTCGCAGTGTTATAACACAAAATGTTGATTCTTTCCATTCTCAAGCGCACCCCAATCTACAGACTACCGAACTACATGGCTATTTAAGATCATGTGTTTGTACATCATGCCATGAAGAGCTTCCCCGAGACGATTTCCAGAACGAGCTGGCCCGGCTGAATCCAGCATGGGATGCTTTTCTCCAAGAGATCTTGGCTTCAGGTGCTCTAGATACAGAAAACCCGGATGAACGGCGAGCCAAAGGTATGAAGACGAACCCTGACGGCGATGTCGATCTCCCCGGGGCTCCTTACACCACCTTCCGTTACCCTGCCTGCCCAAACTGCCTAACAAACCCTCCACTCACTAGAGATGGAGCTCGTGGTTCTGTCGAGGTTGACTCGGACGGTGCGTGGAACCCGGCCAGCACGGCGGGAATCCTGAAGCCCGCAGTTGTTATGTTCGGGGAGAATATAAAGCCTTCCGTCAGGGCTGCAGCAGAGAAAGTCATTGATGACGCCGATAAGCTACTGATTTTAGGCACCTCCTTGGCTACGTACTCGGCATGGCGGCTGGCTAAACAAGCTAAGGATCAGAAGAAGCCGATTGCAATTGTCAACCTCGGAGGTGTTCGAGGCGAGGACGCATTGTTCGTTGAACTTGATCCAGATCAATGGGGCAGCCAAGCCGTGAGAGTAGAGATATCTACCGACGAGTTACTGCCCGCTCTGGTAAACCGACTCAAGGCCCAAACCACTCATGAAGCGCCTCAGTGTGTTGCGGAGACACATGGGGCTTCTGTCTTCAAAGACATGCTGTCCTGATGGGTGGTACATGAGGCTCTGATCATGCATATATACACCCAATTAGCCGGCAACTTATATCTATCATCTATAGAATTTAAAAGAAGTTTGAATAGCCTGTGTTCGGTTTGGTTGAATTGGTGCTTTGTGTTGACGCTGACTCGACCTTCGTTTCTGTCGTAGTCGGGACAGTGGCTGCGGCAGGCTGGGCCCTTGTAGTCTTCTTTGCATTTTTGAAAATATCATCATGTTCGATTTCTCGCAGAACCTCCTCCCATTCTTGCTCTTTCTCCGCATCACCAGTCCCCAACGCCTTCTCAACGTCCACTTCTTCGCCTCTCTGTAGTTTCTCGACGACTTCCCGTAGCAAACCAATGCGGACTTCGGCGCGTCTCATGAACGTGGCAAAGTCTCTTTTCAACGCTATCATTTGTATGGCCATGGACCCGATGAAAAGGAAAATGACGATGTAGAAAGTTGCCGGGTTCCATTCTTTTGACTTGACTTTCTTTTTCTCCGGGACGCCCCAGTCAACAGTGGATTTCGGGCGAGAACGAAAAGGTTTCGGTATTAGAGACTTCCAAAAGGAAATCTGAGCAACGGTAGGAGCCGAACTTTGGTGCCGGACGTTGTGTTGGCTAAGGAACGGCACAGATCGCAAGGCCTTTGGCGCTCGGATGGTCGCATAGGTTTTCAGGGCTCCTTGCCGTAAAGACTTGTCCATCATTGAGGAATATTATTAGGGTGGCGAGGCAAAACAAGCTAACAGGTGACGCAGCAAGTATTCTCGCAGGATCCGACACAGCGTTTAGCGCAGCAGCGATTATTGAAGATCAAATAAGTTTTGCGACAGTGATGATAATAGGTTTAAATTTGGAGCATAAGACCGGACCCACTCTTGGCCGGCACCAGCCGGTTGCTGTGTTAACAGGAGCTACCCTGTTTAGGCCAAGTACAGTCAGTAGGCAGGTACAACACACAACTTAGATCCACCACCTACCTGCAGGTCCAGCAGTGGAGGTTTAACTAAGATTTGTTACATCGTCCAAGATCATTCTCTCAATACTTCTTTACAAAGCGCTGGAGTCGGATACGGTTTGCTTCTATTGCTGGTTTTCATACATCGACATGGCGTTTTGAAATCCGTACTGACAGTCTTTTTTGCTTGTGACGACGACATGATTACAACAGCCGACCTACGTTCACATCCACATACGCATCAACATTCACACGATATACTACGCGCACACATACCACCTACCTATGGCATCCTTCGCCGCGCAGGCCGATGCGATTCGGTCTGCCATTGTGTCAGTATCGACATGCACGCCTGCTACATCTGCCGCCTTGAAAGAGTTGCTCCACGGAAGACAAGACCACGATGAATCCTCGAAACCCACCCTCAAACCCTCACGAAAACCCGCCCAGTCTACCGCCAAGACAAAACCTTCAACAGCCAAGAAGCCCGTCAAAGGTGCAGGAGACGCGTGTAATAGCTCCAGTGACATGAGCCCGAAAGAGAAAGCGGTTCTTGCCACGCATGTTGTGAATGCTGCACTGAAAGCTTTAGCAACTGCCGCAAAGACGCCGCCGCCGTCGAGCCGAGTACAGTCACCATCAAAGGGCGGCGCAGCCAAATCCGCGGCTCGAACTCGCCTTCGGAGATCAGCCTCGGTGCCAATGACTCCCCTACAGCCGCGATCTCTCAATCGAGTTGAGACATCTCCTGTTACAACGAAGACGAGCTTGTTGCAGTCAACACCTGCTTCAACGGGATGTTTAGCCCTTGTAGAATGCGCCCGAGTATCCTTCGCAACCCTCCGGAGTTTACAAGCTTCTGGCGCAGTCACACTCCCTGATTTTCAGCTTGAATCTGGAATGTCTTCCCTCATCACTAAACTCATTGCGCTTAGGTTGTTTGATCACGCAGTCAGGGAGCTGCGAATATTGAAAAGGCGGTTAGAGGGCATGGCACTCGCGTACGAAAACAAGAAGAGCAGCGCATCAATGAAAGGCACCACTACAGCGCCTCAGACTCTTTCAGATCTATTAGACTACCCCGATGGCCCCTATTCAAAACCTCTTCTTGGTTTCATCGCCACCGCTCAATTACACGCCCTTCGAATCATGTACGAGCTGAACAAGACAACGCATCTTGAAGCGACATTACCCTTCTTGCGGCCACTTAATTCATCATCACCCCTGAAACTACTTTTGCTGTGCGCGGAAGGCGAGAAGTCCGAACGCGCAAAGGTAGCAAAACAACTGGATACCTTATCCCAACTTCTACTGTCTATGGCCCCGAGCTTGGCTTCGAAGGACGATAGCATCGCTCTAGAGCCGAGGTTGAGCCCTTCTCCCGAAACAGCACTTGAAATACAGACTTTGGGCTTGATTGCCCGAATGGAATCATGGAATTGCTCTGTCCACAAAGGCGATACTGACAAAGAGATACTGCTGCCTCTCGCCAAGTGCTTACAGGCTTTCTTGAGAAGGACATCACCGGAGCAGAGCCCAAGACTCGTGGCTGCCTTTAACCAGATTTGGGAGAAGGTGGAAATGTTCGAGTTACAGGTTCCAAACTCTTCAAATAGCTCTCTTGCTTCCATTTATCAATTATTCGCCAAGGGTTTCCAAGAAGCCGGAAATCCGAAAGAGGCCAAGAAATGGACGTCCAAGTGGCGGGGATTCTCGAAATCAGAACAAGAGTCCGCTGCTAAATGTTGTGCCGTCGATGCTCAATTACTTACTTTATCACTGCAAGATTCATCTACAGCAGATAGGAACTTAGTGATGCAAGTGTTAGATGGCATGCAGCAGCCTCTAAGCGGCAGTATTGTGGAATTAGATGATCTTCTCGTCACTCTTTGTGGTCTCCGAAAGACTGCTTTCAGCATCATTAATAAGGAGTCCTCTTGCGATACTGAACAAGGCCCAAACAGTTGTCGAGATCTTCTGGAGAAGTTCATAGCTCAAATACCTCGCTTTGCTCTGAGATGGCTAGGCCGCCCACCAGAGTCGAAAGGCTCAACCAAAGACTTGCTTCGATTTGAACAACGACGACAGCTCTTGTCAAAGTACCTACGCCAGCTTCTAGATTCAGCTTTGTTCCTTAATAAAACCCAATTGGACGAAGGGAGGTGGACATGGGAAACATTAGATCCTCTGTTGCAGGACATTTTAACATTGTTGGATTATATGGGTGACCTTGGACAGTTATCGAAAGGAAACCCATCATCTTCATATCACGTTAAGGTTTCGCATCTTTATTACCAATCACATTTAGCGCTTCGCGACTCCAGGGCAACCGGCGATGAGGGTACGTCGCTCCGAGCTCTCAAAAGATCTATCGACAGCGTGCGATCACAACCCGAACCCGAGCAGACCCGTGCCCAGCTGTTAAGTAAATGGGAAGCCTTGGTTGAGTTGTGCAAATTCTCTAACCGGAAGGATGACGCTATCCATGCATTGCGTTCAATAAGAGACCACTTGGTTCGTTGCGACACAGTTCAGACTATTACAACGAGCCTAGCAAGCCAACCAGTCAGGCAGTCGTGGAAGATCAGCCCTGAAACAGAACTACTCTCTCGTTCCGTCTGTAACCTGGCAAAATTGGAACGAAGGCCGAACGATTGGACTTGGTTGCTTACAGGCAAAGACAAAGCGACTGCACTGGAACACGATCTAAACTTCATCCTTACCAATGAAAATAAGAACCAGTATAGGATAGACATGTCAGATACGATCGTTTCCAGCCTCTTGCAGTTCTATTCTCTTGAGAACTATCCTATCAGACGACTCCGTTCTTTGCTTCTACTACTTATGAGTAGTATAGACTCACGAGAACAAGTAAATAAGCTGCGAGTCGAAGCCGAGGAAGCTTCAGCAAAGCTCCAAGACGGGTGTCTAGAGAGCGATTCGTCTCTTGCGCGCTATGTTCCATACCTATGCCAACTCACCGTGTGTGTCCTTGGGATCACCTGCGGCGAATTTGCACCATCCGAATTAGACGAAGTTATATCAACCTGGAAATCGATGGCAGCTAGCTGTCAATCAGTCAAGCAATTATCTCAGCATGTCGACGATCCACAACAGCTCCTTCAGACGCTTCAATCCTTGGCAGATCTCGCAAGAATGAAGGGACATCAGAGTCTTCTCACGAACATCGTTGAACTCTCCACCATGGTTTCCCAACTAACTACTGAGGACAATATCGAGACACATATAGTGCAGAGCTCTAACCTTTGCTTAAACTACCTCCACCTCAGTCATTCCGTCAAAGCCGAGAAGGCTTTGAGAGTTGTTATGGAAAGTGTGACTTTACCCCAGATATCGAATGACGTTGTCTCTTATTTCCATCTATCTGCGGCGGAGTATCACCTCACGATTGGGAATTTCGATGAGGCCGAGAGACATCTAGAAAATGCCCGCAATGTAGCTCTTGCCTCTTCCACAAGTCAACCTCGGAAACGAAACACTCTAATCAACCGCAAAATCACTACAGCATATGCTTCATTCTTGTCCGCAGGTTTGTACCTAGAACGAGGCGAGAACCACCGGGCCCTGAAACTTGCTAAGACAGCTGTCAAGGTCTTATTCCATGACTGGTCACAGCTAGAACAATATAGGGCCACTTCAACAGATGAAAGCATAGGGGATCTTTCACGAACTGACCCGTCCAATGAGGATTCCAGTCTCGATAATTCTCGCATGTCCGAACTTGACGTTTCCAGGGCAAACACTGGACCAGAGTTTTGGGCGCTTGTCCACCCATTATACCGCTATACTTGTCGACTTGCCTCGGTTTATGAACATCTTGGCATGTACCAAGAAACACTCTATTACGCGGAGCAAGCCCAGAAGATTGCGAAGAGTATGGGCTCTTCGGTCTATAGCGCTCAGGCTACCACGTATCTCGCGTCCGTTTCGCTGACAGCTGAAAATGTGCCGAGATCATTAGAGCTAGTAGCCGAGGTCAAGCCGGATCTTCTTTCCTCGGAGCCAACCTACCAAGCAGTGATTACCCTATGCAGGGCCGCTTCCGTCTATCAAAAAGCAGAAGAAGTACGCATTGAGCAGGAATTCCTCAAGAAAGCGGAATCAATGGTACAGGCCTTAAAGGGCAAGTTTCTTCCTCAGAAAGACACGGTCATAGACCATTTAGAAGCCGAATCAACGCAAATTCCCATCAAAACAAGCTTACCAGTAAGATCCAAGGGGCGAGGGCGCATCGCTGCGAAGCCAGCGCCGGCACCAAAGAAAACTGCTGCCAACAAGACTACTACCAAAGCAATGGTTGCGCCGGTGAAACCAACAGCTCAGACTAGCGAAGAAGATTCTCAGCTCACATCATTAGAAACATCGGTGCTCCATTCACGTTCTCTCGCACTTATCGAAAAGAAAGAATGGGCAGCAGCCATCTCAACACTGCAAAGCTCAACACAACTATCTAATTTATCCCGAGATCTTTCAAAGAAGCATTTCTTGCTTGGAATCAGTCTTATGGGCCAGAGTTTAGCAAAAATGGGTAGTGATTCGGTGTTCTCTCTCATCCAAGACTCTACACTCTCGTTTCCTTCAGTAGCTATAACCGCGAAGGATAAGAACCCTCACGGTCAATCACTTATGAAACGAGCCTCGCCGATTCGCACACCTCGGCTAGCCTTGCAAGGTACGCAAGACTTCGTAGCAAACTTACATGATGCTCAAGAGCACCTATTAGAAGCTCACGCGATAGCAACACACAATGGTGACAGCTTCCTGGTTCACCGAGTCGCAGCAGCGTTGCAGAACGTCGTAGTCCTGTTGTCGAATACCAGCTCGGCCGGTAGCTGTGCAAGTCATCCTGCATATGCCACCTGTTCCATTGAACTAGCACGGAACTTAACGTGGCGCCGCGAGCGAAAGGCGAATGGCTACGACGCATCGAAAGATACCAAAGAAGCCTGGCCAATGGCTATTGAGAGTCCCGATTCAAGGCGGACTAGTCTTGGATTCTCTATTGACATGAATCGATTTCAGAGAGAATATGTCGATATTATTCCCGACACCTGGAACGTCGTATCACTATCCCTGAACGAGGCCACAACAGAATTGTGTGTTACCAAGCTACAGGCAGGGTTCAGTCCTTTTGCATTACGCCTACCTCTCGACCGAGCGTCCTCGAGGGATGTCGACAACGACGTGTTCGATTTTCCACAAGGGCGTTCTGAGCTTCTCGAACTCATACGACAAGCAAACCAGACCTGCCACGATGCTCGAGACATGAGCCAGAAAGAAGCAAAGGAGGCATGGTGGGCTCAGCGCGAGGAACTGGACGATCGCCTCAGGCAGCTTCTCGAGACCATTGAGTCAATGTGGCTAGGCGGGTTCAAAGGCATTTTTTCTCAACACCACAAGCGTACCAACTTCCTTGCGAGATTCCAAAAGACTTTTCAGGTCATCCTTGAGAAACACTTGCCATCTAGACAGCAATCTGGCGGTATGAAAAGGAAGAAAAATACACCCAGGGTGAACCTTGACCCTCGAATCTTGGAACTGTTTGTTGGCTTGGGTGACGCTACGGTGCCAGACTGCGACATGGATGAGCCACTAATGGACTTATTGTACTTCGTTGTAGACGTTCTACAGTTCCATGGTGAACCTAATCCCTACGACGAGATTGACTTCGACGCAATGGTTGTTGATACCTTTGATGCATTACATGCATATCACTCGGCGATAAAGGAGACAAAGAAATCCCAGAAGGAAACACACACAATTCTCGTCCTCGACAAATCTCTACACGTCTTTCCCTGGGAATCTCTGCCTTGTCTACAAGGTCTCGCCGTCTCACGTGTCCCATCCCTCGACTATTTACGTCGCTCTATCTTGGAAGCAAAGGCTTCTTCGACTCAGCAAGATTCCGCTGAATCAGACTCGGACGGGTCCAACAACTCTACTTCCTCATCTTACACAGGCCACCATGTCTCAATCAACTCGGGGACATACATCCTCAACCCGAGCACAGACCTAACAAATACCCAGGCAACTTTTGGCCGAGCACTCTCCTCGCTACCCCCAGCTTGGGACAGCATCGAAGCACGTGCGCCAACGGAGGCCGAGTTCGAAGCAGGGCTCACGAACAAAGACATCATGCTGTACTTTGGCCACGGCTCAGGCGCACAGTATATCCGCGGGCGCACGGTCCGGCAGCTCGAGAAATGCCGCGCCGTCGCCCTGCTCATGGGTTGCAGTTCCGCCTCGCTCACCCACGTCGGGCAGTTCGAGCCCTACGGCCCTGTCCGCGACTACATGTTATCAGGCTCGCCCGCCGTCGTCGGCACTCTCTGGGACGTCACGGACCGCGACATCGACCGCTTCGCGGGCGCCGTGTTCGAGGAATGGGGCTTGTTCCCGCGAGGTACCTTTACGGAGGACGCTGCCACTCCTTACCCGAAAACCCCGGGCAAAGGGAAAGGGAAAGCGTCTGCGCAGAGGAGGAGGAAAGCCGTCGCTGCTGCCCCCGAGGGAAAGTGTGGGACTGCTAGTCTGGTCGAGGCCGTCGCGAAGGCAAGGACTGAAGCGTGTCGGTTCAAGTATCTGACGGCGGCGGCGGTGTGCGTATATGGTATCCCTGTTTACATCAGCAAGTGAAGGAAACGGGTGAACATACTATCTACATGCCAAATTCAACCCGAACCAAACCAACCCTAATCCATTATGTGTAGCGGAATACATCAGCTAGATCAGCGCACGAATGATTTCCCGTACACACACTGACCGAAATATCTTTGCATGGCGAAGGAGTTTTACATATTTCTCTTCTCCCCCCTTCCTCCTCTCTGGGAAGAAATACCGCTTCAGTAATTGAATAGCGACGCGGCAAGGGTTAAGATTAAGGCGCAGAAAAGGAAAGGAAAGGAATTGCACCTGTATGAATTGTACTTGTTTGTCTCGTTTGATTGCAATATGTTATATACCTCTCTGGTTTTTCTGTTCATGTACATACACAGTGCCTAGGTTAGGCCAAGTCAAGTTTAATGAATCGCTTGCTCTCTTGTTTTGCGCAAGCGAAATATGACATATACTGATAGACAATATGTGCTATGTGCAAGTATATATCTATATGCATTCGTGCGCTTCACAACGGGTGGTATGGTATGTCTATGTCTTACCTAGGTAGTAAGTAGTGCAAGTATGTATATACACAGAGCAGACATGTAGACACTTGCTCGTTCGCGTCTTCTACTTCAACATGCGCCGGATCGCGGATCTCTGCTTACAATTCCCCCTAGGTCGGATCAAAATGCTTTTAAGCATACCTATCTAACAGTTTGTAGCTCTATCAACGCTTCAATATCTACCAGTAGACACTCACTTCCTGATTCTCGATCGACGGGGATGGAAGCTAGACCGGACTCTATCAAGATCATATAAGAAGGGGTGATACCGTTTCCGTCTCCGCTCTTTCAATATAGGGGCGACTCTTGTTGTTGAGAAGATCGATCAAGATGGGCACACAGAGCACAGCATGTTTTACCCAGCGCCGCACACAGCGAACCGCATAGCGGCAAGATAGGCCAAGTCGTAAGATAGGCAAAAAACCTGGCACGAAGATCGTATGACTCATGTGATACTTAGATGAGCGTGCATACAAACATGCGTGCATTCACGCACATCGCGTCCAAAAGAGAGACCACGCAGTGCCAAACTTCAATCCTTAGATTGCAACTCGCGTTCGGTGGCAAAGAACCAGTCACCGCTGGACAAGCAAGATTACTAAATCACCTCACAGAGTAATATAGATAATTGGCGGTCTGTGACGTATCTCAAGTTTATGCTAGATGGGCAACGTATGGCCGAGGTTGCCGGCCGGCCGGCCATGCGTTTTAATGAAATCAATCCGTGCGGCCCTGGTACCGAGTCGCGCCAGAGGGGATGTTGAAGAGTACCTATCACGCGTGAAAATTAGGGCCGAAGACGGGTGTCTCACTCAAAGTAGATATTGTCTAGCAGCCATCATGAGACTCACGCAGCACCCGAGTCCATCCAGATGTCTTTGAAATCAGACTTCTAGCCAGTCGAAAACCTGAATGCCAGTATGGCAGATATTGACCATAGGCCTATATCATATATTCTATTAGCAGTAGAAGAGGGCAGTGACACTTGCAGAACTAGCCATCTGTACTTGAATCCGTACGGTTTTGCTGAACGAAACCATCGAGATAGTATCATTTTCGAAACACAAGCTGCAACTGAATGTCGTGGCGTTCTACATGGCCAATGTGACCCCTTTCTTCCACGGTGCCGAGAGGCTTTCAATCCTAAGGCTTTCCTTACAAAGTTACCTTTGCCCTTGTGAAAAACATCGTATGCATTACTTTAAGCACCGGCAGATGACGCATTATCATTCGTCAGAGCTGTGATAAAGGTGTACGGTGACCACCCGTGTAGCTCTTGGATCAGTTCCGAAGCAGGCACATGAAAAGTCATACTCTCGTTGCTTTCAAGCCACGGTTTGCAGCAAATTAGCAATTCATGGGCATAGCGCCCTGTAAGCGTATTCGTGGCCCTCAATGTGTGAAAGCGAGCAGGGAACAGCGGCAAAATGCACTCACACATTAAACGGAAGAGCTTACTCCCCAAGGCTGTTTCGGGAATTTCCTAATCCAACCTTAATAACCCGAGTTTGTTGTAGACTAATGAGGGCTCTGATATTGCGATGGTATCCAATCAGTATGGGTGGCCGCATTTCTTGGCTAACCGTAGGAGTGATCCAGTGACACCAGTAATAGGGTAAAGCTAGGCTACAAATGATTTTTCGCCTCACAGCGGGCCGAAACAAGGAAGTTTTGCTATCAGGTTTTGCTGAAAATTGCCCATGGGACATATAATGACGGAAAGTGTGGGATCGATAGTTGTTTCCAAACATATCAAACAATTCAGTCCAGATTGTTTAGCGTCTGGCATATTTCCTTCCAGCGAGGGGGAATACTACGCTGCAGAGAAAAAAAATCAATCATCATGTATTACCAGGGCTTTTGACATGCTAGACCGTCGTCCTAAGTAATAGTTGTTCTAGCGAGCTTGAGTAATGGACGTATTCAATGGTATTGTATACCGAGAAGGGTCACATTAGGATCATTATGCTCTAATACGAGCCTCCAGCTAGCGTATTACGGGTGCGGTCGTCGGCCTGTCGCTGACTACTCACTGGATGGCCATCATAGCGAGCTACAGTAGGAGCGGTGACGATCCGCACCAGGCCATCTCTCGTACCTGAATGTGGGGCGAAGGATGCTAGGATTGATGAAGCTTAGGAAGAAACAGCCCAGCGACGCAAGTTATGAGGCCGCGATGCCTGCCGCATCAGCAGGCGCCCGGAGGATCAGAAGCCATGGCCAAACAGGATGAAGTGATCGCCAATAAATGTCATGGTGAACAAGCCGCCCCGCCAGGCCTCCGAGAAATAGGCGTAGAGTAGACTGGATGATCTGTTGCATCCCCCCTCCCAACCCTAGCTCACGTTCTCGGCTCGCTCTGGCGGATGTAACGGGAGGAGGGTCGTTGGTGTCTAACTCTGTAAGTATATCGCATCAGTATGGCATTCTTGCGTACAAGATGACAGCGGGCCTCCCCTTACCCCAGATTTCCGCTTATGATCTGCCCCGGGGGGAATTAGCCCGGATATTGTTCTAGATGAGTCAAAGAATCATGCCCTCGGAATAAGCCGTGCCTAACAACAGGTAACAGATGTCCGCTAGACACCACAAAAATGCCTAATCGCTTGATCGCTACAGTAGATTGGCAGTGTCGTGAACAGTCTGTCATGCGGGAATCTAGGGGCTGGTTATCTTGGTTGCCTTGGCATCAACGAAGTTGAGATTAAGGTCGGGTTGACAGCTCGAGGTCGCAGAGTAGGCCGAGGCATAGTGGTGTCTGGCTGGCGGGCTGCTTGTACAGCTCATCGCGTCACGTCATCGTCGCGCATGAGAGTGAGATCGGTGATATTACAGGATTGAGCCAGGGAAGGGATCCAACACTCATGCCGCCTACCATTCGCATTTGCAAAGTGGCGGCATCCAATAGGGTTATTTTCCTGGCCAAGTAAGGCCGGGCGATAGGTGGAACAAGCGGATTAGTGGTGAATTAATTGATCAGATAGAAGCTGAGCGCGAGCCAAGTGCACACTGCCTGAATACACGCTACCTCCCTAGGCATCATGATTGTTATGGTCATGGAGATGGCATAAAACGAGGCAACTTGCAGTATTTTGTCTGGGGTCGTCCATTACATACATACTTAGTAACGCCTTCCACATTTACAAAGCACGCGTGCCTGCCAGTCTCGATGGGTTGGTTGGTTGCAGCTGCCTCGCTCCCGCATCGGCATTGGCCAGGTAACCCCGACCAGAACCCAACCACCTACCTCTTGTCAACTGCTTACTTATATATGTACCTACTACACTATATTACGCCCTGTTTCGTGCCTGTACTAAGGATCTAGCTGGTACCTTAAGTACTTACTTAGGTAGATATGGATGGCCTTTGGTCGCAAAGGTCAGGACTAGGTACTTGGAAGGATACGGCTTCATTAAAAGGACCGGACGAATAAGATGTAGGTTTTGTATTGCATCGCTCCATTCGCAGGGGGGGAAGGGGAAGGCATGACAAACGCCTGGACTAATTAGGCTAGTCATGCCATACTATATCTGACTTCCGAGGTTGGAAGTGAGCATAACTACTTACACGTACTTCTAGGCCGACAGAAACTGGCGTCTGCCTCCATTCAGGGAGTCTAGTATGTAGGTACATACCTATGGGGGGAATATAAGTATGTTCATGTATGTAAAGTATACACTTATAGAGCGAGAGAGAGAGGTGGATGTATATGTAGTTCGCAAACAATGTTGAAATGCGGAATTACCTCAGGTTGAACCACACCCCTTCATCACTCCACTCAAGCAGGCAGTAAATCCCTGTCTATAGCTGTTTCTGTAAGTAATCCAGGTGTGGTGTAATTCTGCTGGAACGACTGAGTATCTGGGTACATAGGCACACATGTGTGGACACTATCGCGGGTTGTACTCGAGCGCCCTCGACTAATGCACCCCAACTTTGGTCTTGATACGAATGTATGCTACTGTACTTAGCATCCACCACACAAGATTAGGTATGGAGGTAGTATGCAGTTAGGAGCTGTTGAGAGGTAGTTTTATCATATGAGTTACATTATATCTTGATGCCCAGACATGTCAGAGGTTGTTATATTGTCAAAGGTTGGGATGATCCTGAAGTGAGACTTCCTCTAAGGGCTTACAAAATAAGGCGTGTAGATAGGTAAGCTGAAAAGAAAATATTAACGTGCCTGATGGCTAATGTATTAAACTTCGAATGGTACCTATTCTCGTGGCATATACAACGTTACTATGTTTTCAATGTTTAAGATCCTTTGTATACTCTCGTTGTCTGTCTGTACGGGCCCGCATACTACATGCACATACATAAGTATGTAGGTGCTTATGTATGTAATGCATTCACGATACCATAGCAACTATTATAGACACACTTTACTATAAAAGATGACCTTTGCTTAGCATAACACGCACATATATACCGCTTGCAGCATGTACCGGATATGTACAGTAGAGTAGATAGTTGGGTTCGCGATCCATCCAGAACACCACATACAGTTACCTATAGCTGTACTACACTGCAGGCCATCTCCTTGCGGCATCCTCTGTGAGACAGGGATGGATGGGATTTCGTCACTGCACACTATCCTGGGAGCGAACAAGCTTCTGCGATACCACAGCTCCTCCTGTACGCCGCCTCTGCTCCCCAGTCCTGTATCCAGTCCTGTATGGATGTGAGCAACGCAGAGAAAGCACAGACTATAACATTGTGCATGAAGCGAATAGTCTCGCCCTTCAGTACCAGCTTACAGTTAATTACGTTTCGACTTGTTGATATATGCGGTCTAGCTTGTAGTACCTCGATGGTCAAGCTAGCACATACTTTCAGATTCACCTTCTACTGCTGCGTGCTAAGTAGGTATTCATTTCATGTTTCAGTGTACATGTAGGTATGTGTGTCTTCGGTCAAATTTGTTGTAGTATATACTGGGATAGTTAACATATTGGCCATGGTAGGTTGTGTAGGCAGATGTAGGGTAGGTATGAAGTCCACTTCGGTTCGGGATACGCGCCGCTCCCCACCTCGTCCCCGATGCATCCCCGGTTTCCTGCCCCATGCGCAGTTTCCAGCGGAACTGAATATACCGTACAGTTCAATCACTGTACAAAAAGGGACTGCATTTAAAAGACTCACCAGGCCTCGTAGATATAATTCGATACACTACTTAACTGGCTTCACCCTGGCAAATCAACAGCGAATTGTGCATACAGTGAGGAGAATTCTCGGAGACATCTCTTTTTCCCCACCACGCTACAGCAATACTGTTACGCTAGGTACTGCAGTCTGAGACACGGCGGATACCTACAAATACTGACTTACATTAGTAGTGAAGTCGGGGTTGAATTTCACTCGTGGCCTCTCGCCTCTCAAGCACAAATATCAGACATCACTCAAGTCGGTTTTGTTCTCGCTTGTATAACCTTTATTGATATGGAAAGTACCTAGTAACCCAGAGACAGACCCACAGCCACAGTTTTGTATATCAATGCAAGACCCTGTACCTATATGATATTTGCTCTGAAGTTTGAGATATTGAAGCACTGTCATAACGCACTGCCAATGTCCCAATGTGTATGTATCAAGGTATAGTAAGTACGTTGGGAGAATGAATGGTTGGAGTAACGGCGTGGCAATGGCCGCCCTCCCTCCTCGATGGGATGCTACTACGTAGCCTATTTGAGACATCCTACTTCCAAGTTCTGCTTGTGCCTCTCTCCTCATACTACTAGTTCACCACCAATACCTTTCGTCACTCACTCGATGGCGCCGCCGTTTGTGGGCGAGATGGCGGTCCCCATCTTTTCTCCAACTTACCCGCATCACACTAAGCTGCAAGAGGATTTGCCCACCAACTTGCCCACACACACACACATCACACATCCCTCGTCCCCTCTTCTGCTCTACAACAGTAGACAGGCCCTCGACAGGCGAGACAGGCGAGAACAGGACGCTCATGCGGACCCCTACCGCTCGCTATCTTTCTTTTGTTTCTTTGGCGGAGGCAAATGAATGTGCTGTGTGTCTGCTGTGTGTAAGCACCTATTACTACATACTATAGTACCTATCTCCACAGGCTGCCTGCCTCTCTTGTCCACTTTTGATGACCCATCGCGCGTGGCTTGCTCCATTCATCTCTGCTCGCCTTGATCTCCTTCTGCCTTAATGTATTGCAGTCAGTGCCTATTACTACAATTGGAAAGGCAAGGAAGGAAAAGCAAAGAGGAAAACCAATCAGCACGTTCCGCTCAGCCGGAAACAGCAGCAACCGATCTGCGGAGTGAGCGACATATCTACTACTGTACTTCGTATGTAGGTATAACAGGTGTATGTACGGTATGTATGTATGCAATCATTCAATACTGAATGTACGTACAGGCCCAACGATACTACATGTCTTGCCCTTCTGCTATCAGACTGCTAGTAGTACCTAGTATTACCTTACTTACGTACTTACCTACAACATAGTCCAGCCCAGTCCAGCCCGGTATAAACCAGGATATCCCCAAGTGCGGGCGCACCGAGGTTGTCTAAATAGTAGAGTCGGCAGTCTGGAGGGTGGTGAGAAAGGTAGGGCTTCCCAGGGTAGGTTAGTATCTAACACATCTACATCATCTACATCATCTACGTGGTAGTTAGTAGTTCGGTCTTCTCCTCGAGACTTGTTCCACTCATGATTCGTCGATTACCTGGTCGGCGAGTGTCGTTGTAGTGACCTTACTTAGTCTATCGAGGTCTAAGTAAGTATCTACATGGAGCTTGGAGTCTGATGGAGTCTTCTACCCTGCCTAGGTAGTCGAGTAGTGTTGATGTACATGGTCCGCCCGGCCCTCAGCACTTACACTAAACAGGTAGACGCGTGCCCCATGCCACTACTGAGAGGCATGTAGACCCTCCCCATCTAATGTAAGCCTTTCGCCGCCTCTCTATCTCGCTTTCTCGCTCTCTTACCACTTACCCCACAAGCTCCCGACCACGCAACTAGGTACTCCACACGAATCTACACCCTGGCGACGGTTTTTCTCATAAGGAAACGCCCCTTGTTTCTAGCCACTCACTGCACCTCTGCCTTGGTCACATTACCACCCTCAACCTCTCTGGCCTTCAGCTTCCTTGTCAAATTCGTGACATCTTGCTTCTCCAGTCCTCTTATCCGCCTCATCCACCCTCGTGAGTCGCCATGCTGCTGTCTCTTCTCTAATTCTCTCGCCGAATGTCATGACACGCCTGCCCACTAGCCTACGGCCCCTGGTTTCTTACGCCTGGATGACCAAGAAGGCGACGGCTGGAAATCTGGTCGCGCCGGGCCCGTTCAGGAACGCTGTTCGGCCCACTCTTGCAGAGCTGACATCTGGAGGCTAAAACTTGACCAGGCGCATGGTCGCCTGCTGTAGTATAGAAACGCGCTCATACTGTTAACACCAATAATCATTCATCCCGATGACTGAAGAGGGTGGAACTATCTATGTAGCGATGTCATCGGATCAATCAGGCCGCAAAACCTCATCGTCGTTGCCTGGGGTCGTAAATGGTACACAAACAACCCACGAACCTTCACCTCAGTCAAACCAGGTTGATCCCACTGACTTGAATGGGTTCTCGCTACACCATGAACACAATGATCTCAATGGCGACGTCGCTGTTCCGGGGTTGCTCGAGACTTCGCAATTCCCGGACTTCACATTTCCGTTTCCAGAGCTCACTGAGGAGGGTCAGATGATGTCTCTCGATGATCATACAGCAGATCTGTTTGCTAGCCCCAATCCTAGCTCACATCCTTCCATCGAAGAAAAGAAAGGCTCAACGACGGCTAGCCGCCAAGATACTTCATCTTCAGTTGCGCAAAGCGGATCAAAGAGGCCTCATAGTACCGATGAGTCGGAAGACGGTAGCCAGGCGAGCCCCCAAGATGGCCCTAATTCCCTTGAGGACAATATGTCAGATGATTTTGGCCTATCTGCGACCGCGCCCGGCGACGGTACTGAACTGGGAGGCAAGTTGAAGGAGAATAAGACGGATCCCACTCCAGCCTGGAGTGAATTAAAGACCAAGGCAGGGAAGGAGAGAAAGCGGTTACCACTGGCATGTATTGCTTGTCGGAGAAAGAAGATCCGCTGCTCGGGAGAAAAGCCGGCTTGCAAGCATTGTCTCCGCTCAAGAATTCCTTGTGTATACAAAGTTACTACTCGAAAAGCTGCCCCAAGGACCGATTATATGGCTATGCTGGACAAACGGCTCAAGCGGATGGAGGATCGAATCATCAAAATCATACCAAAGAATGAACAGGATACATCGGTCGGCAACGTAGTCCGCGGTGTGGTCAAACCCGTGCTGCCAGGGACACTATCTCAAAACAAACAACAATCGGGCAAAAAGCGCGTGGCAGATGAAGCATTTGGGGCCGAGCTAGAGCATTGGGCTCGTGGTTCAACGAGACCAAGGATGGATGGCTCAGGTAAGCCTACTGTTACGTCGTTGCAAGTACACGAGGCGGAGGAAAGCAAGCTACTTTTTGAGGGTGCAGAGTCACTTCCCCCCAAAGACGTTCAAGAACACTTGGCCGAGGTCTTCTTCGACAACATCTATGGACAGGCATATCATTTGCTCCACAAACCGAGCTTTATCAGGAAATTAAAGTCTGTATAATCCCTTGAAATCTAAGTGGTCGCTGTACTAACAAGTCGGCAGGGCGGGAACCCTACCCCCCGTCCTCATACTGTCCGTGTGCGCTGTCTCCGCAAGGTTCTCTACTCACCCAAGGTTTGGTACGGTGAACAACTTCCTCCGTGGAGAGGAGTGGGCTGCGCCAGCTCGCGACATCGTCATTCGAAGATACGAATGGCCAAATATAACCATCTTAACGTGCTTACTCCTCCTTGGCCTGCATGAGTTTGGAACATGCCATGGTGGCAGAAGCTGGTCTCTGGGTGGACAAGCCACTCGAATGGCTTATGCATTACAGCTACACAAGGATCTAGAGTACGACCCTATGCGTCCAAACCCATCGACTCAGCTCAGCTTCATAGATAGAGAGATCAGGAGGAGGACGATGTGGGCTTGCTTTCTCATGGATCGATTCAACTCCTCTGGCACGGACCGGCCAATGTTTGTCAAGGAGGAAACTATCAGGATACAGTTGCCTATCAAGGAGAAGCTTTTTCAGCTCGATATGCCCGGGCCAACAGAAGACCTGCAAGGTCGGGTTCCCCATCCAGTGCCTACTGATGAAGGTCAGCTTTCTGACGCCAAGGATAATATGGGCGTAGCAGCATACATGATCCGCGCTATTGCCCTATGGGGAAGAATCATCAGTTTCCTGAATCAAGGGGGCAAAGAGATCGATGAATTATCGATGTGGGATACTGACTCCATGTATTCCAGCCTTCTCAAGCAGGCCGAAGAATTTCCAGAAAACCTACCAGACGGGCTCAAATATAATTCGGAAAATCTCCATTTACACAAAACAGAGGGAATGGCTAACCAATTCCTCTTTTTACACATATCAGTCCAACAGAATATCTTATTCATGAATCGCTTCGCAGTATCCTCTCCAAGCGGTATTTCCAAGGCCGATGTACCGCAGACGTTCGTAACTCAAGCTGGATCAAGAGCATTCGCGGCGGCTAACAAGATATCCGAACTTCTTAAAGACTCAGAGCCATACATGATAGCCGCCCCTTTTGTCGGCTACTGTGCATTCTTGTCAAGTACTGTACATATTTTCGGGATCTTCTCTGGAAATGCTGCAGTGGAAACAGCAGCGAAAAGAAATCTTGCAACGAATGTCAAATTCCTTTCCAAGATGAAGCGCTACTGGGGAATGTTTCACTTTATGGCGGAGAATCTCCGTGAACAGTATAAGACTTGTGCTGATGCGGCGAGGCAAGGAACACCAGCAAACGACAACTCCACTTTGTCCCCCATATTTCAATATGGAGACTGGTTTGACAGATATCCGCATGGTGTATCGCAGACTGAGTACGTGGAACCCGCTTCAGGGAAGAAAAAGGAGACGGGCGACGACGCGGTTCTGGAGCAGAAGCCTGAGCTGCACACTGTTGAGGAGTTTTTTACACAACTTTCACCACCACCTAGCACAAATGAGGGACGAGAGGCCCCAGGACCGACTAGACCACCGCTCATAAAGCGTAAGTCTCTGGCTAGGAAAGGTAGCAATGCACGTGCCGACCAACAACAACAACTTGAGCCTCTACTCACCGACCTTAACGGCACAAGCCTACCTGAACAAATTCAACAGAGGATCCAGCAAGCGCAACAGCAACAGGCCCAGCGGAACTTCCGCTTGAGTGCCCAGACCAATGGTCCTCCCCCTCTTCATCGCTTATCTCATGGACGAGTACGGTCACATTCCGCCGCTGCCCCTTACCACGCCATGTCGCCCATCTCGCCTATTGTGGGCGGATTCTCGCATGGACTGCATGGCCATGGGAATCATTACCCTGCGGCACTGTACAATCAGGATCTCTTTTCTCTGTCACTAGCAAATCAGACCGGTCTGCTACCACAACTGGACCGCCAGCTTGTGTTCAATGCGTATGGCGGACTAGATCCCGCCACTATCAGCGGTCCTGAGGCGTTGATGGATTGGGATGCCTTGGCAGGGCACGCTTCTGGTGCTGGTGGGGGGAACAACATGAATGGAACCAATGGTTCTCGTGACGACTCGGGTTTGCACGATGGTTTGCCTGCTAGTTTCGTCCCAGAGCCAAGCTCGGCATGGTTTATGCCGTTCAACATGGATCCACCCGAATTGGGTCAGGATCTAGGAAATGGAATGGGTGACACATTTGGGATGTTCAGTCCAGGGAGCTCATTGGGGTTGCGACGAGGTGGTCGTTAACTATTTTGTTTCGATGCCTTGGAAAGAGCCTATCTGGCTTTTTGCTTTTCCGTTGCCGTTCTCATTATCTGGCGTCGTATACCCTTCCTTTTGTTATATGCGGAGCGTTTACTTTTTCTGTACTATCATGTTCGTCGCATTTAGACGGGTGTTAGGCCACTATATTTATGTTTGGGGGTTCGGGGCCGGGAGATCATATCCGACTGGTACATGATGATTAGCGTTGGTTTACGTCTTGTTCCCAGCTTGCCTGTCTGTCTGTTTATGCAGCTTGAGGAAAGGGCTAACAAAACAACCCCATGAGATCAAACAAGACGAGAGAACCAACAGCTCTCTATTGAAGAATATTTTGTACTCGGATTAGGATAAGTGCCTTGGATAATTGGATGTAAGGCAAGGACGGGGCACGTATATATGAGTAAAACAAAATGTACCAAGCTGACAGATACGATACGAGCGAGTTGAAATCCTTTGCCGTGAGGGCTTTCTATTTAGCTCTCGGGGTGTCCACGACAAGAAGCAAAACGGATACCATGTTACTTTCCACTGCGTTTGGTTTTAGCCTCGTCTTGAAAGGAAAATGCGCTCATGTCATCTAAGTATATAGAATGATAATGTAAAAACGAAGATGAGAATAAAAACAAGAAGATCGGATCCAAAGGGGAGAAAGAAAGAAACAAACAAACGAAGAGGAAAGTAGAGAATGCCAGGACCGTATTTTTCGTTGCTGCTGTATATAAATAGTTCAGCATTTAGCAGGAGGAGGCCGATCATTGACCCGGCATATGGTAGCGAAGGGCTCGATCTAAATCGTCGTGCCTGCCGAAGCTTACCTACCTATTAACGTACGATATTCCCATAGAGTAGGCCGGCAGACAGCTTCGTACACAGTAGAATACCAGAGCAATTGTTAAAAGAAAGAAAAAGAAAAAGAAAAAAAACTTGGAATATCGAACGCCGTGTTATGCCGCGAGAGTCGCATCGATGTGGGTATGGTACGATGTGAATGCGATACGATATGAGGCCATGTACGGCCGGCCCCAAAGGTTGCACGTACGTCTTCGGCATAGTGCATCGGCTTTTCGGGCAGGCCTTGGTTCTTTTTTCTTTTTCTCTTGGTTCCTTTTCCTTGTACTTACAGCTGTTGTTATTATGTTCTATCTCTACTCCGTACCAGCATGGCGGATTTTCATTCCTTGACAATTCTGAATATTCATGTTTTCCGCGTCCCGGAGTTGGAACTAAGCAAGCAAGCAGCCCACAACTAGTAGATAGGTAGGTAGGTAAAATGTCCAGGTACTTGGCATTTTGCCCTACTTAGTAGTGGGATATCCAAGTCCTGGCATTTGGTAATTGTGCAGCTAAAGCATTATGTGATCAATTAATATCAGGTTGCAAGAAGTTTTAGTTATAGTAGATGCAAACAAAGTGCCTAAGATATTTTTGTCTCCTTGAGCTTTCATTGGGTATCTATCTATATATCTCACACGAACAAATCCGTCCGGCTTGCTACGTAGAAACTCGTTGTTGTACAAGTCGTCTAGGAATTCTATTCCGTAGCGGAAACCTCTTTCCCCTTCTTTGGTCGCGATCGCTTGCGCTTCTTCTTCGAGCCCTCGATGACATTACCAGCGTCCTCCTCGTCGGCAGTCGTAGTCTTCTCTTTCTCAAGCTTGCCGAAGTTGAGTGCCGGCGGTTCCCGTTCGAACTCCGGACCAAAAGTGTCCTTGCGCCACTGCCGCAGTCGGGCCTTCTTGCCAAGTCTCTTGCGGTCTTTCGACTGCTTCTCCGGATCTCGCCAGTGAGCGAGCTTCTTTAGACCCACAAAAGAGTTCAGGTCTGCATCTGATGCCATTAGAATGTCGCGAGTTGTAAGACCGAATGCTTCGGGCTTTGTCTCCATGTATCCGAAGCTTGATAGACCTGTGTTCTTCGATGAGGTTGCACCATTCAATATCTCCGGGTCCTCTAGATCCATTTGCGCGTCGACCAAAGCTTCCAGTTTAGCGCGCTCCTTGCGGGCGTCTTTTTGGCTGGCTAAACGTTCCTTCTTCCGCTCCTTCGTGGTCTTCTGTCGCTTAGCTGCTGGGACATCTTCGTCATCCTCTTCCACACCCTCCTCGACTGCTTCATCATCGGTAAGGGTAAACTTTTGACGTTCCTCTTCGTCGAAATCAGGAATGATGTGCTTGATATCAATATCGTCGTCCCACTTTGGTTTCTTTACCTTATTTGAACCCTTGGCGGCGTCCTCATCGTCAGAGCCTTCATCTCCTTCGGCGTAGTATTCGTCGTTGAAGAATTTATTCATTTCTTGCTCCCACTCATCGTTCTCCCAGGCGCCCTCGAGCAGCTTTTGCCATTCCTCATCCTTCAGTACTTTACCTCTAAGCCCAGCAGCCTTTTTTATCGTTGCTAGTTTGCCCTCGGCTTCTTCAAGCTTCAGTCGTCGTAAGCGCGCGCGCTCTTCCTTCTGTTGCTTCTTCTCGAGTTCTTTCCTCTCTTTCTCAAGCTCTCGTTGGCGCTTTCGTCCTGTTTTCTCCTCTCTCCTAACAGAAACGGAAGTCGTAACATCACGAGCATATGACCTTAGGACCTCATTACTCTTGCTAGGATCTTCAAAGCGCATGTTGTAGGCTGCTTCCCACTCGTCGGCCTTCTCATCTTCGTCTTCATCAGATTCGAGCGATTGCCATCCACTGCCTTCCCCTTGAGCCCAGGCACGAGATGCCATGAAGTTTGATAGGAAAAGTTCAGGATCTTTATCAGCCTCCTTTACATCAGGTACTGGAACTTTAATCTTCGCCGCTCGCGACGGGTGAACACCGTTCGACGAGGCGGCTTTAGCTCCCTTCTTAGCCTTCATGAAATCTCCGTCCTCATCGCTGCCGTCTTCACTGCCAGCAGCATTGAGCTGAGCCTGAATCTCATTTTGAAGACTCTTTTTTAGGCTATCCTGTTCTTGTGTGTACGTCTGTGGTTGAACTTCTTGGTCCTCGTCGTCTGCGCCTATGTCTCCACGCAGAAATCTTTCTCGATGGTAGTCTTGAAGGAAAACTGGCTTTTCCTTCGTTTCTTTCGAGGCAGCGGGTTTGGATGAATCTTCTTCTATAGGCGTGTAGAATGTCGATTTCCCGTCGTATAATCTGGGGTCTTTGCTTTTTATAGCCTGGAGAGTAGCGGATATTTGGGCGTCAAGCTCTTCAGTAGCCAGGAATCCGTCGTCATCCTCTGTCTCATCCGAAGATGATTCATCGTCCTGGTCCTCTTCTCTGCTCTTCGAGTTGTCGCCATTGGATCGGTTCGACTTGTACTTTTCCTCCACTAATCTTGATTAGCTTCGCAGATGATTGGAGATATAATCACATAAACTTACGCCTATGGAGCTCTTCACGCTTTTTGTTGTGTTCGAATCGCTTTGCGTAAGCATCGTTGATCTTGAGATTCGCACCGCCGTCGGAGTCGGACTCGCTATCATCGAATAGCGCCTTGTTCTTGGCCTTTACAGACGCCATATTCGAGGTGGCGACCGAACTAACTAGTAATTCTTACTTTTCGTACTATTGCCGTAGAATGCGTTTCAAGCAAGAATCAATAGAAAGTAACTGCGAGAGACAGAGACGACTGCGCGTGAATCTCCAAGTACGAATTAAAGTCTCTTGAGACTACCTGCATGGAGCTCTCTTGAACTTTTTTTTTTTCTGCCGGTGTTTCGTTGGCGGGGACCTGGAGTTCCGCCCCCAAGCCACTAATGCACGCCCGGCTTGGCTGGGCGGTGTCGGTCCGCTGATGTTCCGGCGCAGCCCGCACTAACGCGCTTGGGATCTAGCGCTGCAGATTACCCACCGGAGGCTACCTCTCTGGCACTGTCGGCCCCTGCCTGCTTGCCTGCTCGCCTGCCTGGCCGTCACTGCCGTCTCCTCCAGCTTGCATCGTCGTCGTCGTCATTCGACAATCATCCAGACCTTCCCGATTTCTAGTCAACCAACACACCCAACCAATACTTGCTGAACCGGCCGCACCCAGCCTCCCTCTCTATTGTCGAATCGTCGCACATCCACTTAATCCTACACTCGCTGGGGTCCCTCCTACAATAATTACATTGACGACGACATGGCTGATTCGAATGCCCCCAAACCAAGCAGCAGCGTGAAGCTGGTCCTGCTTGGTGAAGCAGCTGTTGGAAAGGTATTGTCGCTCCACCCACTCCTCAGTCCGACGCACTGATGTACTGATGCACTGATGCACTGATGCTAATATCGAGCTGTTACGCTAGTCTTCGCTGGTGCTGCGATTCGTCAACAATGATTTCCAGGAGAATAAGGAACCCACAATTGGCGGTATGTCGCCAACACACCTTGCCATCAAGCCTTTGCATCAAACTGCTTGCGCTGACATGACTAATTTTCCAAAGCCGCCTTTCTGACCCAGAAGTGCAATCTCCCCTCGCGGACGATCAAGTTTGAAATCTGGGATACCGCCGGACAGGAACGATTTGCCTCACTTGCGCCCATGTACTACAGGAATGCCCAAGCTGCCCTCGTCGTATACGACCTCACCAAGCCTACATCCCTTGTGAAAGCCAGGCACTGGGTAGCTGAGCTCCAGAGACAAGCGTCGCCTGGCATTGTCATCGCTTTAGTCGGCAACAAACTCGATCTCACAAATGACGGCGAGTCGGGACGGGGCGATGGCGACAGTGAAGGTGCTGAGGGCGAAGACTCCGGAGATGCTCGAAAGGTGTCAACAGAAGAAGCCAAGTCTTATGCCGAGGAGGAAAGTCTCCTCTTCTTCGAGACGAGCGCCAAGACCGGTCACAACGTCGCAGATGTATTCACAGCTATTGCAAACGCTATCCCAGAGACATCATTAAAAAGCACAAGGGGGCCCGGGGCGTCGAATGCCGTCAGTCGAGGCGGAGAGGAGCAAAGAGTTAATCTCAATGGCCCGCGCGAGGCTGCTAAAGAAGGTTGTGCGTGCTAGAGAGCATTGGGTGGTTGAGTCGCTACGCCATAGAGGGAAATATTTATCCGTAGGCAAAGCAGGGTTCGTTATTTCTTGACATCTATTATGGGAGCGCACGGTTGCTTTGAGGGCTCGTTTTCTGGGACGTCTGCACAGGAATGACCTCTCTTGATGTAATAACAGCACGTAAGGAAGGGGCTCAGTGGAACTACAACAGTACCTATTTAGACCGCGCATTTCTATTCAATACCCATTACTCTCTGTTCAATAGCTGATAGACCATCGTATATATCGCTGTCTAGGTGGTCGTTCAGCAGAGTTGCTGCTGTGGATATGAGGTGAACATACTTATGTACCTACCGTACGAGGTGTTTACGTTAGGTACATCAAGGCTCCAAGTTTAATGTTGCACCTAGGTAGCCTGGGTATGCACTACTGTACGCCTAGGTGTTAGGCTTGGGTACCTAGCTAGCATGATAAGTAGTAGATACAGCGAGAGGTAAGCGACGGTTGGCAATGAACAACTTTGATCACCAAGATAGACTAGGTATTGAATACACCATACATAGGTACCTAACAACTGCTACTACCTACTGTGTATGTAAAGAGTGACTTGAGCTTTGCAAAGAGCACATACATACGGGATAGTTGATTCAACCTGGTCTCTCTCTGAGTTCTGGATAACAGAAGGTCCTCTTGCTTGGTACATTTACTCTGTTAAGTGCAAATACTGCATAGATGCATCCTCCCGAGTGGCGCCATCCACACAGACTCCACCGGCAGAATACTAGGTACAGGCTCTCAAAACTTCTTCGGTAGTGCATCACGCATAGCGCAGCGAGCACCGCGTCCCTCCAGCATATGCCCGTTTGCTCCATTGCGCGAGTCGGACAAACAATGGTGCAGCCGGCTCTCTGAACAATCCACTACAGCGCTGTTGTGCCTGTCTCGAACCGTGCCTCGACAGTCGTTGTTGTCACTCGTAACACGGACACGGGCGCCGTCGCCATATATCTTCTCGGGAGCAAATGACACTTGTCGCGTAGTCAAGTTCATAGCACTGCAGCACATTCCATACACCGCAGGCGACCTCTCTTTCTTATCAGCGAGCCCTATACCATTCCACATGTGTTAGGAGAATCGCGACGCCATTGGTTTCTAACATGGCGACTCTTACTCCGGCCCAGCTCGAACTAGCGAGGTATGGTATCTCCCGGTCCCTTTAGGTATTCAGCATGAAGCCTTATGCTCAACTGTCTCTAGTTCTCTTACTCAGGATGAGCTGCCCACTAAGCTGCGATGCGCTATTTGCAGTAAGCTGGCTGTGAATGCTTTCCGGTTACCATGTTGTGAAACCGCTATTTGCGAGAACTGTAAGGAGGCCCAATTGATGTTGTGATTACTACCAAAGAACCCAAAACTGATATCTATTCTAGGCCAAGCTACCCTGCCATCCTCTTGTCCAGTTTGCGAGCACACTCCCGTCTCAGGGGCCGATTGTACCGTCTACAAATCGCTCCGAACCACTATCAGGGTTTTCCTCAAGACAGAGGAGAGAAGGCGCGAGGCTACACGGCCCAAGACTGATGTCTCTGCGCCCACGACTCCTGTTCAAGTGACTCCGACCCCGACTCCCACGCAGAATCAAGGACCAGCAGAGCCCCCTGCTCCAGAACCTACTGCTCCAGAGCACACCGAGTCGGAACATCCACAAGATGTAGTCATGCCACTCGTACCAAGCGCCGAATCCTCAGCTAAAAACGAGAACAAGAGGGTCAATGACGAAGTCACTAATGACCAGCCAGACACAGTATGTAGCCGTTATTGCCTCGAGTTACAAGCCATGCTAACAATTTAATAGACGGAGGGTAATGGCAATCAAGCCGAGGAACAAAATACTGAGGTTGAAGGAGCAGAGGAACTTGGTCCACAAGGCCAGGGGACCGAGGAAATCACGGGTGAAGATGGAGAAAAGGATGATGCCGTGGCTGAAACTGGCGCAGATCAATCAGAACAATCTGGCATGAATTTTGGTTTCGACCCCATGAATAATAATTTCAATATGAATTTCGGCAATGGAGACATGACCCAAATGCAGATGATGATGGCAATGCAAAATGGCATGAACCCCACCGCATTCGGTTCATTCCCTATGATGGGTTCGTCTTTTCTAGTTACGTAAGCAAGGAACAGCTGCTAACCTTCCCCCGTATAGGAATGATGGATCCCATGATGATGCAAAACATGATGATGAATGGTGGTTTCGGTGCACAAGGCATGGGCATGAACGGCATGAACATGAACATGGGCATGAATGGGTTCAATGGCGGCGATGACTGGAACGGACAACAATCATGGAACGTCGGCCAAGATAATTTCAATCCAAATGCTACTGGCATGGGTAATGGTGACTTTGGCAACTTTAACACAAATTTTCGTGCTGGTAATTACAGCCACCACAATCACTTCAATGACAATCGCCGAGGCAACTATGGCTTCCGAGGAAGAGGCCGTGGTCGTGGGTATTACGGGGGTTATGGCCGTGGTTACCACCACAATTATAACCACCAAGGTAATGCTTGGACTAATGGTCAATACAATGGAACATCGCAGGCGGTCGACACCACATCAGGCAATGTTGATGAATTTGGAAGGACAATACGGGCAGACCAATCCCAAGAGGGGCAGCCAGTGGGTCAGGATGGACAGAATACTGTTACTCTACAGGGAGACGACGGCGGGGCATCAGAGACACAAAATCAAGTAGTCAAGGAGCGTGTACCTGGATCCGAAGAGACTCAAGGTGACAACACGAGTCCCGATGGTGATGTCTCTGCTATGCATCCACGGGCCAGTGACGCTGGGCCGCCGCCACAGCGAGTTGTTCCCGATGTCCCTTTAAATGCACCTACTGGTCCCAAGGCAATGCGCCAGGGTCTTCCTAACACTAGCCTTTATCATCTAAAAGCACGTGGTTATATTATGGATGAGAAATCTCCCAGTATCAGCACTAACGGTCCCATCGTGGCCAGTCCCATTGAAGAGACGACCAAGTCGCGGAGTAGTTCCCCGCAAGACAAAGATCGACATCTTCATAACGACCAACAAGAGCATGGCGTAGATGCAAAAGATCCAGCAAAGGACCCTGATAGGGGCCGTGAGCGCTCACGAAGTCATAGCATATCAAAGACTCAAAGTCCTATCCACAGTCGCAGTCGAAGTCGCAGCCGCAGCCGCAGTCGCGATCGTAAAGAGTCCCATAGGCACAGACGCCATCGCTCTCCATCTGTCTCGGATCTAAGCCGCGATAGTGACCGGCGTAGAAAACATAGAAGCAAGCGGCGCTCTACTAGAGAAGAGGATGACCACAAAAGCCGCTCAAGGGCTGATAAATATGAGGAGCGATCTAGATCCGCATCCCCGACGGAACGCGACCACAAGCGCTCAAGTCACCGCAGTCGTCGAGAACGGGACCGGGATCGGGATCGGGATCGGGATCGAGAACGGGAGCGAGAACGAGATCGCGACCGTGACCGTGATCGTGACCGGGATAGAGACAGGGAGCGAGAACGGGATCGTGACCGTGATGAAAAGCGGCGGGACCGCGAGAAAGATAAGGGTAAGGATAGTGATCACGACCGTCACCGAAAACCTAGTCATCGCTCATCTCATCGTGATCGTGACGATGATAGGGATCGAGACAGGGACCGAGGGAAAGACCGAGACCGTGCACGAGAGAAGGAACGGTCTCGTGAGTTCGATAAAGACCTTCGAAACCACGATAGCAAAGTACCGAGAGATGGACCTCCCACGCCAGTAGAACCATCAGAAAAGGGCTTCAATCCTCCTTCCGGCCCCAGGGGTAGCTTTTCAATCAAAGGCGCCGGCAGTAAACCCAGCCTTGAGATTAGAGGAGCCAGTGGCCGCTCCTCTGACATGCAAAGACGTGAAAGCGAGGCGAGCCGCCGCGCTTCGCAATCTTCCACCACTGGTGGTTCAAAGTCTACCCCTAGTATGCCGGCCAAAGATCCACATACGCTTGAGCGAGAAGCTCGGGATAGAGAGCGCCTTTTAAAGGAAGCCCAACGCATCGCTGGTATGGCCGGACTTGCTGGTCGAAATAGTGGAAAGCGTAGCCGTGACTCCACTGATGACCGAGGCGGCCGCAGGAAGCGCCGCAGTGAGCCCGTCGTTGATGATGAAGAGCGCATGAGACGCATAGAAGCAGAGCGAGAGGGCCGCCGCTGGGATTAGATTCCGGAGGTTTGGCAGCTTGAGTAGGAAAAAAGAGAGAAAAGGTCACCTCATGAAGGCGAATTGGAAGGGGATGGGTCAAACCGAAAATTGAGCACATAATTACATTCCTCTGTGGCAATCAACAGAGGGATGAAATGCCAACAAGCACTGTCCCAAATCAGCCAAGTCTGCTCAAGTAAAATTTCGCTGGAGTTCTACTTGACGATCTCTCCAGGTAATTTGTTGTACTATCTGTTCATGGTGTTTGCTAATGTCAACGCTCCTCAAAGAATGATGGTTACGTTGCGTCTTGGGTCATGCTTCACTGGGGACAGAACGGGTAGCATCCTGCGAGACAGGCAACTCCACACTAACATAGAATAGAGATCGATTACTTTCTCATGTATATCAGATCAAGTATAATACAGTAACTGGCCACGGGCTGTGTTCATGAAAGTCCTTTATTTGATGAATCATGTTACTAGATCTTACTTAGCTACTCCCCCCATCTGTGCCGCATCTTGACCTTAATGACAATAATTATCGTGCTCGAAAGCTTATAATGACATGTTAGGCGGGTTACAGCTATTTTGCCTTGAAGTCCGAGTGGTATCCGCGTGAGATTCACCGTCGGAAATGGAGGCAACAGCTACGTTGCGTACGCCGACCCAGTTCCGGGGCCTTCGATGTTAGCTCGATGCAGAAATCAGGGATTTAGCACCAGAGTTGAAACCAAAGCATAATCACCATACAACCATTGAAGGGCGACGCAATGGGTATGACATAACTATATCATAGCTAAGGTATAACCAAGGCTTTAATAGTTAACTACATGCCGTAGTAGGATAAAGATAGAAGATAGATAGGAAGGGCTAAGCTGATATTGAAGACCCCGGAGGAGAAGATGTAAGCTCCGGGTCTTACGATGATGCGTTCTTGTATGCCTAGCAAAGGGGAAAGCCGCTACGTCTCGTGTCTATGCCTAGATAGATGGCACACCTAGTTGAGAATTTCCAAGGCACTTACTCCCTACCTCTTCTTACTCTGCAGCATTCCGGCATCTTTGAGTACACCCATTTTACCAGTTCTTTTATTCATCTAGTGAAGCCATTACCTGAAAATGCCTGTAACAGAACTAGCATGGATTCCTTCCAACATCCCGGGGACTATCTCCCCGGAGTTTCTCAATGCTCTACGAGAAGGCATGGAGGCACAAGGTGACGTATGTTTCCAGCTTCTCTTCGTCTGATCAAAGCGGCATGTTTACCTAACTTTTTATCTCGTTCAATTTTCATTCAATACAGCATTTCAGGTCACGGAGAAAGTTCTTGCCAAGGCCACATTTAGAGCGGCAATTAGGTAGCATGTTGGCTAATCCAGTGACAGTGGGCCGCAGCAAATGCGTCGTCAACCCTCCCGCCCGGACCCCCGGCCAATCGAGGTGCTGCCTTGTATCAACAACGCGAGGACCCGGGCATGGTCCTCATAACGGCGCACTGGGACTCCAAAGAACAACACCTTGAGTGCATAGTCAGTGAAGAGAACCAGCAGGGGCTGCGTGCGGTCGCCGATCACTCCGTGGTAACGGAGATCAAGGTCTTCCACGTCGACGGGGTACAGATGTTCGGGAAGGAGACACTTGACGCGGGACGTCTAAGCATATTGAGAGTTGGCGTCAAAGAGGGGAATAGGGAAAAGCTTGAGAAGATTTGGAATGAGGACGCGAAGAACTTGGTATCTTCTCGCGCGGGATTTGAACACACGGGGGGCTGGAGGATTGAAAAAGATCAAGGCGAGGAGAATGTGTTTGCAGTCGTGGGGTCGTGGCGGGATGAAGAAGCTCTCAGCCGCTTTGCTGCGGGTAAGGAGTGGGAAGAAATGTGGAAGGGCGCTGCGCTGAAGACGGATATCACAACATATAGTCGCATTGCTTAGATGGGCTATGCATAGGATAATCGGTTCACAGATACTGCAACTCTGGTCATGTTATCTTGATATAAACCTGGATGAACTATCTAACTCTGGGGCTGTAAGTGAATGTGACTGATTGACCAAGTGATGGATGGTGGGGCTGATCATTAGACAGCTCTATCGGAGCTCTAACTAAAACATCCCTCCCTCAGCAACTCTAGAATACGTCCATCCATCCATTTACAACAGAAACAGAAACCACCAGCATCCTACGTAGATATTCATAGCACCTAATTCAATATGCGACACCGTATCACTTTCTTTCATCGTAACGAACATGGTATCGACCCGTCCTCCCTCGACATTCGCGATACCTCGATGACGGGCCCTGACCTGCAAGCTGCTCGCGAGCATCGTGTCACGTTAGCTCTCGAAGAGCTCCCCCTCGACCTTCAGGAACTCCTCCATGACATCCACGAGCTGCACCTTCGCTGGAATACGCCACGAGCCCGCACAACCCTTGGGCCATGGTCCTCCAGACTACCGCCTGGGTTGCATGTCTTCTACACACCCCAGCCCGCCAGTGCCACGAATTCGTAGGCAACAGTGTATACCCTCTTTGAACGCATTATCGCTGACCTACTGAAGCGTCCGACTTTGTGGACAGCTTCGTGCTGCATTTGGGGATATAGACTGCTCATCGCCAGCTGTAGGTAGCTCTAGCAAAGAGACAAAGTCTGTTCCTTGTGTCGTCTAACATCGTGTAGGATTCGTTCACTAAACTTCCTACGGATCGATTCTCGCACTCGGCCGCCTTTCAGTACTTCCAACCGCTGGATACCCTCGCCAACCTGTCCAAATATGCCGAACTATATGCATGTGGACCTACTGATTTACATTGCAAAGAGTGGACTCAAGCACTTGGGGAGGCTGTCTGTCTTGATCTATCCTATGATGCTATTTCACATGCGATGAAAATAACAGCTATGTGGCCAGAAGGCCTCCAAAAACTATCTATTAACTCCCATCCAAAGCACAGAACCGAGGTTGGCATCTTGACACCGGATTCGCCCCCACACCTGGAACCTCATGAACTGGGCGTTACTGGGCTCTTGACGGTCCTAGGCGAAACTACAAAGCCCTCACCTGTCCTATTCGCATTCCCCTCCCGACACAAAGACGCTGGCTCAAAGTTCTCATCCGCGTTACTTCAACCTACAGGTTTACATCCAACGTTGCAGTTAAAGCTTGACTCTAGCAGACCTCCGTCACAGGAATCTTCCTGCTCTTTGCATGCATATCTGACGTTGCCTCGGACTATATTCGCTGATAAGTATCAGCTTGGAGACGATCTATTCTTGTCCTCCAAGAACCTGACGGCGTTACGCTATATCAGCCAGCCGGTTGATCTGGAGGCACCCGATTACGCAATGAAAGTATGGGGGTCCAGCATGTTGTTAGAGCTACGATCTCCTAGTACGCAGATAGATACACCTTGGACTGCAGAGATTCCTCTGCATCTTCGGTATCTATCGCCAGCGGAAGGCGGATATAGCTCTATTAGTATTCCCTCGCCATCTGTATTCTGGGCCTGTAACACCGAGGAGGGAACTAAGTTTCCAAACAGCCCCTTCGATCGGACCAATCTGGGCTATGACGGCTTGTTTGGGCCACGGACACTGTTTTGGCACGTAACCCCGGAAGCAGAGGACGGCAGCCTTAACCACCAGATCCGGGTCCCGGTTCTTGACTTGAACAAGTCCAAATGGGTTAGTACAGGCACAGCTGCCGTGGTGCTCATGGGATTTGCATATATTGTGTTTAAGTTAGCGTCGGTCTATTGGCGGAGGGGATACGGTAGTCACAAGGCCCCGACAGAAAGGGAGAAGAAGAAACAGTAACTCAGTCATCTCAGCATCAAGAAGATTAGAGAAATACCTAGTTACGCGAATGAAGACTAATGATCAGTCTCTGTATCATCATACCAAGTGTTCAGTGAAGCTCCTGATTGGCTGACTGTGCTCTCGTGGTCCCACCCGGCCAAGGGGCAGGGTACCATGGCTCACCAAAACGGGAGGCTTACTGATTTGACTTGGCTGAGCCAACCCGATCGTCCCGTCGTCTTGTTGTGGTTGGTACTAATGAACGCCATGTTCTCCTACGTTGTAGCCGGGCTCGCGGTTCTCCTCCTCTTGTACGACCCTCTAAACCAGTATCTAACGGCCGGTCGAGAGCCACGCCGGCTGCCTCGTACGCCACGGCCGCGGATCAATGAGTCTATGCTGGCTATTGACACGGGCAATGAGACGGCGCCTTTGAACTGCGCTCCTGACGCTTATGCCGTACATATCCTCTCCAAGGCACCGCTTGTCGTGTATATTGAGAACTTCCTCTCGCTGGACGAGCAGGAGCATCTCCTTGAGATCAGGTGACTTTGTGCCCTTTTACTTTTCTATTCCTGCCAATGCGTGCGTAGTCTACGAATTGGTGAATGAATGAATGGTGTACATATACACCTTGTCTTATGATCAGAAGTGAGAGTCTTGAGCTAATTTGTCTGGCTATAGCGAACCGCTATTTGAACCATCAACTGTCACCAACGATGGCCACACGACAGAACACAATACTCTAATCCGCGACTCCGAAGTTGCAGTGGTCCCTCGTACTGACACCGTACGCTGCATTGAGGCACGGGCCCGATCTTTCCAAGGGTGGCGAGATGACCTTTGGATCGAGCGCTTGAGGACTCAGCGATACGGGCCAAGTCAACATGTAAGTCTCAATTCTCATAATCCTTTGTTTCACCATGACCATACCTGTTTCTGATTGAACTGCCCTCGCAGTACACGCATCACTTCGATTGGCGCTCTGGCCCCCGTGGCTGGGGTCGCGTCAGTAGTTTCATGGCCTGGGTGAAGGCCGATGAGATTGAAGGCGGTGGCACAGAATTCCCCCAGTTGCAGCGCAACGGGCCGGACCGGCCCTGGTGTCGTTGGGTCGAGTGTCTCAAACCAGAGCCAGAATACGCCGATGATGGAGCCAGCACGAAGAGGAAAGACGGTGAGCCGATCACAGGTGTAACGTTCAAAGCGATACCGGGCAACGCCGTCTTCTGGGAAAACTTCCGTCCTGATGGGACGGGTAGAGGCTGGAACGAAACGTGGCATGCAGGACTGCCTGTCAAGAGAGGCACAAAGGTCGGACTCAACATCTGGAGCTGGGGACGTCTTTGAATTGATTGCCGCACCGTCTTGCCACCACGCTACAGCACCGAGGGTATGCTGTTGGATCTACCTATCCGGATTCGCCTGTGCAATCATCGCTACACCACTTGCTGCGATCGCCCCACGACTTGGCTAATCATATGATAACTCAGTCAGCCTGCCTGGCCCATGGGCTGGTCAGACTGGTGGCACAACTGAACTCGAATGCATGCATGTCAACAACACTAGAAAATTCCAAGCTCCGGGTATCGGTGGTTCTCGGCGGTTCTCGGTCTCCTGCTAATGTGGTCAGTTCCACATGAAGCAAGGGCTGCAGTGGTGGTGTCTTGACAAACGGCCAATCGTTCAGCAACGTATGCAATACTCCACACCCCCTCTACACCGACGATGCGACTTCAGGCCGTCAGACCTTCACTCTAGCGTCTCCCGCAGAGACTTGCCATGGCCACTTACAGGGGCGCCGTTTGCCCGCGTTGGATGGAAATCCTGAAATATCCATGGCATTGTACCCCTCAAACCGCATGTGAAGCTCCACCAAACCATGGGGCCTCGACGCTTGGGTGCCACATCGTCGAGGTCAGTGGATGCTAGGGCTGGTCCAAGGCGCGCCACCGTTTGGCTAGATGTCGATGGATGGCAGACCGTTGAATTGGTAACGAGGGACTAAGGCCGCCGTTCCGTTCTACTGTAAAACACATTTTGAAATCTCTTCTAAAAATGGGTACCAACAGTAGAGGTGACTTAGTTGTACTTCAAATAGTCGTAGAAGATACGTAAGATTTTCATCTCGTACCTATCCAAAGTGATGTGGCCAGCTGCCCTCTTTTCTAACTTCGTAAGGGCTTAGAGAAATGCTAACAAGCTTACCGATCGAAACTGCAGATGTACATATATACTGTAGTGACTGACGTAAGTAGGTATTATCCATGTAGGTAGCGGATATAACTCCGCAGTCTCATGGCGTATGTACCGGTACGTGCCGTAGGTCAAGAGCACATCTGAAAAGACCCGGTTACAATGAGATTGAGATGCCAAGGGAGCGAGCACCAATAGAAGCTCAATGCACTCACACATGCGCCGCAATATCCCAAATCTCAAAGTATAACGCGTTCAAGTAGCTCTATGACAACTTCTCACTCAATTGCAGTGTCTTCTCGAGTACCTGTAGGTATCGGATCTCAGGGCCCTGGGGAACTTAATTACTTACTAAGTCTAGGTAGCCTTTTTTCATGGGATTCTGCGGCTGCCCTGCCACGCGACTCCGGAATTTCGGGATTTCTCGCCAATTCCTCTTACACAGGACCTCTCTCTATACATCTCCTCACGTCGACGTCGTAGAAGGAAGGAGTCGGCTTTAAGACACCGAATATAGCCATTGTCTTCCTGCATTGGCACCGGAGATCCATCCGTTCTACCAATTGGCGCTGATGTTCTGCCTTTCGCCCGTCAAGTATCTCGAGAAACCATGTAGATGAGATGAGAAGACTTCGGAACCCGCTTGCAACATTGGATATGGGGGCGACCCGCACTATCACACATAGTTACCTCCATGTAGACAAGCTGTACCTACTAACAAGTATATGACGTACACGTACCGGGGTGAGGGCCGAGTCAAGGAGAAAAAGAACAACAGCAAGCGAGCAAGTCCCTCGCAAGTCTCTCGCAAGTCTTTCACAAGTCCAGTCTCGGCCATGAGTACCTCTGTGCCCAACCTGTTATCCTTGTCCAGGTATCTGTCTCTACTGTACCTCATGGATACCATATGTACAACATATTATGTATGTTTACGTTTACATTGTACCAATCATTGTCACCACACTCACTGAATGGGCTACTAAGTAGTGTGCATAATGTAGGTAGGTAGGTAGAGGCAAGTAGTAAGTAGCAAACTGTAGAGCAGAACCTTCCGCCGCGTCGTTGGATAGGTTTAAAGCTGGGATCCCCGTCTCAAGATACATCCGGACAGAACTCTGTTTTCCTTATACTTTGACCTCCCCATTGCTCTAAACACTTTATCTTTTCCCCAGCTTTCGACTGTTTCTTAAATGACCCGAGCATTATCGTATCGTTGTTCAATGGGCCCGGCGATCAACTACTTCCTTCGCGGTGCGCTATAAGAGATATAATTCGAATCGATCTCAAGCCTTTCCCATAGCCTCGATCACACCACCTCGTGGAGCAATTGCAACATTCGACAAGCTCAAAAAAAATATCACACGCCCATATTTCAATCATGTCAGAAAGGCCTGTTTTTGTGGCTACGCATCCGCGGGCCTGCTCGACCGCATTTGAGAGAGTCAGTATCCTATCCCTCCCCCGGCCGTCTCCAATCACGCCATATGCAACATAGATTAGAAGGGCGGAAATAAATCAGAACTCGATTCTAACTTTTGGGGTAACTCCTTATAGGTGTTCATGACATGTCAAGATACTCTCCAATGCGCCCATGAGCCTTTTGGAGACGCTTTCTACTATGGCCCTGAGAGGCTGGGTGAGCGATACGAGGATGACGAGGAGGGCAGATTGAGCAGTGGCTTCTCTAAGACTACGTACCGGAATGTCCTTGATCGCCTTGATCGGGATGCAAGCCAGGTTAGACATCCCTATTTTTTCTTTAATTCTTCCTTTCACTTTGTTTTCATTCGATTTATCACGCTTCCTTGGCATCTAAACCTACACTTATCTCAGCGTGCGGCTTGGGATATACACTTTTCCTTTCATCCATTAAAATTCACCAGCTTCAAACCTTTGAATTCTGATCCCTTATCACTTTTAATTTTCAAAATTGCAGTTTAGAGGGGAAAAAATGCCATGTCGGCTAACAGTCTCGGTAGGGCAAGCGTCTTTTCATCAAAGACATGGCGTATTACGTGATGCCTCCCAACAACGGGGTCCCATCCATTGCGTCATCCCTGCGCAGCCCTGCAAACGGCGTGTCCGCCAATGGTGAAAAGTTGGCGAACGGTGTCAACGGCGACGCCCATGCGAATGGGGTCAACGGCCACAGTCACACAAACGGTGTCAATGGCACTAATGGGGTAAATGGCCACAACCACACAAACGGGGTGAATGGTCACAGCTATATGAACGGTGTGAACGGCACCAACGGTGTCAATGGCATCGAGAAGAGCAAGAGGCAAGGCTCCGATCCCACGGGCAACCCTACGGTCATCCCTCTGGAAGTCCTCAAGAAGTTCCACTGGACATTCCTCATCCGCCACCCGCGTCGGGGTATCCCGTCGTATATGCGGTGCTGCTCCCCTCCCCTGTCCGAAACGACGGGTTGGGACCACTTCATGCCGTGCGAGGCCGGCTACGTCGAGCTCCGGCGCCTGTTCGACTACCTGCGAGAGCAGGGTCTAGTCGGCCCCTCGGTAGCCGGGCGGGAAGACTCGGGCGCCGTGAAGGGGAAGGACGAGGTCACCATCACCGTCCTGGACGCCGACGACCTCCTCGACCACCCCGAGGAGGCCGTCCGGGCCTTCTGCAGAGAGACGGGCATCCCGTTCTCCAAGGACATGCTAAAGTGGGACGACGGCGGAAACCAGGCGTACGTCGAAGAGGCCTTTGCGAAGTGGAATGGATGGCATAACGATGCTATCAAGAGCAAGGGGCTTACTGCTAGGACTCACGTCAAGGTATGTTTTCAAACCCCCTTTTTACAAATATATATATATATATTTCATTGCTCATATTACGACCGTAATCTAACTTGAACGTGAACACAGAAACCTGTCACCGAAGAATCTGAAAACGAGGAATGGCGACAGAAGTACGGCGAGGAGGGGCAGAGGATAATCAGAGCTTGCGTGGAGGAGAACATCCCACATTACGAGTATCTGAAATCGTTTGCGCTGCAGTTCTAAAGGCAAGCCGCGTTTCCCTTTTTCCCCCCACTAGATACATATGTAGCTGCTTGAGAGGGCATTGTCATGTTGGTTCCTTGGCGCGGTTTATTCTTTTTTTTTTTTAATATGATGGGTCTATGATACATATATGTAATGATTTTTTACTACACTATGTTACAGTAGTAGCGTTTCTCACCCCTGCCTCCCTCGAGGTATAACATGGTGAGAGGGAGTTGCTGGTAACACGCAGCTCGAAGAGCTAGAACACGGAGCAGACTTTTCCTGCCTGCTTGCCAGCGATGACATACATAATATTTGTTTTTAAATCTGTGACATTTGTTTGGCGTTATACGTAAGCTCTTACTCCCATTATTCATATCTCGGCCGCCACGCTTTCTGCATTTTCCGCGGTCGCGGTTGCGGTCTCGGTCGCGGTCTCGGTCGGCACCAGGATCGCATTCTCGAAAAGATGATGTGTGACATTCTTGGACCATTTCTCGGCGTAGTTCTGATCGAGTCCGTCGGCCCACCAGACGGTCGCCTGGACAAGTGTCTTGCCATCGTCCTCGGTGGCAGTGGGCACCGTTATTTCACTGCCGCTCGTGTCCTCTGCGGCGGCTCCGACCACGATCTTGTTGCCTTTGCCCAGGCCTCCCAGCACGGCGGCCATGTCGGCGATGGTGTTGGCGCGCTGGTCGTTGAGGCGGCGGCCGCGGTCATGCGTCGTGAGCGTCTCTCCTTTCTCCCCGTACAGCACGCTATCGCCCCACGAGTACTCGTGCAATTTCTTGCACTCCCGCAACCGCTGGTACACGCTGCGGCCCACCTCGCCCTGCCCGTCCGGGAATTGGATCATGGCCATCGGCCGCCAGTAGTCCTTCCGTAGCTTCGCAGGCCTGAGTTTCTTTCCATTGAACGGTATCTGTCTAAATGCGCGGTTTGCCTAATTTTCGAGGGTGATAGTTAGTGACATGTTTCGTATTCCTCTCGATTAGGTGGGATGGGACCGGGGGGAGGGGGCTTTTCGAGGAACGTGGTGTAACGTAATGTACCTTGAGCACGGGGTCGTGTGAGTATACCGTCATCCCATCTAAGAAGTGTTTGAAGACGTAGATCTTTTCGCCGTGGCCGGGCTGGAAACTCGGCTCAATCCGCTCGCCCTTCCTCCTCTTCGTCGTGGATGCGAGTCGTATGCTGGTTCTGGAGGTAGTGTTGCCGATGGATAACTTGCCCAATTGGGCTGTTATGGGACTTATCCGTAGTGCCATTGTGAGTTCTGTGGTGTGTGGTGTGTGGCGTGTGGGAAATGGTGTGTGGTGGTCGTGGAGGCACCCTTACGTGGTGCCGACGAAGCTCTCCCGTCTGCTCTGCTCGTTACTCAAAATTTCCACATGCGCGATCAATCTACCTATCTCAACTACGCTGCCTGTAGGCTGTAGGCTGTAGGGGGCTATCAGCCTATCGCTGGCAGAGGCTGGAGCAAGTGCTGGCAGCTGTCAACGTCAGACCCAATAGCCCGGCATCCCTAGTCATGTCGTGGGCTTGGCACTGACCGAGCAGACTCGAGCTGGTTGCCGGTTGCTGGTCATAAGGCAGCCCGCAAGAAGGCTTCGTAGGCTGTTTCTAAGCACCTACCTAATCTGTTGGCAGTCTGTTGTCCCACGTGCAGTATCTGTCTTGAATCTATCTTGCAATCTGGAGCAGCGAGACAAGTTCTACACCGGTCATGGTGGGATGCTGCAACAGGCAGACACGGCGCAGGCTCCAGGGCTGTCGACGTAGCAGTGCAAGTCCGTCCAGTCAGGGCAGGGAATGCAGCCCATCAGCCTGTTTCCAGCTGTCAGCCAAGCGATTCAGCCCCATCCAGGGCCCTGGTCAGAACCCGGTATTACCCCAGTCCAAATCCAAAGTTTGCCCCACGGCGGCCATCGAAGCTTCTAGGGTGAGGTGGTGACCTCAGTCTGCTCAGTCGAAGCTTCTCCAAGTAGCGCGGAGCTGCTGGCTGTCGCGAGCTGCTACTGGCTGCTACTGGCTGCTACTGGCTGCTACTGGCTGCTACTGGCTGCTACGGGCTACGACCAGCGGTGCCCGATGATGTATGTCGCTCTCGCTGCTGCGTGAAGAGACTGGTCGCTTCGACATCACACGGACATCATATCATGCCACTTTTGTTCATGCTTCATGCTCTCGCCTTCTCCACAGCGAAACTCAGATAAATCCTGCATCATCTTCCCCTTCGCTGCTTTGTCTCTGTTTTTCTCTTCACTGAACAACCAACCCAAAACAAAGACATTGTATAAAGCAAGCAAACAATAGTCTCGCTTTCTGAGGGCTATATTTACTCACAATACGTTGTGTTGTGCCGAGGGCATTCACTTCATCAGACACACCTAAACACAGCATTTATATTTCTCTGAAACATTAAAACATAACATTAACCGACCCTACAACACACCACTTCATACGCACAACCCACCGTCACCATGAATTCCCGAATGGAATTCACGGAGCGGGGCAAGAAGGCCTTGGAAGATGCCATGGCCCTCACCGAGCAGTATGCTCACTCACAGCTCCTCCCCGTACATCTAGCCGTCTCACTTCTCGATCCGCCTCCCGACCTGTCCAAGGACCAGCAGAACAACCCTCAACCCACCTCGAGTCTCCTACGACAGGTCGTGGAAAGGGCCAATGGTGACCCTCAGGCTTTCAGCAGAGCGCTGAAGAAGACATTAGTCCGCCTGCCATCCCAAAATCCACCTCCCGAGAACATCTCCATGTCACAGTCTTTCAACACAGTCCTAAGGAAGGCGAACGAGCTGCAAAAGACACAAAAGGATTCCTACATCGCCGTGGACCACCTCATCAGCGCATTGTCCGAGGATGCTTCCATCGCCACGGCGCTCAAGGAAGCCAATGTCCCTAAGCCTAAACTCATCCAAGATGCCATTGTGGCCATTCGTGGAACAAAGCGGGTCGACTCGCGCACCGCTGATACCGAGGATGAGAACGAGAATCTGGCTAAATTCACCATTGATATGACTGCTATGGCGAGGGAAGGAAAGATCGACCCCGTCATAGGGCGAGAGGAAGAAATCAGACGAGTTATTCGTATCCTCTCACGTCGAACCAAGAACAACCCGGTTCTGATCGGTGAACCTGGTGTTGGTAAAACGACGGTTGTCGAAGGCCTGGCTCAGCGAATCGTCAATGCCGACGTCCCTGACAACCTCGCGGCTTGCAAACTCATGTCCTTAGACGTGGGTGCTCTCGTCGCTGGAAGCAAGTATCGTGGTGAATTTGAAGAGAGAATGAAGGGTGTCCTCAAGGAGATATCTGAAGCTAAAGAAATGATTGTTCTCTTCGTCGACGAAATTCATCTGCTGATGGGTGCTGGAGCAACGGGAGAGGGCGGTATGGATGCTGCTAACCTTCTGAAGCCAATGTTAGCCCGTGGCCAACTTCACTGTATCGGTGCTACCACCCTTGCCGAGTACCGGAAATATATTGAGAAAGACGCCGCTTTCGAACGACGATTCCAACAGGTGTTGGTTAAGGAACCAAGCATCCCTGAGACCATCTCTATTCTGCGAGGTCTGAAGGAGAAGTACGAAGTTCACCACGGTGTTACCATCGCAGATAGTGCCCTCGTGTCCGCTGCCAATCTCGCTGGTCGTTACCTCACTTCTCGCCGTCTTCCCGATTCTGCAGTTGATCTTATCGACGAAGCTGCAGCCGCCGTTCGAGTCGCCCGAGAGTCTCAACCAGAAATTATAGATTCGCTTGAGCGACGGTTACGGCAGTTGCGAATCGAGATCCACGCCCTGTCGCGAGAGAAGGACGATGCTTCTAAAGCACGTCTTGAAATTGCCAAACAAGCTGCAGAGAATGTCGAGGAAGAACTGAGGCCACTACGCGAAAAGTATGAGAGCGAAAGGAAGCGCGGCAAGGAAATTCAAGAGGCGAAGGTCAAGCTTGATCAGCTCAAGGTCAAGGCAGAAGACGCTGCTCGAATGGGTGACCATGCTCGAGCCGCTGATCTTACATACTATGCAATTCCCGAACAAGAACAAAATATCAAAAGGCTCGAAAAGGAGAAGGCAGCTGCTGATGCCGCACTTAGTGCGAACCCTGACAATCTCGGTAACGCTATGATAACGGATATTGTGGGTCCTGACCAGATCAACGAAATCGTGTCTCGATGGAGTGGCATCCCAGTTACGAGACTCAAGACTACGGAGAAGGAGAAACTTATACATATGGAACGCGCTCTTGGTAAGACCGTGGTCGGCCAAAAGGAAGCGGTCACGGCAGTATCCAACGCGATACGGCTACAACGCTCAGGTCTCAGCAACCCGAACCAGCCGCCCAGTTTCCTGTTCAGTGGACCTTCGGGTACTGGTAAGACGTTGCTCACTAAAGCACTTGCCGAATTCCTGTTCGATGACCCCAAGGCAATGATCCGCTTTGATATGTCGGAGTACCAAGAACGTCATTCTCTAAGCAGGATGATTGGCGCGCCTCCTGGATACGTTGGACACGACTCTGGTGGTCAACTTACTGAGGCTTTGCGCCGAAAGCCTTTCTCTATTCTCCTCTTTGACGAAGTAGAGAAAGCCGCCAAAGAGGTATTGACAGTTCTCCTGCAGCTCATGGATGACGGTCGTATCACTGATGGCCAAGGACGCATTGTCGATGCCAAGAACTGTATCGTGGTCATGACTTCCAACTTGGGTGCGGAGTACCTTGCTCGCCCTGCCGGACGAGACGGAAAGATAGACGATGCAACTCGAGAGCTTGTCATGAATTCTCTGCGGAACTATTTCCTTCCGGAATTCCTGAATCGAATTAACTCGATCATCATCTTCAACCGTCTCACAAGACGCGAAATCCGCAAGATTGTTGAGCTCCGACTGAGCGAGATTCAGAAACGGTTGGAAGACAACAACCGCAAGGTTACAATCGAAACAACGGACGAGGTGAAGGACTACCTAGGCAACGCCGGCTATTCCCCAGCCTACGGTGCCCGACCGCTCCAGAGACTCATTGAGAAGGAGGTCCTGAACCGTCTGGCTGTCTTGATTCTCCGTGGTGCCATCAAAGACGGAGAGTCCGCGAGAGTTGTTCTTGTCGACAACAAAATTCAAGTACTCGCCAACCATACAGACAGTGACCTTGATGACGAAGAAATGTTAGTTGACGAAGATGATGCTGTGGACGATATCGCCCCAGAAGACATGGATGAGGATATTTACGATTAAGATCCCAGGATTTGGATCCGATCGACAATAACGAGTAATGGTATAATGTGAAGGCGTAGAAGAGGAGAATTTGGAGTTCTATGGATAATTTGTACTACGGTAGATAAACCGGTCATATGTAACCGGCAGGTACCCTGCAATGGTCATGATACCACCAAATAGCAAATAATAAAGAGTATATATTCTTTAAACTGGGCTCATACTATAACGTGAAATATATGTGCTAGAATACGCTCTATCCATGGGCATCAAAAGTGATTTAAATAATTCAGTTAAAGCCCCTATAACGTAGGCAACGCGTTTCTGTGTTGCCAGTACAGCTTCAACTTAAGCCGGACTTAGATACCAGCTCACACCCGGAAAACTGACCGCGTATTCTCTGTACTCCCCGGGAAACGTAGTCTTTCTGTTCCTGCACGGCATCTATGAGCTCTCCCAGCAGCCCTGCAGCGCGTCCGCAATGCCTTCGACGAGATATCTGCTGTCGCGAATACACGCTGTTGGGTCTCCTTCTATGAGGAGCCCATATGCTAGCCATTCGAGGATAAATGGGGTGGATAGTAGGTAAGTAGTAGGACGCCTGCTGGGTCCCCTGTGACGCGGAATCATCTTGGTTCTTGAGATTATGTATTTTGTATTTTTCACTGATTAATTAATTAATTACTAGGAAATAGTAAGTATGGATTGCCGGATTTTAAGGGAAATGCAAATATTGGATAGTGTGAGGAAAGACTGGTGGGCTAAGTATTCAACTGCCTAGTATATGCTAATACCCCCCTTCGCTTAAGCGTTCACTATTCTATACTTCTTTTTAGTACGCAGATTTTCCATACAACGGTGGGCATCCTTAGTTTGATGTCTTTCTATTCGAGCTTTTCTACATATATAGGTAGGTGGGCGCACGGTAATTTGAACTAGTGACCTTGCGTAGAGTGTAACCATGGCATATATTCTATAGCATTTCCATTATATTAACGTAGGCTTGAAGGCTATAAGTAAAAGCTGGTGCACCAGGTACTCATCTACCTAGTACTACTACTATATCTACTAACAAATAGTCAACTTTATTCAAATTATTTTAGGTTTCGGATGGCTGAAGAGCACAATTTAGAACGCATAGGATCCGGCATAGGATTCCAGTGACGAAGATGGTGATATTGATATTATCACTTACAGATACCAGGGCGGCTAGTTTCGCCTGGTCTTGCGCATAATATCTATTCGTAAGATAATAGATCTAGAAATTTTACAGTATAAATGATCTAGAATAACATGTCTCAGAAGAAGGTGAGAAGGGAGAAATCAGAGCAGCTCGGGATATCTCCCTGCATTTCTAACGAGGCATTATGACCAATGTTTGCAAGGGGTCGTGCTAGCGTTATATAAGCGTCCGCAAACACAGCAACAACTGCTTTGGTCGTGTCGACGTTGTGAAAGCATCTAAGAAGGGCGATTGCAATCATTATGTGTAATTCTTCATGCAGGGGGGGGATTAAGAAGTCTGCTGACTTAGTTGTGAGACTAGACGCTCCCTCTGATGACGGTTCAGAGAGACTCTCAACACCGGAGCGCGATCACTTTCTATTGACTACTTGGCCCTGATAGGAGGATATAGGTCTAGGGAGCCCTCCCTTGTGTGTATGTAACTGACTGCTCACTCTTCGACGGCCGGACCCGTGATGTTGTCATTTGCCACGATTCCGCTACGCCCATTGGAATGTTTTCTAGGATGCAGAGCTAGCCCTTAACTTGTACTACGCCGTTCTCTCTGTTTGCCATCTTGTAACGCAGTTGATGTTGGGCAAATTTTGTTGGGTAGAGTCTTCGAGCCGACCCCTCGCTGGTTGGCCAAATGAGAACGGCCACTTCATCCATAAGGTCGATCTGAAGGCTCGGCAGGGAGAGGCTACACTATGGAGGGCTAATTGTAATACAAGATGCTCATTGTGATGTGCAAGTTGAACGTGGACTGTAGGTAACAAGAGTGAATATAAGTAGCACTCTGCGCCTCCATCTTCTGTACTTCAAATCCTGAGACAACCCACCACACTCCATCCAAACCGGCAGATCACGCCCTTCGAGAATCAAGAACAACGTTCTAAACACCTATACTCCAACATCAAAAGGTTTAAAACTCCAACCATCAGTCCTCCCTAGATAAAACTTGATCTAACATGTAGGTACGCAGCCCAGTCTTCCCCATCACACAAGCAAACGCAATAAAGACGATGTGCAAGGAACTTTGGTACCAATATCTACAATGCGGTCACATATTAAACCCATACTTCTATAAAGCGTGCCAACATTGGCTCACTGAGAACCCGGAGGCACATCCACATTGTGGATCGCCGCGATGTCCCGAATACAGTCCCTCCAAGGGACGTTTCGTCCAGCCAGTGCGCGGCAATTGTGTTGCCTGTGATGTGAGAAATCGGCGGCCGAAGCTGTGAAAATGTTTGGCGCGGTTTTTTTGGTTTTTTTTGGATCTGATAGGGGCTGAAGGTCGAGAGGGTTGTGTTGGCAGGCTGTGTCCTCTAACAACAGATCTCCATGCTATCTCTTTCCCTATATCCTATCATTAAGTTTCTGGTTCTTTCGAGGGAATTGTGGGCGAACATGTGTTGTCCACATTGTCACCGAAATCACGCTCACTTACATACACAGAACAGTTTGTTCTAACTGAATTCTTCGCCTTCATACTATATGTGACTATCGAGAATAGAACCCATCTCCTGGGGAGAAGTATATAACCACTGCTTTCTGGGTAAGGAAAGAGATGGTCTTCTCAACTAGAGTGCCCGGGTGTACTTCTTCATCATGACTAGGTAGGTAGGACCAGTCGATAGACTGAAGAAGATCAACTAAGACGGACTTAGGTTATGTTTAAGTACTTGAGAGCACTGCCATTCCATACAGCTCAGGTACTGTGGATTGAGCCACCCATGTGCGAGCAATGTTGGAAATTTCCGAGAAACCCGGCTAACCTATATATGTATGACTCTGGAAGCAGCGTCAAGTCTAAGTCGAGCCATTTGACGTTTGACATTATGCTTCGTATCCTATCTAACAACTAGCGCTGTTCGTTCGAATGTTGGCGTTACGCTCCAGGCTTACCACACATGTCGAATATTTTCCTACAATCGCGTACATACAAGCACGAAGCTCATTTTTATACTCCGGATGTCTCCGTCTACTGTGAAGATACGAACAACCTCGACATAAACCCGGCACAACTGTCAAGAGACCTAGTCTACACTATATACGAAAACCTAAGCATCCCTTTTTCTACACGACAAGTCTGTATATAATAGGACCGCATTAGGGAATCAGGGCTTTGCAGTAATCAGTAAACGCAGACCCTCGAGGTCTCAATGCAACCACAAGTAGATACAGCTTGTCTCGGCGATTGGTGCCAGAAACTCGTTGCATTTCTGTCGGTGCACGGCACTTGTGCTTCCACAAACGTCTTTGTGCGCTCGATCGTGGCTACACGCACATGTTGTCACACTTAGATGGGAAACATATCTACCGTTAGACTTTGCATGTCTAACAACTATCTCTTTTTACTTTGACATTTGGTTGACGAAGTGTGATATATGTCTCTTCATAGCTTGGGGAATAAAGTTGAGAGAAGTCTGGAGGATATGTAGGAAGAGGTCGGTGGTAGGCAATCATTGCTCAGAAGGATGCAAAGAAAGGATGAGAAATATCTTACGACGGGACGTCTGATGGACTCCCACCACTCTATTCTCACGGCCGTTCGTAAGTACGCCAGGTTATATATGCATATATAGAATACTTTCTGCGTCAATCATGATATGTGGATTCTCGTCATTAGCAATGTCTCAATCTATTTCCACAGTAGATGGGGTCGTGGCATATATATGGTGGAATGACTGATCCAGTGATATCTCAATCTGAATGTAAAACATCATGTCTGATTCGAGGATATGCTACAGGTGCCCCAGTCGCTAGAGCATCTCAGGTTAGAAACCTTTCTCCTCCGTGTCTATAGGCTTTAAGGAGACGAAGCGCCACGCTAATATATTAGCCATAGCTGGTAGATAAATCACTTGAGAGAGAGCCAAACCTATGCTATACTCCGCCGACTACTTGCCTACATAAAAGTAGATAGATACTCTCTCACATAAACTTTAGAAATAAGCGATTGCATACAGGGGCATTTAGTGTACATGTAGATCTTCAGCTGAGAGATGAGCCCTATTTGATATCAGGTCATCAGTGAAGCAACGGCGAGTTTAGTGTAGCTACCCCATACTGAGAATACTTATCTGGTAGGGTGACACAGCCGATCTGTGGAGCTATGCGAAGGTGCCAGGGTGAGAATGGAGTTCATATAACAACTAGCCTTATGTAAAAGCGCTCCTTTTCTCCTGGGGGTTAGACTCATTAACCGTGCCACGCCCCACTGTTTTTCGGATTGCAGATTGCACACCTACTAAAGTAGGTGCTAGCCACCAAAATAACCAATCAGCAAAATAACCACTTTTTTAACCTTCATAACTAGAATTTACATAAAAAGCGCCTATTTCCATCGCTAGAAATAACTAACGCTAGCAATAGCCTATTAATATACCTCTAATTGTATACTATTTTAGCTATTTTTTTAAAGGCACGTTAAATAGCTTTTCTATAGCATTCTTTTATAGCCTTAATAAGCTTTCAAACCTTTTTAAATTTGTTTTTAACCAATTGTTCAACTATATAATAACCTTTAATTATAATTAAAACTCCGCTTAACTTTAAAGGGGTATTCTTTATTAATCTATAGGCTTAAAAAACCTTTTAAGCTAATTAGATCCTTAAAAGGTTAGCTTAAAGTTAAACCACTTTTATAACGTTTAAAATAAACCCCTTAATAAATTAAATAATAACATCAGTAAGGTTATAATTAAAACCTTTTATTCCTTTTAAAGCTTTAATAATATAATATATTACTTTATTAATATATTATAAAGTTATAAAGATTAACGCATCTCCCACTTGACCTGGCCACCCCCCTAGCCCATACAAATAACGTCGGTGCGCTAATCACGTGATAATTTATAACTCTATAAGTACTAATCGTATAAAATAATAAAATATACCATTAGATTCGTAATGAAAAGAGCTATTTAACGGTACCCTTTACTAACTTTTACGACTTATATTCGCGGAGTTATTAAGCAATACGCTAAAGTAAGCGTTAAATTAACCCTTGCTTAGCGCCCCTTTAGCGTATTGCTAAATATCTCGCTTAATAAATTTTGTAAAAAATAGTAAAAAATACCTCTAAATTCCCCTTTAACTAACGGATTTAAAGGTGCTAATTTTTCAATCGTACGATTAGTATTCGTAAAGTTATTAAAGATTAAAATAATGGGGGTTTATATAGATTATTGGGGTAGCCAGGTCAATTGGGTGGCCAGGTCAAGTGGGAGATGCGTTAATATAAAAGAATTAAATAATAAATTAAGGGTTATAAATTAAAGAGGTATTACTTTACGAAGGATTTGTTATTTTAATAGTTAAAAGACTTTAAATGGATTAAAGGGGTAAATTTTAATTTTTTTAAAAGCTAAAAAGATTATTAAAGGCTTAAAGGCTTAAAGGCTTAAATTTTAACCTATTAAATATACCTTAAGAATTTTAACTTTATAATATTAATTATTCTATTTTAAATAATAATATTTAAAGCCTTTATATAATAATACTTTAAAGGTTAAAAAACCGTTATATTTAATAGTTAAAATATATAGGTTAAATAAAATAATAGATTAAAAGGAATAATATTATAAAAGTTATAAAAAGCTATAAATTCTTTTATATAATAAAATCTATAGTTATTTAATATAAATAGTTATTTTTAATTAATTTATAATAATATAATATACTTTTTAAAGTATTTAATTTATTTAAGGCTTAATTAATTATTTAAATAGCCTATTAGGCTAATTATAATAGCTATTAATTTTAATATTTTAAGGGTTTAATATTATTAAGCTATATATATTTAACGCATCTCCCACTTGACCTGGCCACCCAATTGAGCTGGCCACCCCCTTAACCTATATAAAAGTCCAATGTTTCAATCTGTAATAACTTAACCAATATTGGGCCTACAATAAAATAATTAATACCATTAGATCCGTTATTTAATAAGGAATCCAGCGGTATTTTTTACTATTTTTTATAAAATTTATTAAGCAAGATATTAAGCAATACGCTAAAAGGGCGCTAGGCAAGGATCATTTTAACGCTTACTTTAGCGTATTGCTTAATAACTCCGCGAATATAAGTCGTAAGAATTAATAAAGGGTACCGTTAAATAGCTCTCTTTATTACGAATCTAATGGTATATTTTATTATTCTATACGACCAATATTCGTAAAGTTATTAAATTATCACGTGATTAGCGCACCGACGTTTTTTGTATGGGCTAGGGGGGTGGCCAGCTCAATTGGGTGGCCAGGTCAAGTGGGAGATGCGTTAACCTATTAATATAAAAAAGCTAAATATAACTTTTTTAATAGTAAAAATAGCTTTAATATAAATAATTAACTCTTTATTTTTAAATAAAGTAAAATAATAAGCTTAAGTTTATTTAATAATAATAAATATATTATTAGTTATTTTAATATAAAATCTAATTTTATTTATATTTTATATATTTTTTATAATAATACCTTTATTTTTTAATAGGTTTTATAACTTTTAAAAATATTTATTAATAGCTTTTATATTTTTAAATGTTATATAATTTAAATCGAACTTTTTTTATAACCTTTAAAGGTAATTATACCATTGGATAAAGCGCTTTAATTAGGATTAATTAACTATAGGTAGGTTAGGATTTTAAAGGTAAGCCTTTACCTTTAATATATAATTAACAACGTTAGAAATAAATTTAACATATATAGCTAGGTTTATTCGATTAAGGTAGTTAATATAATTGTAAATAGCTTCTTTTTTAATAGGTTTAAGCTTTAAATTCGAAAGTAATGGTCGATTAGGTCCGCCATAGCCTACAAGGCAATTTCGAAGGATTATATACGTAATGCCGAAGGTCCGCACAATAGCCGTTATTTTTACAAATAGGAAGTCCTATAGGTAATCCAATGCTTCTTAAACGTTGGATTCCATTTTAAAGCTTGAAAATCGACTGTAAGGGTATTTTTTTGGTATTAAAGGTGGAAAGGTTAAAAAAAGTGGTTATTTTGCTAACTGGTTATTTTGGTGGCTAGCACCTACTTTAGTAGGTGTGCAATCTGCAATCCGAAAAACAGTGGGGCGTGGCACGGTTATGAGGTGTCGAATACGAATGTATCGGCATTCATGCATGTCCGAGGTACCGAATATCGAGTGGAAACTTCAATGACAAAGAAAGAATGGAGTTGACATGGCATGAAGATTGTGTTGTCGGTTACTAATAGGCTATTGTCCCATGATGATGAGTACCTAAGAGAACTGCCTGCAAAGTGCCATATTCTTTTTTGAAGACGAACAATCAGCAGTAGTAGGTAGGTGTACAATTCGGCACTATACACGAGGCATTCCCGTTCCCACTAAACAAGACTTTGCCATGAACTTGTCGCTTGAGCTTAATTTTATTAGTGCGGGATCATATCAAGGCTTAAGTAGGAGCGCGAAGTGTTGTCGCTATCGGCAACATCAAAACCCGCCGCCGGCTGAACCCGATCCCGCCGCCTAAGGCCATGGGGCTGGTTGTTAATTATCAAATTCCAGCGACAGGGTTCTGAATGATTTGAAGCGCTTACCTGTCTGTTATTGGACCGTTTGGAGATCGACTTTCCGGGTCGAGTGTAGCGCAGTCATGCATCTCGTAGTCCCGGGTGTTGCTGAGTTTAGTAGACATGGGTAAAGGGAGCTATTCCGGCTCTTACTAATAATCCAAATCAATGCCTCCGAAGAATTACCAAAACGTCTTTGATCACTGAGCGCAACTATCCTGTCTCTTTAGGATGATCCGATAACTAGGTAGATGCTTGGCATAATCTCGTAATTCGGTATTTAAGTACACTAACACTGGGGTATTGCCATCATGATAGCCTGTTGGTGTTACGTACGTTGCAGGGGAGACGCCTATCATTCCAAATTTCAAAGCCCAACAAACCTTGCAACCATGTGATGACTTACAGTCAGACTCAATATGCCACCCTACAAGATTTGACAATGAAAATAGTAGTGGAACCGACAATCAAGACGGGAAACATACTGCATGTATAACTACATAGTAGATAGCTAACCAAGATAAATATATTTTAGCAGAGGTTCCGAGTTCTAGAACCTTCAATTCTATCTCGTCGCATCTCTTGATCCAGTCTGAGCCGTAGTCAAGATGAAGTTCTCCAGCATTGCCTCTGCCTTGGCCCTCACAGCCTCTGTGGCCGCCGCGCCCAAGAAGGGCTGCCCAAGCAACTCGACGTTGCCCTACACCACCATTGCCGGTGTAAAGGTCGTCGACACGCCCCTTGTGCGTCAAGCCCGTGAGCTCATGGAGGCCAATTTCGAGCCGTTCCTCATCCGTCACGTATACCGAACATGGCTATTCGGCGCTGCAACGATAAACAACAACGCGACACTGGCTGCCAAGATCGACGCCGAGGCACACGCTATTGCTTGTCTTCTTCACGATGTCGGTTGGGATACAAGGGACAACTCCCCCTTTACCTCGAAGTATGCAATACCATATCCCTGGACATCGCTAGACGACACCTAAACTAATTATGTCATAGTGACAAGCGCTTCGAGGTTGACGCGGCTATATACACCGTCAACTTCCTCAGAGATAACGGCGTCCAGGGCGAGTGGAAACCTCGTCGAACTAACCCTGTGTGGACCGGTATTGCCCTGCACGCTACCTCGAGCATTGGGCTGTATAGCGAGGATCTCATGACAAATTTCATTATTGAAAGCATCAACATGGACCATCCCGGACCTCATCCCAAATTTGCTGTCGAGACCTACGACGACATCGTCGCCGCATACCCCATGGTTAGTCCCACTCATGTCCCTGAACGTTGCTCCTGCATCTCCTTCGAATGCTGGCATAGCTCTTATTCCATGTGATAATTACTAACCCGCGCATGTATAGGACGGGCTAGGCGAGGGCACAAACAGAGCTTTCGCTCATATCGCTTCATACAAACCTGAAGTGACGTACGATACTTTCCTCGAGCCCTGGGGTGTCGCCTACGTCGAGGGCTATAACCCAGTCGGCCACCGCTTGTTCGACCGTGGCAACGTCAACGTCTCATCACCTGTACCCATGAGGCGGAATGTCCACGGGATGTAATCAGGCAGCTACATCCACGTCTAGAACACGATACCAATAACTTCGAAATCGAGAGCGCTTAGGCTGAATCCATCTACGAGACTCGATAATACACCTAGCAATAGGTACCACTATATTCGAGACTGGGAGTCTGAGGCCAAGACCATCCGAGAAGAGGAGAACACAACAGGGCTCTGTCCCTGAAGTAAATTCTTGTACAAAATCTATGGCCTACGCACAATGCGTTTCAAAGGTCACACCTATACACACCTGTATATACCTACAAACAACGCGATAGACATTTCTGAAGCGTTTGACTTAGCTCTAATTAGATGGTGACGAAATTCATCATGACAGTGACACATCCACAACTTCTCTTTTGTAACAGAAACCAAATTCAATGTATATTAATCAAGAACGCGCGTATAGCTACGTATTAGACCGAGACGCCCTTTTACCGGTACCCTGTTCCTCCATCGCCAATACCTAATTTTAGCTGCTTCCTTATGCCGAAGCCTTCCGTCTCCTGGCCTTGCCCCTCGGTCGCGGCCGGCATAGGATACAGTCGAGCCCCGTCTCCCGGGCAGGGCCCTCAATCAGCTCGGGACAATGAGCTGCGCTCCCCGTCTCGCATCCCGTCGTGTCGTAGTCGTGCTCTCGCCGACTGTGGCACATGCCCTTGAAGTAGAGCGTCGTCCTAGTGCACATCGTGTCGCTTGATGATTTTACTCTTTGTTCGTTGGGGTGTTCAAAAAGAAAAAAAAGCCAATAGATATATCGAGGCAAACATATAAGCTTAAAATATGTCTAGTATTGAAGGAAAACGTATATACTACAAAACCAATTCTTCATACGTGTGTTTAAATAAGATTTGGTTCTTTTGTCCATCTGCTTTATAGTTTGATACAAAGCAGTTTCGTGATATCTCAATTCCAACAAAAGTCATTGTCTGCCTGACATTGAGATGGAAAAGTAATTATAGCAGCAAGACAAAGGGATAGAAAAAAGACACTACAGGCTCAATGTCATTGGTTCCGATAATGTCAAGGAGCAGACAACCCTTTCCAAGTTACATGAGGAGTTCGTCGGACGTCTGGAGCATAAGCCGAATGCTTGTCACATGCGTACAAGCTGCACAAGCTGTACTAGCTGAACATGCAGTTCGCCTTGCACTTCGGCCGTACGAAAGGCCGTTGCAGGCTGTTCATGATCTTTCAGAGACATGCAGGCAATATTGGGCAATATTGGAAAGTGAGGTTATACAGACTCCGCTTCTTGAAACAGACCCCAGAGACCCAGGCGGTCGGGGCTGGCAGCCCAGTTGTATATAGAGTCAAGTCAAGCCACCAACAGCCGAAAAGGAGTTGGTTGGTCAAGGACTCATGCAGCCCTAGTTTGTTCATTATAATCTGAATTGCTCAAGTTTCAAGCCCAGTTATCTGCCCCTTGTTATAGTGCTGTCGCTATCGTGATAAAGGAATTGATTATTACTATCGGTCGTCTTGCCTAGCCTTGACAATCGGCATTTAGATAAGCAGGAGGTTTAGGACAGATCAACGGCAACGCATTTTACAGGGAAAACATCGCATAAGGGGAACCAAATCTGGGCGGTTAGACACGAGAGTCTCGAGTATTTTTCTCTTAGACTTTCATATTAACACAGTCAGCGGTGGCGGGGGTACGCCTAGCATCTCTGCTTTGGCAAGAGACAAATGGTTATTCATGATTTTGATTCCGCTAATATATTCTTAGCTTGACCGGTATTTTACACTATTTCATCCGAAGCTGTGCCCCTAGCGCCTAGCCTAGATGCTTATTTTAATATGAACGAGCCTGATGAGTCTGTCTTTCGAAGACGTAGCTGATTATAGCTTTGGAAAGCTGCCAAAGATTCCTGCTCGGTATTATACAATCTACTCTTCCTCCTCGTCCACTGCATCAACCATACTGGTATCAGCCACGCCGTTCTCGCCCTCGCTGTCAGCACCGGCACCGCCATTTGCAGCAGCCTTGGCCGGGCTTCCGGCTTCTTCCTCGGCATCATCTTCATCACTATCGTCCAATACTCTGCCTCTCCTCGCACGTTTTGAGGTAGTCCGTGTAGCAACTTGCTCCTCCTCTTCATCATCCTGATTTGCAGTCTCATCTACGTCCATATGGTCTTCTTCTTCGTCGGCCTTGGAAGCGGCGTCGATATCGGAAACTGGTGAGCTGCGATTTTCCATGGCTCTCTCAGCGCGGTCCAGAGCATCATCATCGTCACCGCCCTCATCCGAGCTGTCTACGACTATTTCTGCAGACTTGTACTGCTTGTTGTCCTTCTTGGCTAGCCTACGTTTCTTCTTGGGTTGAGTATCATCATCGGATGCTTCCTCATCTCGCTTAGCCTTCTTCTTCCTCTGTGAACGACTCTTGGGCTGAATTTCTGCACGGGGCTTAGGTTTCCGCTTTCGCTTAACCTTTTCTCCCGTCTCCGAATCGGTAGTTAACTCAGCTTCTTCCTCTGCCTGTCTTGCCTCGTCGCGCTCCCTCTCTTTAGCTGCTACCTCTTCACGTTCCCTACGAATCTTGTCCTGTCTCTCTTTCTCTTTGGCAAGTGCCTGCTGTCTTTCCTCTTCACGACGTTTTGCTTCAGCTTGCCGCCTTTCAAGTACAGCCGCAATCTTTTCTTTGTTCTTTTCCTCATATTCCTTTTGTTTTTCAACTTGTCGTCCGAGCTGCTTGCGCTGTGTGTTTCGTGCCATGTTTGCACGTTGTTCCACATCAACCTTAGGATACGGAGGCTGTGGGTGTTGCGCAATTTCATCGAGAGCCACAATAGCCGCTTCAAGACCGTCCATGGCCTCCTCCAATTGCACAAGGGTGCGCTGAGTCTCAGGCACATTCATAATGTGCTGGACTAGTTGAATCTGCACAAATGCTACGTTGAACTTGAAGTGGACTTGCTCTGGAGAGACTTCCAGGGCCTAAATAAATGTACCGTTAGCTTTGCAATGACATATACTACAGATATGTGTGCTAGAGTCCATACCTTCTTCGCATAGCTCAAGGCTGTCTTAAAAGCGTCCAAGTTCCGCTCATGCCGGCCACGGTTGAGCCAGGTCCGCCCTAGGCAAGCTAAGATGCTTGCGTCGTTACTCTTGCCCTCTTTTGATAGTGCAATCTCGTAGTTTTCAATTGCCTTAGAAAACTGACGCAGTTCGGCATAGGTGTGACCAATGTTGATATATACATTAGCATCCTTGACGGTTTCGCGTACCTTCAAGAAGATCGGAAGCGCATTAGAGTAATCCTTTTTATCTTCAATGAGCGCAATGGCAACGCCCTGGGCTGCGTGAGCATTTTTATGGTCTAACTGCAGCGCCTTATCAAAGAATTCTACTGCGCGAGTATATGTGGCAGATCGCTTCTGTTTCTCTTGTTCTGTCTCCCGTCGCATTTCTCTGGCAGCCATCATATACAAATTCCCCATACCAATCAAAGCATATCTGTCATGCTTGTCATAGTTTTGGAGAGTGTGCTTGTAGTGTCTTAGCTCGGGATCCTCGTTGACATTTGCAAACTTCTTGCGCGAATTGACCCGACCGAGATACCACCCGTACAAAGCGCGAACTTCTAGGTCGGCTGGGGTTGCTTGGTAGAGTTTGGCAACAGCATCAGGGCCTTCCTTGGTAGGATTTTTACGCAGTTTGATGTACGCCAATCGCGCTTGGGCGTCTGTATAATCGTCGTGACGTTCTATTAGTTGTTCGTAAACCTCGACTGCTTTGTCCGTAAGGCCTTGGGACTCGTAGCTTCGACCAAGATTGAAACTGATCGTCGTGACTAGCGCGTCGGTGTCTATGTCCTCACCCTTCTCCCCAATCCTCATGCACGAGCTCAATGCTGCTTGGAACATGTCGGTCGCCGGACCATGCTTTTCAGCTTGAGAGTAGAAACAGCCAATGTTGTTCAGGAGTTGGGGTGGAAGATTCTTTCTGAGGAGGTTTCGCAGCTCAGACGGATCCTCGATTCCTTCTGGGTGTTCTGAGGAAGGAATTTGTTCTAACTCAAGTTGTTCAACTTGAAGCAGGCATTGTAATGCTTTCTCTGGCTGATCTTTCTCATACAAACGAGCCAGGTTTAATAGAATGGAGGAATCTGGTGTAAGGTTCTTCTTGGGATCTTTCCAAGCTGTACGAACCTGTTCTAGATAGTCAATGGCTTTGCGCATCTCTGATGACTTGTCTTCTTTAGTAGCGGCATGTTGGTTCGCAAACACCTCTTCCGCATACAGCGTACCTAAGAGGATCATGGCTTCATAATTGCGTTCGTGTTTACCGGCTGGCTGAATGATTTTCTCAAGGCGAAGTTTTGCCTCTCCGAGATCATTATTGAGCACAGATAACTGAGCCACACCAAATTTTGCCGGAAGATAGCCTCTTTCCAGGCCTCCTCTAGCTTCATCAGCACGCCGGTAGTAGTCCGTAGCTGTCTCTACGTTTCCACTGTAGTGCTCCTTTCTTGCTAGCAGATACCACCCATCACTTGCAATGGCATTCACATCGGTGTACTGAATTGCCTTGTTTGCGAGTGACTCTACATGAGAGAAATTCTTGCTGGATAAGAAGTAGCTGGCAAATGTAGCGCAGGTTAATGGCTGGTTTTTGTCAATCTTGAAGGATTTCTGAGTAAAATCGGTCATAGCCTTCTTGTAGAGCTTAATGAATTCGGGACTGTGGGTAGGGACTTTGCTGCTGGCGTCGAGATAATGTAGACCAAGAAGTATAAGGGCCTTAGACTCCGGGTTAAGTTCAATAGACCTTACCCATGCTTGCTTTGCATCATCCTTGTAGCCAAGTTGCCACAAGCAGCAGCCTATGCCTATACGCGGATCTGGATCGACCAGGTCCGGCGTCTTCAATAGGGCATCCTGGTAGGCCGTCAAAGCATCTTTGTAGTTACCAAGCCCGTACAATGCACGTGCTTTTCCCATCAAGGCTAGTACATTCTTCCCTTGTGAGACCTTGCTGGCCTGTTCGAAGGATTTGAGCGCACCTTTGAGGAGGTCGGCTTTGGCTTGATCGATAGGACCACCACCGGCAGCTTTTGAAGGGGCCTGTAGCGATGCCTTCAGAAGCTGTAGGACACCGCGGGCTAGGAAGAGTGGTGGGAACGCTGGGTTTATGCGAGATGCTTCGTTGAGTGACGAGGTGGCAAGCTGGAGGTAGTGGTCTTTAATTTTGGCTTCAGATAAGAGGGAGCCCTCAGGGGGAAGGCGCGGCGCTTCTCGACTTTTGCGCAGGTACATCCAGCATACACAAGCGATGAGGCTCAGCTTCTCTAGGGGTGTCGTGTCTTGCATGGCATTACTACCGCGATTCAGGACCTCAATGGCACGGTCAGTCTTGTTCTGTTTCGCGTAGGCAAGAGCTATTGTCATCCAATAGAGACGCGCTGTGTGTTCATTTTCAAACATGTCGCATAGCTCCGTGGGGTCGTCAACGAGGTTATTGAGATCGATTTCGACATTGATGAAGTCATCATCTTCCTGGACCGGGACTTCGATGGTATCGGGGATATCGGAAAAGCGTTTGCTGGCAGCTTGGGTGGAAGCTGCACCGTTGGTTGCGCCATTCGGCTGGCCATTGCGCGCGCTGTTTGTGGTCGCCATGGCGGGCTCGGAGAATGGAGAGGTCGAGGAGCGTTGAATCGTAGAGAGTATGGTAGAGAGGCTCGGGTAGGAATGCGACGCGATCAATTGGATTAGACGTGTAGCATAGGCGTGGTGTCAAGGGACGTGTCAAAAGACAGGACCAGCAGCTAGATTCGCAGTTCGCAAATCAGTTCCATCACTGCCGCTCTACACACCTTCGCAGGTCAATAGAAGTGTGATCGGAATACGGCTAGAAGAGATGTCCAAGTTAATAGCTTGCGGCCGACAGAAATGCAAGGCTGAATAAAATGGAAGCACTTTGAGGTTCAGTTAGGCTAGGTACCTACCCGAGTGCCCCTTGTTAGTGGAGACAGCTTGATGCAACTTTGGTGCGATTTGCAGGGATTAAGCTCAACGAGGTAGTGAGTACTTACTGTCTGCCCTTTTTATATGGACAAAAAGGCTACTAGCTAGGTAGATGGTACGTAGCCACCCTTATGTAAGGCATTCAACATGCACAAGCCACTCAACTCAATATCACGGGAATATCTCTAGCAGTTAAATGTATATCCGGAAAACGCTCTGCTTCTCTTCGATATATAGATGGCCTTATGTTGGCTTTAGGTAGCCGCTGAAAATATCTGATTGTTGAATTTAACTAGATCATCCTCATCTCCCCTTTCCTCTCACAGCTCAGCCTAGGTAGAAGCGTACAGTGCAGAAAGCAAGTTCTAGGCTCAATGACAGAAGATGATGGTAACCAGACAGTAAGATGGAAGTCAAGGCCATTGTCCCAGAACACAAGCCTCTTGTTGCTCTTGTTTTGTTTCGCTGTTTCTATTGTTGTTGACAACTGTACAAAGACAATGTTCAAGAGATTGTCTAGGACACTTACACACGCCGATTGTCCTGGGTAACATTTCCATGCATGTTTCTGTAGATATAAGTGATCAGCAGCCTTCGGGAACAAGTGCAATCTAAGCTCGCTCATCATCATCACATCAGCTAGGTACATAACAGAGCACCTGATTTCACCGGCATTATAGGCACATCGACTCTTCTAATTTGTCCCATCTTTTACCAGACTCACGCAATGGATCAAAAACAAACTCCCCAGTGGTTGAAAGATTACCAGCAACCTGTGCTCAAACGGAAGAATGTGGACTGCCATTCTAATCACCGTCATAGAACCAACACACCTGCTGCTGGGTTTGTGTTAGTGAGACTGAATGCAGCCTCCAAATTGGATCTGCTGCTTGATCTACGATCGCCGCCGGTCCCCCAAGGGAGTACTTATGGCTTCATTGGTGGTAATGCCAGTTCTATGGGAGAATGTCCCCTCACCACAGCTCTCCGAGAGGCTAAAGAAGAGTATGGCATTGAGCCTAAGGATTTGAACATCCTTAATATACGATGGACGCGGGATCACGGTGGTTATAAATATCTTAACTACACATATGTGTTTGCAGAGTACAACCCGAAAGATGGGCGAGCACCCAGCTCCAAAACTTTTGAATCCCAAAGATCTGAGTGGTTTCCTCTAGACGCACTTCCTAGTAATCTGATGAGTTTCATCAAAGAGGACCGCCAGATGCTCGAGCATATCCTTTACAATGAAATTTGGCCCATGTTACTTGAGCGAGCTGCCCGCATACCGCCGAAGCAAGCGATATCGGGGAACGTCAATATGAGTTCAAAGAATAATTCCAACATGAATTCCAACATGAGTTCTAACATGAATTCTAATATGAATTCCTCAGCTGTCAACATCGACGCGGAGGGCGATACCATTATGATAGATTCTCCGCCTCCCGCCCCTCGGACGCCTCCTAATACGCACACCATCCCCAAAGTACCAAGCCCTGAAGGCCAATTCCCAACGAATAGTGCAACCGCACCCGGCAATGGCGACGTGAGCTATCCAAAACTTCCTAGCATCAAAGTTTCCCCTCCCCCTCCTTCCGATTCGAGTAGGACTAACGGTGACGAGCACATCCCCCCAGCGCTCGATAACCCCGCTGGCGCACCAGCAAAGATGGGTACGGAGGTAAGTACCAAGGCTACTGAGAGGCCCATTGCTCAAAAGGCCGCAGAGGCGCAACCTGAAAAGTCAGCCAACAAAGGAACCTTCACTAAGTACGCCTTGAAAATGCTCAGTCGGTCGAAGGAGGGTAGCAATGCTCAGAACGCCGCAGAGAAGGAACTTAAGCCCACGGCGAAAGCCGAGCCAGCCGCCAGCCAGAAGAAAGACCAACAAGAAGGGAAAAGCCTAGGCCTGATCTCCCGATTCTCCAATCTGTTCCGTAGCAGTCCTGCCGAAGCCAACGACGAGGCCGCAAAGCCCGCCGAGGCGAAGACGAACGCACCTGGGTCCAACATGGTTCAACTGCCGATACTAATCGACAACGACTGGCCCTCAAGAGAGCCAGTTTACATGATGGGGATTCCGCCCGATATGGGCAATATCATCCCCGGCTTCGCGTTCAGGAACCCGCTGGAAACCTAAGCAATTCGCACTCACATCGGGACCTAGCCTCGAGTGTCTGTCACACCTCTGTAACTTAAAGTCCTATCTGTACATGTTGATATAGCAGAGCCCTGGTATCCGTGACATGGCCACGGAGAAACCGTCGCGTCGCCAAGTAGATAAGAGTGTCTGTGCTAGGATTTGTTCGGGGCACTGTATCGCGCCCCTTTCGGTACTCATGTGCTGCTGCTGCTGCTGATGATGATTCCCCATCTTATTTCGTAGTATTTCTTTTATCAAGCGCGAGCATAGATCTGCTTACTGTTCATAGCGATTTAGATGTTTCGAAAAATACATTGTTTTGTTTTCCATACTACCTTATTCCTTTTTGTATCAGCTAAGAACAAAGAACTTATCTCAAATGTGAGGATCGAACACTACATAGTGAGTGACCCGTATGTGCCTAGATTTTTGGAAACGTAACATCAGAATTGCCAAGAGCCTCTCATTCTTAACATTTGTCGCCTGGGGCATGGAATACCCCACCCCCTTTCGAACCTTCAAAAAAACATGAAAGACTAACCTGCACGTATTAGTATACTGGACTATGCAGCATCTCGCTCCAGATTCAGGAATTAAGACGAGCTCAGAGAACTCAGAAGTTAAAGAGAAGAACCTATGATTGAGTCCAGCTTCCGAAGTATGCCAGAAAGATGCCATGAGAATCCGAAATAGGCACATGTTGGTTCTTCATAGGCACCAAAAAAAAACGGAAACGTCAAGGAATGCGTTGGTATATAATAACGACACGCTAACTATGTCTCGCCGGCCTATAGTAACTGTTATGCGACGCCACTCTATGTGCCAAATATTCATCATCTGTCCCATCAAATCTTGTGATGCAGGTGAATTGCAACCGCCCAACATGGTCCGCAACACTAAACGAGTCATTCCAGAAATGCACACTCCAACCACGACATGCTGTCTTGTGCGATGCGACTCATTATTAAGTTAGTCTAAAACGGGGTATCGCTATTCATCAAAGGTTTCTATTTGGCGTGTTTGCGGAAGGCGAGTAGCTCGGAGAGACTTGGTAATGGGCACCCATGCTTCAGGAAATCGTGTTGAAGAAGCTCGTCCGCAGAAGCACGGCTCTTGACATCGACACACAGACAGACGGACAGGAAAGCTTTCAGCTCCTTGCTAAGCTTCTCTGGCTTCTTGAGGCGTGGCGTGCCATTAGTTGCGATAAGATAGAGAGCCTTGAGGGGTTCTTCATTAAGGTAGGGTGGCTCAGACTCGATCATCTCGATTGCCATGATACCCAAGGACCAAATGTCTACCTTGGGGCCGTACTCTTTCTGCTTGACGACTTCAGGAGCCATCCAGTAAGGCGTGCCAACCATAGTGGCTCGCTTCGATTTAGTCTCTGTAAGCTTGGCGCAGAATCCGAAATCGGCTATGCCTTATTAGCTGAAACCCTTCAACAAGAAATTTCAGTTATCAAGAACTCACTAATCTTGACATTGCCGCGAGCGTCTAACAGAACGTTGTCGCTCTTGATGTCACGGTGGATGATATTTTGAGAGTGAAGATGCTGCAATCCTCGGCATGTCTGCGTATATCGTCAGAAACGTTGATCGGGGTGACATGTATCGTGTTAGGCTTACCTCGAGACAGATTGTGGAGATTTGTTCCTCCGTGATGACGGGATTGTTATCAATAACGTCAGTCAAAGCACCACCCTCCATGTACTCCATAACAACCCACAACTCGGAATTGTTGTTACGAAGAAATGCATCCAAAAAGTTGACGATATTTCGATGCTTGCTATCTTTCATAACCATGATTTCATTGACAATTAGTTCCTTGCGAGGCTGGTGTGCGAGATCCATCTGTTTGATGGCCACTTGAGCTCGCGATCCGGCAGTGCGCAAGACTTCTCGGGCAACTGGTGAGATAGCACCTTCTTTGACTTTTGCTACATAAACTGAACCAGAAGCTCCTTGGCCAATTTTCTTTTGTTTTGAATACGACATATTTGGGTCATCTTTTGATACGGCTTCTATTAGTTTAGCCATAACTTCCTTTTCAGACATTGTTGACATGCGGACGTCTTGCTTTCTCTCTGGAGGAGGCTTGGCAGTAAGAGCCGCTTCTGCAGCCTTGACACCATCGCTCTGTTGAGGCTGACTTGGTTTGGCTGGAACATTCAATGGTTTGACGGAAGGACCAGGCAGACGGGAAGGAGATTGGTTTTGGCCATTTGTACGGGGCTGAGACGATCCATTTGTGTTGCTACCATTGGGATATCTTGACGTGGGAGATGATTGATCGGCTCGAGGTGGCATACGTTGTGCGCCCTGAGCACCTTGAGGATCGCGGGGTATTGACGTGGAGCTCATACCAGGTTGTTGTGTCATTGGTGGTCTAGAGGATGATGTGGTGGGCGGTGGCGGTGCAGGTCGTTGTTTTTCACGCAGACCATTCATCTGATTTGCAGGCTTCGGTGCTGGAGGTGGTGCCCGTGACGGATTATATCGCTCTGATGGCGACGACCCGCCATATCCACCAATCTCCTGTTTGGCTAAGGGCGTTTTCTTCTGTGGAATCGAGGCGTTATAAGCCTCTAGATCTCGCCTATTCTGCTCTTCAATTTCCCGCTGCCGTTCTAGCCTCATACGTTGCTCTTCCCGAGCTGGATCTGGCGGAACGTAGTTGGGCGCCATGCCTTGCATTTGCTGCCGCTGCTGGGCAGGGTTCTCGGGTGGTGGTGGTCGTGGAGGAGGGGTCTGCTGCTGTATAGGCATGTTACCATAGCTGCTCTTTTGCTGCGGCGGAACTGGTCTTGGGGGAGCAACAGAAGCGCCACCAGCATTGTATCCGAGCTGCTTGTTCCCCTGGCTACCTGGAGGAGGGGTCGGTGTTAGACTAGAATATTGCTGGGGGTTCTCTGCTCGCTTGGTTAGGTCGGAATAGAAATCTAGAACCTCAAATACAGCTTGAGGGTTCCGTTCATAATCCTCTTTCGTAATAGCAGAAGAGTTCAGTAGTTTGGACCACTCCGGCGGTAATCCTACAAATTGTCCCGTTTGCGGATCGAAACCAACGTGAACAGCATGTGAGAAGTTGGTAGGATTGCTCACACCACCCATGGTGGGACACCGACCATAAAGGAGATCGATCCAGTCATAAAGGTCGTCGTCTGACTTGACTCTAATATGTAAGGTGCGGATAGAATTATCATCGTCACCGGGACTATTGGAGGACCCATTGGTGTGTCTCTTGATCTCGAAAATAGTACCTGCAGCTTCGACTCTACCAACATTGACTACATCTTTGAGATATAGAGTATAGGATACCTTGCCGCCTTCCGTCTTGTGAAAATCGAGGTGTTCCTTTCGCAGTATTAAGTATTTCTGCTTCCATGGCTGGATGAAATTACGACTCTCTTTGACCTGTGCCCAGCCTTCTTTGATGACGGCGACACCACCCATGCCGTCTGTCTGGTTTGATCGTTCACGAGCTAGAGGAAGCGAAATTGTTGAGCCGGTATATGTGGAAGTGGCAGTTCGCGTTATGGGCGACCCAACCATATTGGCCATGCTTCCTGGCATGTTGGTATTAGGGGTTAGATTAAGTCTTGGCCGGTCACCGGGCGCGCCGGGGGGTCGAGGCGCCGGACCGGGATTCATAAACTGGTTGTTCGAGTATACGCTGTCGTAAAGAGGAGACCAATGTTAGCCAGCGCCTATGAATATATAGTAGTGAAATTGTCGCGCGATCCTGGAGCGAGTAAACCAAAACCAGTTGTTACAGGTTGAAACTCAAGTTGTATCGATAATTTCAGCCGACGGATTTAGAGCAGCGCCGATAGGGAAACGCCCGCAACCGCGACAACGCATCGGCCAACTTTTGAGATATAAGACACTGGTGGATAAGACACCGTACATACCTATTTGGTGCCGACATCTCGAGAAATTTGTATCAATGGATTGATCCAGAGCCTTGTGCTGAAATATGCTCGATTAAACACTATTGACTAAGCACGCAAGGACGGAAAGAAGGGTGCCCTTTGATTGAAAAGCAAGGGACTAGGGGGCCGTTGTATGGCTTCTCAGTGCCTGAACCCAAGCCACAGAGGATAAGGAGCGTTGAACCAGAGTTGTGTCGAGTATCCGGTTGATACGACGGAGACGCGATTGGAACGAAGTGAGCGACGGAGAAAAGGGAAGGCCGGGACCGCTTGATACAGAGGCAGAAGATCGGGCGACCGTCGCATGCACTATGAGGTCGGTTGGGCCGGCGGGCGTCGAAAACCAGCGATTCAGGTTTGCATTCGACGTGGTGCTGGATTGGTCACAACTCCAAGCATGGGCTGATGCGATGGTATGTTGATAGGGTTGCCCGCAGTATGGGGTCGAGTGGTGCTTTAGGCGCGCGGAGAGAGCCAACTGTATGTTGGCTCGGGGGACATGGATATGGATTGAATCGCTCGCTGGCTGTTAGACGCACGATCCGGAGAGTGGTGACCCAGTGGTAATGGGTGTTCTGATGAGTGCTCTGATGTGTGCTGGTGTGTAGAGGAGAGGATCAGAACCGCTACGGCTGGGCAATAGGGAATAGAAGGGATGTTAAGGTATTATTCCAAAAGGGTCAAGGAGGGTCATTGTTGGCGGGGTTCCGTTGTGGGATTGGTTAGAAAGCCTGGAAGGTCACACTTGGGACAACAACCGTCTGCAGCCCCCTGCCATTTCGCCCCCAGCTCACTCATTGCCTGTCCAGGTATGTACTACTAGCCTATGTATCTATCTATCTATCTATCTAGGGCAGTGTAAAAATAGGTAGGCAAGTAGGGGTATTAAGTATGAGATCCGACTTTGGAAGGGATACCGGTATTACTGTGGTGTAAGTTGTGTGTGTAGATTGTGTGAGTTGTGTAAGTTGTGTGACACACGTAATTACCTAGATGAGCCTGGTCACAACTTGTTGCTGCTACCTACCTACATATATACGTGGTCTGTTTGTTACCAATACTACCAGCTAGCCTGGGTGCTACATGTAACAAAAGTGCTAACCTCAGGTAGATCCACGTAGCAAGGAGCGTAGCGAAATACTAGGTATGTATAAGTATAAGTAGTAGATAGTTAGTGGGCGTCTCATATAGGACTGGCTTGGGAGATGATATTCAGCAAAGGCTTTTCCATGATGTGACGCACTCCACTTGCATGTACCTGTTGCCAGCAGAGATGATGAAAAGATCCAATCTCGCGCCAAACTGCCTATCTACCTACATACTAGCCTACCTACCTAAGTACTTACTGATGATTCAATTCATTCATATAGGCAGATATGGGGGAGGGCAGGTGCATATAATGCCCAGATTTGACTATGTGTGTAGCTTTACAGAGGTAATTAGTAGATGCAGTATTTACCGAACTAGTACCACTTCAGTCAATAGGAGAGATACCTCGTGTACAGTAGGGAATTTACCTACACGTACTACTACGTACGTATGTCGGATGATGAACTTCATAAAGTCCACACCGCATATTTTTCTCAATCACTCAGCTCATGTGGGTTATAGTAGGAATTGCACGAATCGTGATCCGAGATCTAAGAATAACTTCTCAATTGGTTGTACAGTATCACGACAATTAACACAGCGAGTGGTCGGAGACCCGTTTTCCGAAGGTTGGGGCTAAGGAAGCCGCCCAATGCATCAAGAAAGGGGCGTCCCACACACCCAAAAGGCGAAAAGCCTTCTGCAAGGCTCTGCTATATCTCATCGTCCTTATTGGGCACGTCAGATCCAAGTGAAGAAGGACAGCATGACGAACGAGGTCGGGGGCAGATTCCTTCTTTGCTCGAGGAGTAAGCAGCAAGTAGTGCAAAGAGGAGGGCTGAATCGGCAAGCAATCCTCGCTAGCAGGAGAGTGGCTGCTTTGGCAGCACACTCCCTGTCGAAATTCCTACGAAGTAAGGTACGTGGTAGGAACAAACATACTGCACAGTCGTATGCATCAGGGGTGAGTGAAGTCACGGAAGCCCTATCGATGTTTCGCTTATGCAGAAACAGACTTCACGTTGGGCTTGTGCCAAGTCGCCCCGGACAAGCTATATTGCAGTACACAGGCAAAATGGATTCGAAACGCATCGATGAAGTCCACTAGGGTACCTACATGCCTACCTGAGACTTTGAAGAGAGATCTGTAACATTGAGACTTTCTACTAACTAAGATACTTTAGGATCGATGAACGTTTGACCACAATGCCTGGGAACCCATGAGTGGTGGAAAATTGTTGTTAACCTACCTGGCATTAATTCACGTGATACATCGTAATCACTGGTACATAGGCTACACTACTCAACGGACTGCAGCAGGCAGTATACGCGCTGGTCTACCTATTTTGGTGAGAGGTCAGGAGGGCCCAAAACGAACAGGCTTTACATATTTAGGCGCGCGTTGTATCGCAGCGCAGCAGTTTCACAAGTAGCCTAACCCTCATTTTGCCTCAACGCTGCGGCGGGCAGCACGAAATCTCACCTGATTCCGGGCGATCGTAGATGCGCGTGTGGGACAGACGGCCAATCAACAAGCCTAGATCTGCGGCTGGCAAGGCCTCTCCGCCGCCGGAGCGTGGTGATCAGCGGCAAAGCAAAGCGCGTTCGTTTCTGGTTTGCGGATCTGTCGCAGGCTCCTAAGCGCCCCTGGCACTACGCATCATTAGTGTAGCTGGAACTCGTACCAAGCCTACTTACCTCGCTATACGTAGTACTACCAGGTGGTGTTATTTAAGTGTTACCGCAGCCAGATCACAGCTGATTTTGCCTCTAGAAAACCAGGGAAACTTGTACATATCGAGTGGTTTGATTCAAGTAACAAGGAGTTTCCAGGAACATCAAATCTGGGGTAATTACGTGCTCATAAACATCTAGAAGCTTTTTCAGAGTAGACGGCCTACTTGTTATTCCGTCATTTACATTCCGTCATTTACAATTGAACAGTTATGACACAAGCATACAATTTGATAAGGGCAGGAGATTCCTCAGCAATTCAGCTTCATACTATTCAATTGCTGCCATTATGCCGAGTCCTGATGAATATCTTTATCATAACATGAAAGTTACCAAATAATTACTAATACTATTGCACAATGATTCAAAATTAACTTATGAGGTTTGTGCTATGCGTTTTTGCAACATTCGGGCTGCACTTAGGTACATGCGGGTACATGTATATGCCAGCGTGTGTACCGGTAGTTTTGACCTCTGTGAGGTGCCACCCCTCATTGAGCTAAGAATTATACCCCGCTACAGTACAGTATCTAGTACCTAGGTATAGGTATGTACTCACAATCCATCACTAGACCCACCCAAGTCTGGGGTCCACTAAAATTTTCGAGATCGTTGAAGCCGATAGCTCTCGATATCTACAACTTTATCACCATATATCGCCGCCACGCTCCATACGCGAATCGATTAATCGAAGATGGCGTCGCACAGAAACCGGACCGTTGCCCAAAAGACTTCCCGGGCGAAAGAAAAGAGGGAGAGGCGATTTGCTCGGAAGAAAGATGAGAAACGAGACCCGTCTCTGAGAGCGGCGAGGCTCGCAAAGAATAAACCGATTACTCTGGATCAGAAGAGGGTGTGGGACGATGTTGATGACGAGGAGTTGACAAGCAGTGTGGATCTTCAGGCGCTGAGAAGGAGACGACTTCAGCAAGCAGAAGACGCAGAACGGCAAGCCATAGAAGCTGCCGAAGCAGCAAACGACGACGACGACAATGACGCCGATAGTATGTTGGACTCGGATTCAGACTCTGACCACGAAATGGAACAAGATCACAACGACAATAAGAGAGAGAGTTCTCTTGCCCCATCTGTCGCGTCCACATCGAACATAGACTTGACTCCTGAACTATTACTCGCTAAGTTCCCAATGCTATTCTCACCGGATGCTCGCCCATCAGAGCCGAAAAGTTAGTAGACATACTTAACAATCCTAACTTCCCTCTTGGGCCCATCGTTGTGTTCTTTTATTTTCTGGTTTAACGTCTTTAATAGTTTTAATTACCACCGATTTTAATTCAACTATACATCACATCGCTGCTGCATTCGAAAGCATAATACCGAACGCGAAATATGTCCGACGATCAGCGCACCATTATGGACATAAGTACAGCGTCCGCGAAATTACCAAATTTGCCGAAAATAGAGGGTTCTCCTCTCTTCTCGTGCTGCGAGAGGACAACAAAAGACCCTCCGCTCTAGACTTAATTGATATACCTTCTAAGGTCTCTTTCCACTTCTGTGAGAGCACCTGGTTCATGAGCCCCAATATTTGGTCAACATTCTTGCTAACTACATGCATTGCTTTAGCCATAAGCTCCTGGGTAGATGGGAAAAAACTTGTAAGTATTTATGTAATTTCTTTGTTCATGTTTTGGCTGTTTTCTTACTTTAAGAGACCTTACATGTTTTCGAGACTGACCTTATCATTTCAGCCTGGCCACGGTGTCTCGCAAGGTTTCCATCCCGAGCTTCTACTCAATAACTTCAACACCCCGCTTGGCTTGTGCACAGCAAAGGTCTTACAGAGCCTTTTCCCCGCCTCTCCTGAATTGGCCGGTCGAGGTCAGTCCCTAAAGTCATCGCTTCCCACTTCGGACAGCATTGCTCCTGCATGCTCCATCAACATGTGCTGAACTCTTACCCTTTTTGGTACATACTAACTCTAGAGTGTGCTATAGAGGTCTGCACCTTCCATAACCAGAGAGATTACATTTTCTTTAGGCGTCACAGATATATATTTCGCGAACGGCGAGAGACCGAAAAGAGTGTGGTTGCTGCCGATGGCAAGAACATGGCTGGAGTAGAAAATATTCGGAGCGGTGAGTATCATTTACTTGTTCTTCATTCGTCAAATGAGCCCAGCATAACATGATTTGCCTCGGATTACGACAATTCTCTTCCCACGTCTACAGGTGTCATCGTTGGATTTGTGGTTAGCAGATGGATATTCCCCATTACCAAGCTTTGTGTTACACCCGAGACCCTTTGAACATGCCTCGTCTTGCACATCGCCACCCCAATAATTGGGCCGTCACCCTTCGTTCTTTGTCTCATACCTGTTACACACATCTCGTATCTGTTAAACCAAACTGAGGCTAATTCCACGTGCTCAATAGGCTTACAGGAGTTGGGACCCCGTTTCACATTAAAGTTACGTCGTATTAGCAAGGGCATTGGTTTTGCAGGCAGCGATCCAAATGACCCTACACATTGGCAATGGAAAGCCAAGATGGAAAAAGACCGCAAGCGATTCAATCTATAAGTCCTGAGATTAGAGGCTAGGTGGACTCATGAATCAATCTGGGTCCTGGTTTACACCTACTTTATGTCCCCCTTTGTCCGAAACTGGGCAGTACTCATCTGATTACAGGGTGGAACATAGGCTAAGGGATAAAATAGAGTTATGGAGAGGTGTGCCATATAGTAATTACTACCATGTTGGTATGTAGGCAGTCTAGATACCTTCACATTGATGGGACGCGTATTCTGCAGTACTACCTATCTGAATATGTATGTAGATAACAAACAAAGGTGCCACAACGGATGCATATGCTGTGTGGCGCATCACAACTTGTCGCCAAGGCACGGAGGTCAGGCGGAATACCACGTAACGCAGGGTGTCTAGTTGTCACCGCACACTCACCTGCACATGACTACTCAGGTACGGAAACTCACTTGGCTTGTGTTACTTGTATACCTTTTGTATGTCGGTGTCAGACGGGGCAAGCCACATCTACGCTGTCAATGACCGTTGGAACCGGCAATGGCTTATCTCTCCGGTGCTCGCTATCGACCTTATGACAAGTATGCATGACCTTACCTGTCTATGCCAAGTACGTGTGCCGCATGGAGGATTGTACCTATATAGTAAGGTATGAAGTTGTTGATTAAGGTCCACCATAGGCTGCCTGACCATTTACCCTGGTCGACAAATGCAAGGTGTTGATGGGTATTCTTACAAGTCCCTGGACAGCCCCGCTCAGCCCAGTATTGTAGCTCCAAATCGTCAAGTCAGTCAACTGAGTTACCTACCTACCTACTTAGCTCTACCTCCTAAGTGCTAGATACTTACCTACCTACGTATGTATAAGCTCCCATAGATCTTACCTAGTCGCATTCACCTCGCTGATGCACACAACATAGTGGCCTTCTATTCCGCCTTGCTCGGACAGAAAGGATGGATCGCATGCGATCTTTATTTCGGAAGAGGGAGGAGGTAGAGGAGCAAGAATACCGACCGCTCTATGATGAAGGCGGTGTCTCCGGGCCTGATGGTAACGACGATGAACATGGCGTGCCTTTCTCATGGTTCGAGTATGGCATTTTCGCCGTCCTCGGCGTCGCAATGTTATGGGCTTGGTATGTGTTGCGCGCGCGCCCTCTGCGGCTGTATCATGAACCTCTAATAAGGGTCTATCTAACTGGTGTAACTCGGGTAGGAACATGTTCCTCGCAGCCGCGCCGTATTTCCAGTATCGCTTCAGAACAGACGACTGGGCCGTCAGGAACTTCCAGTCCGCCATCCTTTCCGTATCCACGCTCACGAATCTCGTCGGGGCGGCGTTCCTAGCCAACCGGCAACACTCGGCCTCCTATCCGTTCCGGGTCAATTCCGCCCTCTACCTCAACGCCGCCGTCTTTGCGCTACTAGTGATATCGTCAGAATCATTCCTCGATGCGTCTACCACGACGTACCTCGTCTTTCTACTGACTATGGTAGCGTTGACATCATGGGCAGCAGCACTGATGCAGAATGGAGTATTCGCGTTTGCAGCAAGCTTTGGCCGGTCCGAGTACATGCAAGCCATAATGGCGGGCCAGGGCGTCGCCGGCGTTCTGCCGTCCCTTGTCCAGGTCATTTCGGTCCTCATTGCGCCACCCCCGGAAGTTGCAACAGCCGATCCGGGAACGGCTGACCCAGAAAAAGGAACAGCAGCGTTCATCTATTTCCTCACGGCTGTGGTAGTATCAATAGTGTCGCTTGTCGCTTTCATACCACTGATCCGGCGGCACAATGCGATGGTCGAGAGCCGAATGACAGAGACTCTGGCGGAATCTATGGCTAGCATTGAAGAGGCGGAACGTGCTTCGCGCAAAGTCGTTAGTATGACCACGTTGTTCGGAAAATTATACTGGATCGCCGGTAGCGTATTTTTGTGTTTCACTTTAACCATGTTTTTCCCTGTTTTCACCGCGCAGATCGTGTCCGTAACACCATCTAGTGACGCGAACCCGCTCCTTCAACCTGCCGCCTTCATCCCTCTTGGATTCTTTTTCTGGAACTTTGGAGATTTGATAGGACGGTCTGTTTCCCTCGTCATATCACTACGACATCGTCCGACTGCTCTGTTCGGTTTCAGCATTGCACGCTCGGTGTTTCTACCATTGTATCTTCTCTGCAACCTTCACGGCCGTGGCGCCGTAGTTGGGAGCGATTTGTTCTACCTCCTCGTTGTCCAACTACCGTTTGGCTTGACCAACGGTTGGCTAGCCGCTAACTGTATGATGGCGGCCGGCGAATGGGTTGAGGAAAGTGAGCGTGAGGCCTCTGGCGCATTTATGGGAGTTTGCATCGTAGCTGGACTGGCTGCTGGCAGCTTACTGAGTTTTACTGCTGCCGGCATCTGACGAACTATGATCATAGACATCCAACGGGATTGCATTAAGTAGGCGCAGGCGTTACGGCTTCATTAAGGTTTTGTCTATGGCACAATTTTTAAGCATAGGGGTATCTATATATTTATGTGTTAATCATACGGAGCTGCACTACGGCTAGAGCATATACAATCATACAATAGCATACGACATATCGAACAAGTCCAATGCCTGCCACACACGACTGTGATAGGTCGAAGTTCCCTGAAAGCGCGAGATGCTTACATAGTATATTCAGGTCGCGTTATTGCGTGACAGCATCAACTTTAGGGTATCCTACAACACATATCTACACACTATATCATGACCCCCACAAGAACCCGACCACCACGAGCCAATCGTAAGTCTGCCAGTGGTATTAGCGAGAGGCGATGCGCTCCGTACTAGGAGAGTAGCCGCATATTGCTTCGGCACTCGAGCTACCTGGGTTAGTCGGTGGGCAGTGCACACGGAACTTTGCATTTGACATGAATGACAGAGTCTTGGAAGTTTGTCGAGCGTCTGAAGAGCCCAACTAAGCGCGCGTTATTGCAGGGCTTTCCCCCGGATTGCCCCGTCGCCATGGGCTAGAACGCCAGGTCCTTACGCTTGGACTCGGATCTTGGTTGGTAACACACTCCTCCCTCCCTTTCAAAGCCTCGCAGTCGCCAGCCGACAATCAATATGATCTGAAGGAAGGCCATTCCTTCAATCCTCCACTCGTTTTATCACGTCACTCGCTTCTTACCTACCATTTGCCCCGAAACACTTGTTGTGGGTGAGACCAGTCCAGCCTCAAGCTCTGTTTCATCTAAAGGTCGCACCATTCAGCATTTAACTCTATTCCCTTGATCTCGATCTTAAACCGAAAGTTCTCCTTTACACATCTGAACATCTCCTTAATAGCGTAATCTTAATCTGTAGAATTCGACGCGCCTTCTTTTCTCAATAATGGAAGCGATATGGAAAGAGCTATCCAAACCAATCTCCACAGGCAGCCCCCATTACGACAGGGATCTTGAAAAGAAGATACTGCGAGAATGCGAAGAGTTAGTCAATAACCCTCAAAAGGTCGCTTTTGAGTACGTGGCCGAGGGACGAGCCAACGTTGTCTTCTCCGTCTCCGAATCGAAGGACCCGACAGCCCCAGAGGGGCGATTTGAGGGCACTCTACTCCGTGTCCCTAAGGCCACGTTAGGCGTGACACCTTGTGACTATGAGACTCTACAAGAGTTTCACGAGGGGCAGGTCGAGGACCGAGTCGGTCGCCACCATCTTGTTCCTCAGGCCCTCATCCGGATATCAGCTGAGATTGCGCACATACTACATGATAAGAGGGACAAGGCCGACGAGAGTGATATCAGGGCCGGCTACGCCATGCTGATCCAGGACATGAGAGCGTCGCCGGGCTACTCGGTTCTCGAGTTCAAGCCCAAGTGGCTGGCACAGTCACCGATTGCCCCACCTGACGCCAAGCGCTGTCGCACGTGTGCGCGGGAGGCTTTTCGTAACAGCCAGAAGCTGGCCAAAGGGAAAACGGTGTCGACACCAATATGCCCTCTAGGTCTTGTGCACGAGGATCCCGACGTCGTCATGGATACCATCAAGCGCCTCGCGCCAGCGTGGTCGGCGCGAGATCAGAAACGTCTCGCGGATGCGTTTGATAGAACTGGCATTCTGAGAAAGCTTCGTGAGCTACAGACAAAGGGGGATCCTGACAGAGCTCTCTTAGATCACCCGTCGGATCCTGACTTTGGGCTAGCCATGACGCTACGAGACTGCTCTTGTTACGTTCGCATGCCAGATGACGTCGGTAAAGACGTCGAGATCAAACTCGCCGATGTCGACAAGAAGAATTGGGAGGAGAAGCAGACATACTGGCAAGAGTCTCACTGGAACTTGGTCAACAATGGCTGGTATCAGGGTGAGGAGAAGGTCGATACCCCCATTTCGACGCAGTGCGTCTTGAGCCAAACCTAGCCGACCTGATCCCGGAATGAAACCGACCAAGCTACCACTTCTTAGTATACCAGAGGATGACAACCTAAGTCGGGGTTCTTTGCTACAGAGCGCTGAAACGTACCCAATAGATTTCACGATGATTAATTACTTATTTAATGGAATAATATGAAGCATACACACAGAAGCTTTCTGAAACAATGTAGCCGGCGTCTCAACTAGGTATCTATTCTGGTAATACCTACGTGTACGTATCCATCTGATGCTTTGCCACATCCTATCATGACGCCTCGTTTGTCGCAGCCAAATGCAAGCCCTCCATTTTCTCCACACCCGCGTCCGCATCTTGTGGCCAGCGAACTACACACGTACGTGCCGAGCGAGCTTCGCATGCAACACAACCTACATATCGCAAGTCTATTTACGAAACTCACCGAAGAATGGTTCCAATGAGCTGCTCACGCGACACTGGGACCCCGCGCGTTGCGGGTAATGCTGGTAGTGTAGGAACAGCCACATTAAGTGGGTGGTGAGTCCACTGGTCAGACACCGGTGGAAATTTTTCGCATCGTCTCCAGCACGAGGTGAGGGGTCGCAGAAGAACGGCTGGACACTACGGACAGCAGAACGGACGACGAGGGACATACCAGCCGAGCCCAGCCATCATCGGGTGCCACCTTAGGTGGGATACCGTGGGATACTGTAGGAGATGTCCGAAGCGGGCTCGCCAATACCCCCGCCTCCGATTTGTAGGATACCGGTACGTACATACATACTGTAGTACACAGCACTTGCACTAGTAACCTGAACCCAGGGTAGGTAGGTATATGTCTCATGATATTGGCGTGGTGTGGGATGATGGGATGACGGTGCCTGGTGAGCTACTTTTCCTTCTAGCGAGTTGGCAGGATTTGGTTCCTCATGACGGTGTTGTTGTTGGTTTTTTTTGGAAGTAGAAAGAACATGCAATATATACTGGCACATGTTCACGCGACCCATTCTCTGAGGCGACGAGATTCCACCGACGTCCCCCGTCCCACCTTCAGGGTTCTGCCACTACCCAGCGCCGGGATCACCTTGGTCGGGAGACAACTCACAATAAATTGTGTGCATAGGCCAGAGCATAGGCCATCCGCTCTTCGGGTTTTTGGTTACATGTACGCATACAGAGTAAGAACTGCATCGGTCAGGCGAGCATAAACCGGTTGCGTCGACCGCGTCTTCTCCAGTTCTATCTCGCCCCTCCGCTGCACGCTAATCACGCGCGACAGGCCCACTAATTGCCCCCTACAGCCCCCGCCAGCCAATCCGGACCAGCCGGCTGGAAAATATTCAGCGCTATCTCTTGTGCCCACCTCAGCCAACGAACAGCGCACCAGCGCGCTGCAGGGTTGTGGGATTTAGCACGCATTACACATCATTTATACTGGAGTTAGGGGAGTTAGGGCATGGCAGGACCCAAAAAGGCATCATCCCAGCCCATTCAGACTATTCTAGCGCCTTGTCCTGCCCGCTGCCCCGGCCAGTAGTGGCCCTGCATAGCGTCATTTTATCGCTTTTATGCACACAGAACAAAAGTCAAGCGTGAGATCACCACCCGAAAAATCCCCAGGCCTATACAAACCCCCGGATCCTTCCCATCGAGCCGAGCTTCTTTTCCTCGATCAGCGAGCAACTGACGACAGAATCGTCCCGTCCCAGTCTCACCGTCATTAATTCCCCTCGACCCATTCTCGCCTTTTCCACCTTGTTGTTCCTTGTGTGTTGCGCTGCTGCACGCCTCCGATCCTCCTAGTGTAATACCCCTGTCCTACCCCGATAGACGAAGCTCCGAGGCGCTTGGCCACTGCATCTCACGATCCACTTTGTCTCTCTTTTTTTGTGCACCCACAGGCGGTCTATGGGTATTTTGGTCCAGCTCGACAGGCGGTCTGCGTTTTATGTACGATCGGCAGGCGGTCAAGCCCAGTAATTGCGTTGGCAGACAATTCATCCAGGGGTCGTCAGGCGGTCAAACGGATCCAAGTCGCGATACCATTTATTCATAAGCCGACAGGCGGTCAACCACCCCGCGTGCGCTACGATTCCCCTCAACGATGCGCATGTAGAAGACCTCGAAGTCAGTCCTGACTATGGCCTTCAACTTCAACTGGTCGCCGCTTGCGGCCGATGCTGAGTTCTACAAGCGCGCACAAGAGCTTCTAACAAGCGCACTAAACAAATACCCGAAACCTCCCATTATCGTCGATGATATTCTCGTCACCGAGTTGAATCTGGGCTCTGTGCCCCCAGACCTCGAGATCCTCGAGATTGGAGACCTTGCCGAGGATAGGTTTCGGGGCATTTTCAAGATGTGCTATTCTGGTGATGCTTTCCTGACACTGCGGACAAGAGTTCAGGTACGTGTGGTCTTTCTTAGATCTCTATCTACGGATTAGTCACGTCACCGAGCATCGAGCCCCAGGGTTGAAGAGAAGCTCATGTTAGCCCTTGGTGTCATTATCTTTCTTATTCTGGGATAGTCTTCATCCTAAGGGCCCGCGAAGCTAGACGCTGACAAAACGTCGGTATCTTCTCAATCAAGCAAGTGCTTGTCGCCATGAGCTACGCGATATCTCCTCATCGCTCTCTACCCATTGTCCCTACCCATCTTCCTAACTCTCACCCAGAGTGCTCCCTCTTTTCTTCTCTCAACTTCTGATTGGAATATTACTATAACAATGCAATAATTCCATGGCATTTTGTGGAGCTATCGCATGAATACTCCAAATGAAGTACAGGGGTTCGCGCTTTGGGGATGTTTCTTATGTGCTCCTATTAAGAACTAAAACTCGCTTGCGCGCCACGTAACAAATCAGTAGCAACTAACAAGGCTGTAGGCAAATCCATTGAATACATACCTCTCAGCTAAGCCGACCTTCACGTCGCCACAGCCATTAGCAGCAGCAGCTGGATTGACAATTCCTCTTTCTATTACTTTGTCTGAAATCAAGCTGTCTGCGTTTATCATCTTAGTCTTTTCCAAACAGAAGGGTCTCACACTAGTCTTCCGCAATGACCCTCTTGAGTCTCTCAAGGTCTCATCGACCTTTGATTCTATTCAGTTCGTTCGTGACTATCTTCAAAGGACCATTGAAGGCCAGTTGAGAAATCTCATGATGGAAGAACTGCCAGCTATTATCCATAAGCTCTCACTCCGGTTATGGTGTCCTGACCAAATACCTAGAGAAGAGGAAATCGTAAAAGACAATGATGAAGATGAGGCCGTTGTTGACCCATTCGCAAACCCACCCGTTGAGGCAGTTGACTCTTATGGCCATGTTCTCGATGCAGCTGAGATTGCTTCACTGTCATTAGACAGCGGATCAGGGGCGCAGTCGTTATTCTCACAGAAGAACATGCTCAGATTGGCTGCTTTGACTGATTCTCACCGGACATTGTCGCTGTTTACCCCCGGTATTCGCCATGCCATGTTCAGGGCCTGGGCCGGTCCAACAGACCGACATGATACAGGTGTATCAACGCCTATGGCAACACCTACCATGTACCGAATGCCGTCTGCACATGGTAGTTCGACGATCTACACATTCACTGATGCTAGTAGTGTGGACCAGGGCACTCTACCCACACGCCCTTCTTTGGTTAGTGTTAATTCAGCTGCTAGTGGGCTTGGCCTAGGAGCTGGGAAGCATTCACGAAACCTTCGGAAAAAGAAGACTCGTGTGGTAAATTTGCGGCGGCCGAGGGCTGGAAGCGAGACAAGTAGCGATGCTGGTGAAACCGTATCAGATACAGTATCGGTTACCGTCCCCAACTCGGAACTTATCCTACCTACATCAATTCCCGAAGAAGTTGAAGAAGAACCAACAATATCACAAGTTTCCGCTCAGAGTCGGTTTGGCGAAAGGAATTCAGCGCCCATCAGAACCCCATTGAACACAGACAGATATGAAGACCTCGCCATACCGGAAAGAGCCCCCGCAGATGGAAGCAAGACGGTCCCAAACTATATGGAGAGAATAACAAGCCAAAATGCATCATCTAGACGGCCAGATTTGAAAACCTCAAAATCTGATGGCTCAGAGACGAACACTGTGATGTTGGAGGAAGCTTGGATCATGAAGATGGCTGACGAAATCGCTCGCCGAGTATATGATGAGAAGCAACGTAACGAGAAGTTGTGGGATGAGCGCGACGACGCGCCTCCACCAGCTTATCAAACCGTTCAATAACTTCACCCGCGCCTCGCCCATTCCTGGGTTTCTCCTTTGTCGTTCACTATCTTCCGATAAACTGTACTAACAGACATGGCTTTCTCGATTGAGTTTATTGTACTATATCCATCATTTTTAATGTTTATTTTGCGGCGAAGGCTGTTCAGCAGCGGCGTTACGGGGAACAATTCTGGTCGGGTTCAAAAAGTTTTGGTTATGGTGTGGGCGAGTGGATTACATTGGGGAAAACGAAATTGTTTTGAAACTTTGTTTTTTGTTTGATCTGGGGATATGAATACGCACTACGACAAAAGCAGTCCCGAGAAACGGAAAACTCACGACATCGTTTTCTTCGTGGTTCAGCACGACACTCGCTTATTTTACGTTTCCATGACACCAAAATATTATACGACCCGGCAGTTTGGCGTTCCCTTTATTCGATGGGGGGTAGTAAAGTATAAAGGAGAGGTACGGGTAGAAAAAGAAAACAGGTTGGAGGTCTCGAGTTGGCGCCGTTTTCTTTTCTGGTTTTCTCTTTTTAAGATACCTTTGGTGGACTTCGGATGGTGATTGGGAATAGAGAAGGAACGTATTTGAATTACTGGGGGGGCTAAAGGAATGGGTGGGAAGAAAGCAAGAAAGATAAGACTGCATTGGAGAAAAGACGAGAGGAAGCAAGTCCTACTCACTCCTATTTTCGTATATTTCCATATACATACCTCCATACCCATACATACACGCAAAATTACCCCTGAGATTAAATAAAATCAGATTGATTATATTCGATAATTTGACATGTGATTCAGGATTCTGAATTGACTTGGAACTGCACGCATGTTTCGTAGTATTAGAACTAGTTTACAGTTTCGAAAGCTAGTAAGTAATCTAAGGACTTCTGAGCTCCTAACGGGTAACTTGAATGCTACCAAGCCAGGTCCAAACGTTGCAAAAATTCAATTCAACGCCATCTCCCAAGGCAACCTTTGTATCCTACACTCCGCAATATCTGCCCGGATAGTACAGTTCGTAGTTACCTGTGTAGGAGGAGGACTGATTGATTTGATTCTCTCCCCATTTCCCCATGATTCTTCTCTCTTGAACACATGTTTAAAATAATATATATTACCACCAATATTTGTTTCATCTATGAAGCAAGAATAAGCATTTAAAGATGACGTGGACGGAACTTCAACATATATATACATACCTTTTGACGCACCGGGGTATCTGTCTTTCTCCTGGTCCCTTGAAGCTAGCCCGGCCTTAAACAAAACGTTTTTAATAATTACAGTTGGCGTAGTAGAGTTTCGGCCAAGGGGTAAGGATCGCGGGCTCAATGGCTCGCTTATCTCCTTCGCTGACGTCTACTTTTGGATTTCTTGCATGGCGCTGCTTGTACTGAGGAAGTATTGCCGCCGTCACCAGCAGCGCTCTAGGCAGCTGAGGCAGCCTTATTGCTCGCTTTCAGGGCAGCTAGTTCCTGTTCTTTCGCTTTGACGCTCTTGTTCAGTTCGGCGATCATCTGCTGGACCTTTTCCTCGGCCTCGCGCAGTCGCTTGATCTCGGCCTCCTCGGTCTCGCGGCTGAAGGGCTGGCCCGGGCGCGTGGCGAGGGGGATCATGGCGCTGCGCTCTTTGACGTCGCCTTCTGCGGCGGTCGACACGGGCACGCTCTTACCCTTGCTCTTACCCTTGCCCTTGCCGCTGGGGGTGCCCTTGTCCCTGGCCCCGGAGGTCAAGATTTTGTAGAACTCTTCGAAGGGTTCGTTGAAGACCTGCTCCTCGTACGTCCAGGCGACGACCTCCCCGCTGGCGCGCATGGCTTCTTTCTCGGCTTCGTTGCGCCCGTAAGGGTGGAGGCGCAAATGGTGGTATAGAGTCTGGGGCTTCTCGCTGCTCTTGCTGTCGTAGTATAACTTGATGGTGATCTCGAACTCGCCCCAGCCCGTCTCGTTGACAACGAAAGCTTTCTGCGGCTTCTTGTTAGACTTGCCACCGGTTGAGGCTTCGTTCTCTTTGATGATGGTTTCGGCGTCGATGGTGCGGAGATGGTTTGGGATAGACTCGTGGAGCTTGAATTGTACACGGCGCAGCCAGTAGAAGATGTCGGTGTCCTCGACACCTTTGACGAAGACTTGCCAGGAATGTGTATGATCGGGGGATACGCCGACGGGGCGCGGGTTGTCTGTGTCGTTGAAGGGGCGAGCGGTGGTGCCGTATATGAAGGGACGGAAGATCTGAACCCCCTTGACACGCTTACCCGCGGGCGGTGCCATGGTTGACGAGACGGCTTTGTTTTGAAGTTGAATGAAGCGATGGGCCGCAAAACGAAAGATTTGTATACTGAATATATTCGGCCCGTGGGGGCGCGTATCAGTATCTTGTGGCAATGGAGATTGTAGGTAACGGAAGAAGAGTGAGAAGGGTAGAAATGTAATTGTTTGGAGTTCTCTCTATGTATTTTAACTTTCGTAATCAAACTTTCAGCTTCTAGAGAGATGGGAAGCCTGAAATAATGCGCCAGGACCAACTCTATATTCAAGCAAGATTAAATGGTCAATACAATGAATGGTGAAGTTGAGGATGGGAAATGGCCCCTCATCAGCCTTGGGACGGGCAGAGGGACGGGCAGGGACGGGCTCTACAGTGTTCAACAGCAAACAACTTTATTGTGGAGTCTGAGAGCTCTAGAAGCCAATAAGAGCCTGAGTGAGTTTGTGCTTCTAGCTAGAATATACTAGGAGCTTTAGTGTCCATTTAGCTCCCATCATGAGCCCAGCCTTGCACATCCATGGATGTGAGTGACGGCATCTCGCAGTGCTGGCTGTCTCTTAATTATAATCGTATGATGTCGTCGACACATCTTAGATATGTGCAAGTGTGTGTGTGTGATTTTGAATGATGATATTGAATCGACACGATAGCTTTAACCAATAATTATATGAAAACAATTGCCGACTCAAAAAGTAATTTTTAATTTCATCACCTACCCAGTTGCCGCTGTCATATGGTTACTAGCTGGATTACCCCTTCACTCCGCCCTATCAATCATATCGCCATGTCAGCCGCGAAGAGGATCGTAGTGTGCGGAGGCAATGGTTTCCTAGGGTCAAGGATATGCAAGAATGCAGTACAGCGAGGATGGGACGTGACATCAATTAGGTACGCCTCCCACTCACTCTAACCAACGACTCATGTCACCGTATCCCAAGCATCCAGCTAACCTCACTCACAGCCGCTCGGGGGCGCCGAAATGGGACGCCGTCACGTCTTCCGCAACACCACCAGCATGGTCTCACAAAGTGACCTGGGAGCGCGGCGACATCTTGCGGCCAGCGACCTATGCGCCGCTACTCAAGGGGGCCAACTTTGTCGTGCACAGCATGGGGATTCTGCTAGAAGCTGATTACAAAGGTGTGCTGCGCGGGCAGGAGTCGCCCATCTCGGGGCTGCGAAAGGCCTTCACCGCCGCGCCGCAGCCAGGGAACCCGCTCGAGCGCCGCGTCAGCGAGGCCGACGGCGACATACGGCCGCCCGAGACCCGCGAGCAGCTCACGTACGAGAACATGAACCGCGACAGCGCCATCATGCTGGCCAAGGAGGCGGCCCAGGAGAACGCGGCGGCCTTTGTCTACATCTCGGCGGCTGGCGGGGCGCCCGTGCTGCCGGCTCGGTACATTTCTACGAAACGAGAGGCTGAGAGTACGATTGCGAGGGAATTCCCCGGCATGCGAAACATATTCGTTCGCCCGCCCTTTCTGTACGATAGCTCGCGGCCAATCACGATGCCCATGGCCGCGATGACGGGAGTCGGGGCCGCTTTCAACGGCATCACGGGTGGTATCTTTGGTAACCTTATGGGTGCTGCCGGGGTCAAGCCGCTCAAGGTGGACGTTGTGGCAGAGGCTGTTGTACAGGCACTCCATGATGAGGCGGTCAAGGGTCCGGTAGAAGTACCTGAAATCGAGCAACTTGCTGAGAAAGCTTGGAGGAGCAAAATGCTCTAATCATACAGACTTGACCGTCTGCGCAGAGCTTGTATTAATATATGACATATAGACTGTACCATAGCTCCTCCATACGCCATTCATAATGTTATACTTTTGAAATGTATTACGCTGAGAACACACACCATCTTCCCACCAACTCCGCCGTAGTCTATGGTCTCATATCCTTGTTCCACGCTCGAAACTATCCCTGATCTCAGCCGTGTACTTGTTATAGAAGCGCGACAGCTTTTGGTTGAACTGTTTGTTCTTCTCGTTGATGTACGTGACATCGCCTTCATCGCCATTCCGCGCCATGCGCTCCTTCCTCTTCCGCATCCGCGCGTCATCAGCCTTCTTCAGGTCATCCACTAAGCGGTCTATAGCAGCCTTATCAGGCTTGTTCTCGTGGAAGTTGGTTGTGTCGGCGGTCGAGTAGAAGCTTCCGTCCTTGTCTACGGCAATGAGCTCGCCGTCCTCCCTTTCGATGATCTCTAACCCTCCCGACGCCGCAGCCTTCTCTATGGCTTTCATCTTGTCCTTCTCGTAACGCTCCATATCCGGGTCTATGTTCTGCAGCTGGCGCTTGTAGACCTTGCTGCTCTCAGCAGTGTAGTCTTTGAAAGCGTTGTTATCTCGGTGTGCCGCCTTCTTCTTCAAGCGCTTGTCCCATTTCTCGCTTTCCTCTGCGGTCCAGTCCCATGCTCGTTTGCGCTCGAAGTCCTCGCCTTCTTCCTCCGTCTCAGCCTTCAGCAGTTTGAAGGCGGCAATGTCACGACGGCGGTGCAGTGCTGTCAGTGCTGAGGGATCTGTAGCCAGCCTTTGTGATTCTTTGGCAGCTTCTTTAAGGTTCTGATCCGATGAGGTCTTCGCGCGTGCTTGGAGAGCACGGAACCGCGCCATTCTATCTTTCGCTTTAGAAGATGCGTCAGGCCCTGTGCTTGACAACGGCGCACTGCTAGCATCCGATGTGGTGTTCTCGGGCTCATCTGCAACACGGCTGGTATCTTCCGTGTGGTCGCCTTCGGGAGCTTTTGTTTCGGTATCTGCAGTCGAGTGCATGGGTTCTTCGCTGACTTCCTCTGACGCCGGCGCCGTCTTTCTTCTCTTAGCGGGCGGCATACTTGTTATGGTATGACAAAACGGTTTAATGATGGTTTGATGATTTGATGGTCAAGAGTTGCGTAAGGTGGTTAGGTACGTGTAGGTATAAAGTAGAAGCGACTGGGATGCTGAATGGGCTGGTTGACAGCCCCACTAAGGCATCTGCAGGTTAGACCATCAATGTACCCAATGTAAGTACTTATCTACATTAGGTGATAGGTACCTAGGTAAGTAGATTTAATAGCACCAGCCACCACCAGCCACGCTAAATCGTCACTTATGTCTTGTAGCTAGGTATCTGTACATGCGCACCCTCAAAAAATGAAATACTGGTATAATCAGACTGATTAGTTGAAAAAGACATCAATTTCCACTAAAAAATCGTGAATGATCTATTGAGTGCTCATTTTCCTGTTGTTGTCATGTTCTTTTTTGACCTGGAATTTCCCCGAACAGCATGGCTCCTGGCAATTTGTTGATCGCTTCCAAGTTTTAGTACCATCTCTTTAAACACCTTTAATCATGCCAACCATCGCTGTGCCCTGCAAATTATAATTGAAACGCTAGGGAATCCTCCAGATCAAATAAGCGGCAATGCTCGCATAACCATTCGCAGTTCCACAGCCACTTTTTGGCATCGAATATTGTAGTCGACAAGGTTGCTCACCAAAAGCATTGATATGAGAACCATAGGGCTGCTAAGGCCACGAATGTGGTCCTGTAGTTGCTTAGTCCCAGATACAGTTCGCTCTCCAATTGTTTGATTCGTCTTATTCAGGCTATGCCCAACCACTAGGGTGCGTAGAGTCCAAGAAACGGTTCATGGCCCGGGTGTTCTGGACAGATCCCTCCCCCCCTTGAGACGTCCCAGTGTCTATGTTACCAAGTCCTAATACCTCGGAGTTCCACCGAAAAGGGGCACTGTCCTCGAAATCCCATTCGAGTCTCTCCAGTAATACTGGATGTTCGTAGCGGCTAGGGTCTAACTTCTGCGTCGCTGCAAGCGACTCTTTGCTGCCCTCCCGATGTGAAGGATCTCCGAAAGGTCGGCAAAGCAATTCCAATAAGTCATAGGATAGGTCTTCGACAGAGCGCTGGTAAGAGGCAGAGAGGAATTCGGGGCCATCATCGCTAGCACGAGTGTTATCATCCTGCAATGTCCTTCCTGTCGGGTTGTCAGTGGTGCCGCGACCTGCAGAGGAATCCACCGTATCAACCGGTTCCTGGTGGGACTCTCTGAGAATTTCCGTTAATTTCTCAATATGATTTATCAGCGAGTTGTAGATACCCTGAGCTTTGTCGAGGAAAAGACTCGCTACAGGATCAGCTGCGCCGCAATATGTCAAAGTCTCGAGACACAGCCGTGTGTTTTTCAGTTCATCCTCATATGATCTGATTTTGAGCGAGACCAGCTTTGTCAAGACATTATGCATGATGATGATACATGATGTATAACTTTGGAAGCTAAAACACCCACGAAGGGATCGGTCAGCGTCTGAGCCCCAGCATAATACTGACGGGACAGCTGAGGATAACAGTTGGACTTACATAATAAGCCAACAGCGCTGGAAGATTCCGTTTTCATCTAATAACAGCTTGAATATCCTGGCTGACATGCTGGCAGCTATGACAGCACTAGGACACTGCCTAGAAAGCAGCTCGCTCGATGGATGCCACAGTTTCGGGGGTTCTCGTCCGAGATTTTGAGTGTTCTCTGCGACGATCCTTCTAAACAGTAGCATGTGTGCGCCAAGATAAAGGAGGTGGACGTGGTATATTGAACGCCTCACTTCATGTGATAATTCTTGCCCTGACAAGTGTTGAAGTTGCATCTGCTGTGGCAGCCTGTCATACCAGTCTTGAAGGTCCCTTATCATTGAATTTAAGGCGTCGGGAGTTAAATATTTGCATGCCAGATGCATGTGCAATATTCTAGCTTTAAGTACTGCAGGATTAAAGGATGAATGTATAATTCAAACTTCCAGACGGATTTTAGGGGGACCTTACCAGCAATCTTGGTCATCTCTGTTTGAACGACTGCTCAATTTTAGTAACAGTATTTCTTGGGGAGAGTCATAGCTACCTTCTGAAATGCCAACTTGATCATCGATGTGCAGTTCAGACAGCTGTTTGGATGTTAATTTATTAACACATGTAGGAGCAGATAACATACAGTTATCATCCGCCGAAGGGACTGGTCATTACCAGTTCTATAGCCTAGGGTCGCCGAAAGCCAGCTATACAATATTACTCTGTTGCAATTCTTCCACAGTAGGCCTTAACTTACGTTGAGAGAAAGATAAGAGTGCGCCATGCTTTGCGATAATCGATCCAGGCCGCATCTTCAATACCGTCTATTTGTCGTCGTGGGCAATGTAGTCCAAACCGGTCACACATGCCCAATCCCGCATCTAACAGTTATTAGTTCATTCTGCCGAGACACATGATTGCTGATCAGAATTCGTTACCTGCGTAAGCTAGAGAGACTGTAGCTTTGCCAAAGACGTTGTACATACACAACAGCGTACAGACCTTGACACCTTCGAGAGGTCGCCGTGTGATAACAGCGTCTAAGTAAATCTTCGCGACGCTGTAAAACGTTTCTTGGACCTTGTCATCCATAGAAGTATTCGAGTATTGCGAACCAACCGCTGCGACAGCCATCAGAGAGGCGATATCTGCCTTGCGGTCCTCACCCTTGCTATCCCTTTCTCCAAAGACCGAGTCAGCCATACGAGATACCTGGACTTGCGAGAACACATGGAATAATTTCCCACTGCAACTAAAAAACCCGTCAATGGCACGGCTCGTTAGTGAGGCGCTAGGAATGGCGAGCTCGATGGGGTTTGGGGCTTTCTGTATTGCACTCGCTTGTGTTGCTGGCTCGTCTGGCTTGGCTGGCTCGACATCTATTGTCTGGCCAGCTTGGAGTTCCTGGATGCGCTGTTGCAGCAACTCGATCTGGGCATTCAGGGCTGCTTCCCTAGACTCCCCCTCCCTGATGCGGTCAATTAGGATTGACTTTTCTGACTGTCCTTCCTCGCCACGAAACACGCATGACCTATGCTTTGACGTGCACACTAGGCATCTTGGCCGCGTTCCATCACACTTTACTACGATCAGCGACTACAGGGTATTATAAAGACGCTAAGATAGCTAACCTTTGATTTAGCTTTCCGACACGCCTCGCAGGCCTAGGACAAGACCATCAGAATATCAAGAAACTTGAGGTTCTAGAGATATCAGTTCAACGTACAGTACTTATGCGACTCCTGGTGGTACGCTTGTCGCCATCGTTATTGTCGTCGATGGGTTGGTCCGGTCTGGGCTGTATTGGGCGAAAATTCATGATGTCTTGATTAACGAGCGCATGAGACGCGATTTGAGAGTTGCACGCTAATACAAGTAAATTTTTGACGCGCAGTTTGTATTATATACTAACACCCAAGTCTGAAAGATTGGGTTGATGATAGGTCATCTTGGATGACACCACATTTTCTCCACCCAGCCTTAGCCCATGTAGATCCGTAGATCAGTCCTGCTAGGCAAGGCGACATGATACTAACTTGGGGCTATGACTTAAACTTCCAGCTCAACTCCGCAACCTGCTAAAATTCGACATAGCCAATTAAGGCATATTACATATGTACTATAGTGGCTTTAATATCGAAAATACCTATCGCTACACTAAATGCGTATAGATCATCGGCAAAAGCTAAGTAGTTTTAAGCTTTTACATGTAGATCTGTAAGCAAAGTTAAAAGATACTTAAGACCCGATTAAAAGTGTCACGGAGTTGAGCTGGAAGTTAAGGGGATACAGCAGTATTCTGTTTTAGAGCTCCAAAATCTCCGTTTACATGAGGTCTACCTAGAACAAAGGTAGTTTGAAGGCGATTGGTAGCGCAGATTAAAAGTGGCGGCGCCCGCGTTAGGTACAACAAAATGCAGAGGCAAATGATCAGACATGTTTATTCTCCTCATTGTTGCCATTGGTACAGGAATATCTCCTCTAGTAAGTGTGGACAGTAAGCGACGTTGCACCCCAGGGGTAGAGCGAATCTTTTCGTTACATATCCAACTACGCATTCTAGTCGGTTAGAAACGGCGCATTATTATTACTCTAATATCTTTACTTGCGTTACATATGGCGATGGCGTTGCACCGTGTTCTGTCTGAGGATCCGTCTGAGGCTCGATTTATTCATGGAATATAATCCACGGAGGGCACCCAGGATAGACATATTCATGCTTCTGAACGTGGTGTATGTTTTGTCGCCTTGGAGTTGAAACCCGACTCTGAACTCGAGAGAGATTATCCCAAGCTGATCGAACCCCTTTTGAGATGTCTAACTAAAGTACCAAGTGTTACAATACATAACTTTATCAGTGCAAACGTACGTCATTAAGGACTAGCAATCTTCACTTCAGGGCGATTTACTCATCATTGTGAGCCGGTTTCTCCTCGGACGATTGCCCATTTATTTCCCATTGGTTCTTAGGTCTATGGTAAGGCGAATGTTACCCTTTTCAGTAGGATCTAATGATGATCTTCGCGGCTATCGATAGTTCATTATTTCACGAGAATGAATTCACTAACCGTGTAGATCACGACAACGATGGCAATATAACGCGTACGAGTATAGTGATAGTAGGGAAGACTTGAACGGGATTCTTATAGCAGTACAGCGGTCCAGAGGATGACATCTTTCGGCGAGAAATTGGCAGCATTGGTGCTGATGAGGATGAGCTTATTGTCATATGCATTGCACATCTTAGTGACTGACAATACGCTTTTATCATTCAAGTCGTTCATCGTAAAACCGAGGATTGAGTGGTGATTCTAATCGCATCAGAGATGTATGTCATTGTTGCTGATGACGGTTAGTCAAGCTAGACCCCACTAAAATAGAGTGCTCTGACTGACTTCCTAGGAAGTCGCTGTTCCACTTCCTTAAGTTCGAGGTACCTAACCGAACCAAAATGCCTATCTAAATAGGTACCTACCTAGGTAGGGATTTAGTTACTCTATACAAAGCGTTTATTAATTGGTATCTACCTACCTAGGTAGGTAAAGTTATATATCTTGCCAATATCCCCGCCCATTTCCTCATTTTCTACACTATTTCGATCGTTTACCACCTACCTAAGCACTTTGAGCCGTGCTGTGCACTTGTGTTACGACTGTGGTAGTACCTAATGCGCATAAGTAGGTAAGCCTGCGATCAGCGCTAGGTACATGTATCACTAAATTAGCAGATACACGTGCATTTTAGGCGCACTAAGTCCACCGTAGCTCCTGCTAACCATCACTACCCCAGACGGGAAGCTCCTTAGTAGGTGCACTAAAGGGTACCTAACAGTGGTAGGCAGGCGGGTAGACGGACCCCTACCTAACCTTACCCAGTGTAATCTGGGGTTCTTAGTGCCAACGCTCTCTCTTTTCCAAGGAATGTTCTCTTCCATCTCGAGGTGTGGTGTGGGCAGATGTGTGCAGGTAGGGATAGGGGATAGGGCAGAGGGATGCTACGGTAGTAGCAGGTTACCGGTACCTTACTTACGAAGTAGGTAGGTGCCTACCTACTTGTATGCTGTCCCATGCATGGAGCTGCATCGCCTCCATTCGCAAAAACCTGTGCCTCGGCCATCCATCGTTTTGCCTCTTGCAATATAGGTACGTGGGTCTCTCCTAGTCGCCATGAGAATAACTCTCCATTATCTACGCAGGAGGGTTTTGATTGTCTACGCATGTGAGCAGGATGCAACGACTCATCCCTCGGTCTGTCTTCTCCAAGCGCCAGGTGATCACGCGACTATGGGATTGCCAAACTCGTAGCTTGCACCAAAGGCGAAGAGGACGCTTCCGGGGTCAACCCCCCCAGCCTAAGTTTCCTCCCTTCGACAGTCCGGACCTCGTTATAGAACTCGATGGCGAAAATACCAAGGGCGTGCGCATCTTCGACCCCAAGCTCGATGGCGAGCCTGCACCCAAATCAAGGTCGGCGAAAAGAGACCGCGACTTGCAACCCATCAAAGAGCGCCTCGCCAATTTTGAGGCCGAATATGAGCAGAACGAGTCCAACTTCCGCTCAATTTGCGACGACGTATTCAACCCGTTGCACATCAACGACTTCGACTTCCTTGCGATAGCTCTGCTGGATTCGGCCAACGTCCGAAAGATGGCCACCCACGAGCCCACTTCATATGCAAACACGCTCAACTCTGTTCTTGATCAGAATGGAGTGCCACATACTATGCGTGACAACACATTCAACACTATACAATACATGTGGGCCCGTCTTCGATTACGAAATGAGAAACACGCCCTATCAGTAGGAACACGGCGCCCTATGACTTTCAAGGGCAACCTGACTTTTCCTGAAATCGATCGCCTGGTAACGATGGCCGCAAAAATTTACGCGGGTCGGCGGTGGCTATCCGAACTCGGTGTAGAGCTCCACGCATCGCTTCTCGCAGCTCACGACACCGATCCCGCTTCAATGCTGACCCTCATAAACAACATGGTAATCAACTTAGAGCGAAACGGGCAACATATACCAGCGGAGTTCTACGACCTAGGAATTTCGACCTCCCTCAAATGTAATGCTATCCTAACAGCCCAACATTATATCAAAAGGAGGCTGAAGCGCCGCCCACTTGATGATGAATTTATTCACAATATTTTAACAAAGATAAAAGAGGGCTCGATAGTTTCAAATGCTTTCAGTCACCATGCATTTCAGTTAGATGTCTCAAGTCGGCTGAGAACAGTGTTTTCGCTTCTGACAGGTTATACGCCGGGAGAGGACGGGCCAACGCTTTCCCTTCGGTCCCTCATTGTTCGCGAGAACCTTCGCAATTTCCATTTGTATATTCAGTGCCTAGCACGTCTAGGAGCCTTTCGGACGCTGTGGCATGAGCACCATAAAATAGATTCTGCGTCACACAATCCGACCCCTTTTGCACTCAAAGCTTCCAATTTCAACAAAGATTTTGTGAAAGGCGATCACGTTGTCAGTGCAATTCTGCATGCCCTGGCTGAGAACCCTGACATGGCTAGCCTTGCTCGCTCACCGGGATTCAGCAACGCAACTGGGCAGTTTTGGCAGGACTGCCAACTGGATATGTTAGCCATTTCTAGGTCAGCAAAGGTGCTTGCTACACCGGGCAAGAATGTCTCGGACATCCAGCCTAGTTCTATATATGGAGGAAATTGGGGAATCATGAGCGGCATTTTTCAAGACACGTCGATAGATAGAGCATTGCCCGCTCTGCAGGCATTCTTAATGTCCAAACCCTCTTTCTCATGACCCATTATAAGCGCATTAAGACCTATGATCAGAATGCAGCTGTTCTGTCAGTGACGATGAGATCATGCGTTCATCGATGCTACCAGAATGTCGTAGACTGTCGTTTCGTTGAACTGTCGTTTCGTTGAACCGTAAGACGTCCGTCTATGTATATTGCTAATATGTTGCCAGACTCAGAGACAAAAGATAAGTTGCTAACTTAGAATGTTAGTAAACCCACGGGATTGCCAGGTCCAGTATCGTGAATATTTCACTCTATACGGGCTCATGATGAACTCATTGTAAACAGCTCCAGGGTGACCAGTCTCATAAATGATCACATACATACATTCACCTAGGCAGGAGGTTACTATATTCATTACACACCACTTTGACGTACCAAATGCATCTGATTAAAGCAATCAAACACCAATTGGATTTATCACAGTTTGTTTGAGTTCTACTTATCACGATTGTGGATAGTAGTCGCCTCAAGCTATATCAATCATAAGCCTCTCTCATTTCACTTTCTTTTTTTGCACTGAGTGATATCACGAAGCTATCGTCAGAATTTCTCATCGACTCATTTCATCTAACGCTCCTCTCGGATTTTTTGAACTCTTCTCTTTTTCACTGGAAGACTTAGAACTTATTCCACATGCGGTGCTATCGGGAAGAATGAAGCTACCACTCACATGGCCAGCTACAGCCTACTCTTACCCCAATAGATAGGATAGCGCAGATGAGGTAACAGGCCACATCTAGTGACTTTCCGTATCGAACTATTTCGAGCCGCGTATTCGCTTTCTTTATCTATGAAGGAGCAAGCAGTACACCGGGGGCATCGGCTCCGTGTTTCGGACCCGGACACGGCCGCGCTGTCACGAGACATGGCATGATGTCGTCTCGTCACCCGTGGGAGAATCTGACTAGTACGGCGCATATCAACTCATTTAATCTGTTCATGTGACGCGTATTTTCGTCCCGCTTATCACTGTTACCGCTCGGACTGGAAAAAGGTACAACCTTAGCATACTTAAATCCCTCGGAACTATCATGAGATGGCGCTCACTGATAGTATAGTGTTTCAGGGAGGTGGGATTATTCGATCGAAATGTGATTTAGTCATTTGTCCTAGAGCCGGTAGTGTCTTGGGTCGTCCTTGCTGTGTTGCCGTATCTCCTGGCTTATGCCAATTGATACAACATGGAAAATTAACATAAATCGTGTTGATATCGTCAATATGGACAAGTCTCTTGCAAAGCCATATTGTCTTCGTGAGCTTTTCGTGTCACCGCTCCCCTCTCTTCACGGACCTACCATCGTGGATGTACTCGTCATTCGGTACACTCCGCCGGGCGTATTGTTCGATAATTCGATCCCTAGTAGGTATTGGCGTACGACATTGAACTTCGGCTTATATTCGCAAAGTAAGATCCTTCTATAACATACCAAAGCCATACATTGCTAGCTTACGGATGACAGACCCCTGTTTTGACTGTCCTCTCCTCTCCTATCTCCTAGGTTTCCTATCAAGAACTGCAACTCGGCGTCCAAATAGCACAATAGACTATAATGCTTTTCTGCTATAACTGTCACACTTTCCCTGCCACTACCGGCACAAGCCACGTCCGCGTCACGGGAGACTGAGATCCTGCTATTACCCCGGGCCACCGACCACACCAATTAGCAACAAGCCAAAATAGATAACTTCATCTCGACAGGGAAGTAGTCAGCGATGGGAAAAACAAAAGGAAGGGGCCACACTATCTCGTTCTCCCCGAGATCTCAAGGCCGAGATGCCGAACTAGGTAAGTATTTCTAAGAGTGATACGTAGACAGGCAGGTAGGTAGATAGATAGCTACCTTACTATAAGTAACGTCACGAAAAGCTACCGTGATAGCGACCCAAAGGGCCGATGCCGGAGTCGAAGGTGTGGTAACGGGGACGGTACGGTACATATGCACGGCGACTCCAGGCGGGCACACGAGGGCGAACATAAGCTTTTTGTTCTATACCCATTCTTTTCTTTCTTTCAGCGTCCACCGTACCGTCCTACCATACACTAAGCTGAAGTGAGTTTTTTTTTTATATACTATCTATAGAAGCTTGGCGCGGCCGTTGCGACGGTTTGGACCTTCTAGAAAGACTTTTCCCCCTTCTGCTATACAATTATGGATCTGTGGGTTGGTTCGTCTTGGGTAAGCAAGCAAGGAAGCACGGTACAACCCGTGAAGAAAGGTTGATGATTGCATTTTGAAGTGAGTCGTGTGAATAATAGGCAGATCGATATATTCTTCGTGTCCCGAGTTCATTCGTCACTGTCGAATAGTAGCTCAGGTCGTAGTCGTAGCGGTAATGCATAATTGTAGCTTATTAAACCCGTAAGATACGCATCACCTGATGCTTTGGGCTTTATATTGGGCACTATGTAGAATCTCGGCTCCTCTGAATCGAACACACTTGCATCTTAGTTCTCTGCTCGCATGAAATGACTCTCTCTGTCTTTACAAATTGGAATACTTGACTATCTGTGATATCGTCTACAGCTGTTGTGGCTTGTGAGAGTCTCCGTCACCTAGCCACTCGCACAAAGCAACTACGACGTTTGATGCACGGTTGAAGTCGAGAGCCCTGATAGGTAATTAAGTTGTCCAAACCCAGGGGAGGGTAGCATGCTTTACTCATGTGATAGGGCAAAGGACAGAAACAGCACAGGTTTGAACAAGTCACAATGTTGCGCAGGTTTTAGATTGTAAAAGCGTTCAGAATGGGAGAGGCACCGAAGGAGTGTGACACAATAGTTCGAGTGAAAGGGCGCGATGTGACCACATCATGGGAAAAGAATACGACACACAGCATGAACGTTCGAACAGAAGGGCTTGAATCTTGCACATACCCAATGCAGATGATGTATGTATGCATGTGCCTGCACCAAAACGGCGATCGCGAATTGTCGCCTAAGAAAGAAGAAAGGAGTGAAACCTGGACACTATCTATCGTCAAGTAATATGAAGTGATAATATCGAAGGATTTCCGGAGTCCGGGTGAAGCCGCTACAGCCCTGATAACTCTTGTTGTCTAAGCCGGTGCCCTGTTGGTGGAGATGTCGGGACCTGACTTATATCGCGGCCGTTGACCAGATGGTACGTCCAGGGGCCCAACTTGGCAATGGGGTATACTCTGCGATATGTTCCCTCTGGCTTGCTGAGTCACCGTATACCCATCAAACTTTACAAGACAGAGATACAGTAAGACCACCACCACGCTCGGTTCGCCTTATGGGAAATGGCGGAGTCACAATCACTTTACCTAGTATTGTTGTTTATTAAGCCTCGATTGCCGAGCTGACCCGCTTCGTCGTAATGCGAAAAACCGTACCACCGGCTGGCTCCTTGCGTCTTGTAAGAATTCCCACATCTAGGGGCGAGAGGAAATCCCGGTGAAACGTAGGGTCGAGGTGTAAATCCGGTATACCGGTAAAAGTAGACTGGGGTCAGGGACCGCGGCAACAGAAGGTCACGGAATGGGTAACCCCCACGGCCTTTGGAGTATATACCTTGGCCTGGCTCTGGTTCTGAGCGGGCGGCATGGTTGTATTTCTCCCAGCAGCCAATTGCCCAGTAACGCTTGGAGCCCAAGCCGTTATCTACTTTAATTTGACGTCGCCAGGTAACCCACCCAAGTCCATGTCCTTAGATAAGTAGGTATAACCATCTTAAGTACCTATGTCAAAAATCTGGGCTCGGTCCGCTCCCTTCAGAAGACGGTAAAACTTTGTTTTGATAAGCATTTTATCCCTGGACTCGAAAGACCGGGGGTACCTGCAGGATCTCGGAAGTCGAAATTTGAGGGGGTGGACGAACGGCTGCCCAGCATCATCTTGCATGCCGCTAGATTACATACATGCCTACCTATACTGTAAGGCGATGTCGACAATCATGCAATTCCTGTATTTTTCAATGACGACGGGATACAAGGAGAACAGTTGCCGATTCGGCACTGGCCTTTCAGCCCACTGTTCTAGTAATGCCGCCATACGTTGTTCAGATCATTGAAGAATCGGCCAAGGGAAATCTGCGGGGTTGCGATGCTTAAATTCGAGCAGATAAGGCAACGAGCAGGTTTACTTTGTAAGACTTACGGCTGGCTGGTCGGCAAAGCTCTGTATTGCTTAACCGAATGGGTTATTTCGAGCCGTCATGCTGTAGGAGTGTGTTCGAGTAGGTTAACCCGACCATAGCAAGCTGGCTTGTGTTACACAACAACAGAGCTTCTGTTTGTTCGAAAGAAGCGAATGAATGACGCGGCCCTACCGGCAGGGTCAAGCATCCCCGGCCTCAGTCCTGGCGGTATTGTTCAATTCGTCGGCGAGATTGCATACGCGAATTGCGCGAGACGGGGCTGGGAGGTTCACGTTCAGTACACCCACCAGCCAGCTCGAGGACTTCAAGATCTAGAGGGGTTGCAGTTGGTGAGGTGTCATTTACCCAGATCTCTGCAGCTTCCCCTGAGGAGAGGGGAAGACGCAATAGCCGACTGTTCTTTTGTCAGAAAGTTTTACCTACTACTACACCGTAGTATGAGGATCATGTAATCAAGGATGTTTGGCAAATTTCGTGCTCGCCGATTTATCCACTAACTGGAGGGCTGGCCAAGCAGATATCGATAGAGATATCGGCCGTTACCTGCATTGTCAAGGCGTGGAGAAGTGGCAGAAAGGTGGTACCACAGGCACGATGGTTCGACAACTACATGTACATAAATTCATATAAAGTGCATACATAGTAGATGAAGCCTCCTCGTATGAAGAGACGCATCGGAAGACATTCCACCAATCTGATATCCCCGCGCCTGACTTGCACTAATGTAAGATCAGCCTTGGTCTAGGCTAAAACGATTGAAAATGCCTTTGGTGCATATGTCTGGCGTCCACTGCTTGTGTGTGCAACAGGCTCGATCGTAAAGCAGGCTGCCTAGGTTCTCTATCTAGGCCGTGCTTGGTGCGACGAGAGTAAGTAGCTATTTTTTTTTTTTCTCGTGAAAATCCACACAATGTCTTGGCCCGGGTCGGCTTTCGCATCTGTTAGGGAGTACTCCGTACTTACAGAGAGGGGCGGGGAGGGGGGTCAGGCGTGGGATGACAAGACTGTCCATGTCGAAAGAGGCATGCCGAATGGCGAGGCCACTAGCCGACCCCGGATGCTCAAAGATTAAACAGCTCCATGGGATTCTCGGCAGGCCCAGCGTGCAAGCTCGGGGCGGCATTGCGCTATCAGCAACATCATCCCACATAATAACGTGCCTCAGCTATGCAGGGCCGTAGTGCATTGATTTATATTAGCGACCATGGCCTGTTTTATCATGGCTGAAACCCATCCCCCACCATTTGTTCATATCAAAGAGTGACGAGCGGCCCGATGCAAACAGAGACGGAACAGGCAATGATACACGTTGTCTCTTGGAGCCGTGAAGACACAGTCGTAGGTAGTGCGGAAACAGGCTATGAGACCATATCAAAGATCAAAGGTTACACTAACAGTACAATACTTGCCAGGAGCAGCACTCTTTTGTGCCAAAATGTCGGAGCTACTGGGTAGCAGGGAAGCTCTGTGTGTGTGTGTGAGTGTGGAAAACGAGGCTTAGAGTTGACGCAATTAACTGTACTTCGTATGGCACGGCAAGTAACTCTCTGGCAAGCTCCGGCCTCTGCTGAATGTGTACACGTAAGTACATTACCCAGGTAGGTAGTTAATAATAGGAATTGGTTGACGATCCTTTTCTATAACCCATGGGTCTCCTCGGCGATTCTATTGGGCGTGCTGGAGAGGGTCCTCCTGTGTCCTTCGACTTCGGGTTTTGACGGGTTGTAGCGGTGCCGGTTTTTTTTGTTTTTTTTATTTTTTTTTACCTTTTCCTTTCCTGCTCTTTTACGACCCCATGGAGGTGAACGCACGGGGGCCTGAACCAGGCGCGCCAATGAAATTTGAAGATTCTGTATTCTTGCCTATTAGGCAATCACCTAACTCTAGGACAGTCGGTAGGTACATCAGTGATATATGATATATTCGTATGATGCTGAAGGCGCACTGAAGCTTTCTGGCCAAATCGTGCTGCAGCCTGTAGATGACGTGATAAAAGTAACCACAAGACACGCTCGAGGTATACTACATGTCTCTGGGTGCAGAAAGTACAGATTTCGTTCCCGCTGAGCATCGTGACAGGGAATGAGGATGTGTGTGCCCCTGTCAAGCTGTAAAAAAATTCGAGGCCTTGGCAGCTCGCGATGCTAGCAAGGTCAAGCTCTAAGATTCTGGCCAATCCGCGCCGAGGAACGTGTCCATGTTTGGACAAAAAAAAAAAAGGTCAAAAGCAGGCCTTCCCTATCTAGCACTAGAAGTGTAAGAAGGCACCAACAAGCCCCCGCTAGATATGAGCAAAAATGCAAAACTTTTTCTCACAAAAAAAGGTTCCTACATGTACCTACTATTTACATAACAGGAATATACCCCGGGCAAACATACCGACGGTATAATTCTTTTCGCGTTGTAGAAGGAACTCGGCCCATACAGCAAGGCTGGTTACCCGCCGAGCCATATCACGAAACCTATATCAACCTACTTACTCAAATACTGAAAGACACAACATATTGCAAGGCTCGTGGCTAATAAGACCCTTTCTATAATATATGTGTTGATATCCAAGCCTCATCAGACTTGTCGGTTTATGTAGCATTTTGTGTCTATCTCATGCAACCAGCGTGCCGCCAGCAAGATACCGGATGCAGGTTGGACTTGCCGCGACTTGACTTATCCCCGAGTACAGGCGCCCGGAGAGCCGCTTGGTGGATGCTTGTGGAGAGAATGCGAGCCTCATCACGCCGTGACATGCGGCACTGAGGAGCATTGTTGCCTCTTGTAGGGAAAGATATGGCGGACATACTAAATACATACTGCCTAGTCATAGTATAGTAATAAACCGAAAACAAGGCCCTCCAGGTCGGGCCTTTGCACAAATAGGGGGCTTTGACGATGAATCATCTGTAAAGGTTGTACTACGCATCTCACTGGACTCCCAGTTACTATGCTGCCTGCGTAGTAGGTTAAGTCCTAGGTACTGTACTAGATCCCACGCTATACATCACCTGCATGAAATTGCATAGGACCCGAGGCATATCGAGAAAACAGAAGCGCTGTGAATGCTGTGAATGCAGTCCTTGAAGCTCGAAGTCGGTGCTAGGTATGGTTTCGCATACCTTGTGCTACCAATACATCATTGTTGTGTCAAAGGCTGATGACGAGCGCCAACGGGATAGGTTGATAGGTAATCCCATTGCCTGCCTACCTACTACATGTACATATGCAGGTAGTATAAACTTAAACCTGTATATACATGTAGGTAGTTAGATAAATAATAGGGGATCAAAATGGCAGCCGCATAAAATCCCCCCAGAAAAAAAAAGATGAGAATGATCGTGGCCGTTGACGATTTATTTTCCACCTTTCACCTTATCGCCCTCGCTTCCGAAATTCTAGACCTCCCCTCCTCCACCCGCCGATCGTTTCTCATAAAGCGTCTAAAAACTAACGTTCTACTAGCCCCAGACGGGTCCGCGACACCAGCCAACGAACATTCATACAGCAACCCGTGCGCGGTGCTTCTTATTCTAGCCAACAGGGTTGAGTGTGAAGACCCACCGTTACAGTCATTGAAGTGGTGAAGGGGAAAAAAAAAAAAAAAAAGAGGATATTAGAATAAGACTGACGAAAAGAGAAAAGTTTGTCGCAGTCCATTCTCATAGGTATGGCATCTTACTCATCATTCGAGTGTCGGAAATACCTAGGTATCCGATGTAGACAATCATGATGGCTGAGACATGCAGATGATAACTCGTTATTGGTTGCTGCCGAATTCATCACATACAGCCTCCGTTTTCGGCTCTCTTTTCAACACAAATGCCTATAAAAGGATCATATAGTAAGTACCCGAATTAGCTATGTACATATCAGTGGTGACAGTATGGAGTAGATAGATAGATCACATAACTAAGTACATAGTATATCAAAATTTTTTCAATAATCTTCTCCCCATAATAACACGGAATTCTCGCTTAACATGCTCGTCATCAACTCCCCGCCGTAATCATCTAGCAGCATTTACCGAGGGATTAGGTACACATACGCGTACATACCTACATGTACCTACCTATATATGTAGGTATGTAGGTAGGTACTTAATAGGTAGTATACTTTGAGCTGCTTTGCGCACATTGATGATGATCCTTACACTATCGTACTCTGAAAGCATAAATGTACTTTTAGTACTTAACCTCAACCATCCTCGATTGATGCCTGTAGATTCAGGAACCGCTGCGGCTAGGTAGCTGTCATTGACCACTGACTGAGCTCTGTAACGCACATGTGCATTACCCACATGCTACCTACTGTAGGTATATGTAGGCATGGTACCACACTGCTCTCTGGGCAATGGGCATGTCCAGAGATGTCCAAAGTTGTCCCTATCAGACCCATATAGCACCGATATAGCGTCAAAATGTTACCCACCCGAGCTGCATGGATTGACTGCATTACCACCTTGCCGTGTAAGTACTACTGTAAGTATGTAGGAGGCGAGAGGACGAGGGAGGTGTGAGGTGCCCACCAAGCCAAGCCCATGTACCTACCTACCTCTGCGGCATGCCTCGCTATCTGTGGTCCCAAGGCCCCTCCGAGAAAAAACACCAACCAGGTTGCCGAATCGCCCCAAGTGAAGAGACAAGGTCCCATCCTAATTTGTCGTAGGGGTCTAGATACCAAGCTACTCCCAGATACCACCTCGACAGATACCTACATACTCCGTAATGCGTACCTGTTAACTATGTACATATGTAGCTAGGTAGACCTTAGTGCATGTAGTACTCCTGTGTCTGTCCTGTCGTGGTATATTATCATTCCTACCCGCGGGGCTTCGCTCTCTTTCCTCTCGCTCCCTCGCGCACTATCGTGACTCAACCTCCTACCTCTTCTTTATAACCTGTGTCTATTGCTAAACGTCCTCTAAACTGCCCGAGGCAGCCAAAGGATCCTTCCAACATTTGTATAAATCGGGTTCGGTCGCTAGTGCTCCCAGTGCTGCTAGTCTTCATATCTGTCTAGCCGAGCCTCTCCGCTGTATCTGGTTCAGGAGATATCTTCACCAGTGCTCCCAGCCAACGTTTCGCTTACCAAAGCACCAGGTCTGGCCACTTCAAAACAGGACGACATTTGCGTGGTGTTTTAGTACAATCGGGTGTGGTTGTAGTCGTCAATTCGATTCGGCCGCACTCACCGTGTCAGTTGGCTCCGATCTATCTACGTGCCGGCTAGCGGGGCCCCATATCATCACCGGCGATATCGTCATATCACGGAATTACGTGGTGCTTGTTACTCATATCACGACATACTGCCGGGTGGCCGGTGCTCTTTGTCTTGCATAGCACTTATTGAAACGGGAGAGGATTTTATCGATCGCGCGATACTTGCGATATCTTGTTCGACGCCATTTCGAGCTTGTGAATATTTTATGATACATCTACTTAATAAATCGCATCGTCCCTAGTGAATCGCCAATTGCACCGATATCCGGATCCAAACTCAGTCAACTCTGTTCCGACGGCCACAGCAAATTTCAAAGCACATTCCGGTGACCTCGTCGTCCCGTAACCTCGGGAGTCGGCCTCCAAGTTTTCAGCGCCGTCTGATCACCCCCTTTCGTGAGGGTGTAGAGCACCCCGCTTCAACCCCTCCTCAGGGTCTTGGTCAACAAGGACCCCTACTATCTTCAGCTGGCTAATTTCACCCACCCTTCGTCATATCGCCAAAAGTTCCAATGCATCACCATCGCAGAAAATCCGGTCATACCTCGACAAATTCTTCCATGACTGATGTCCGGAAAGCTGGCGGTGCTGCAGATGCTTCCCGGTCGCGACGGCCACAGACTCTGACGAGAAAGTCAACTCCCCAGGCGCTGCACAAACTAGGCAAGAGCCCCAGGGACCGTGAAAGGGAATGGGAAGAGCAGCAATGGTCGGAGGATGAGAGGGAGAGCTTCCCACAGTATTGGTACGCCTCAACGCCTCCTGTTTCTCACTTGTGTTTCCTTGTCGTTTGTACTTCCCCAAGCCTTGGTGCAGGTGCCATCTTTCGGCGCCAAAAGAACCCATGCATACCCATCAGGACGCCTTGTGTGTAAGCTGCATCATCACATGATGTGTAGCTGATGGGCCACTCCACGTTTTTTGCGTGGGCAGTTCGGTTCATCCCCAAGGGTGGTTCCCCATGTCCCCGTTCCTGCATCCCACGCCTATTACTCAATAATCCGGCTTGCTGACCGGGCTTTATAGCATGACTTGCGAGAAACAGTTCATCGCGCAGGACGAGCGGTTTTTGTATTGTTCTGAGGCGTAAGTCCTTTCCCCAGCACCCAATGAGACTGTATAATTTATTGACTTGCATGTCAGCTGCCGGAGGCATGATCAAAATGCGTCATCATCGCACTCATCGGCTAGAATGCATGGCAGCCACCACAATACTGGGAACCTATCATTCTATGCCACCGGAAAGCCAGAGCCTCGAGATATCATCCCGCGGGCCTCACCGTCTCGTCCTAGTTCGAATTATTTCTCACCTCCCACTACTCCCACTAGCTCTCAATATCCTAGTGCTGTCTCAGCTTTGAGGTCGTTGAGTCGGCGCCCTCCCAGTCCACCGTCGCCGGTGTCTACAAATGCCAGCATCTGGCCATTCGCACGAAGCGCAGCCACAAGCCCTAGCTCCTCATACACCCAACCGCCGAGTGTTTACCCTTCGACATACGATGGGGGTTATCAGTACTCTGCTTACAATTACACCGGCAGCATGATGACATCAGATCGGCCGCTACCCTCGAGGAATCCCCCAGCCTATTCCCGGCCGAAAAGCATTGAGCTCGTGACCCCCATGCTTAGCCGGTATTAGACAAACGACGCACATCAATGGCGATATCTACGACACTACTGTGCCGTTATCGCCCTCGTCCTGCGTTGGTCTGCGCTAGGCACGCGTAGACTCGATAGATGCCTTCCGAGTCTAGCCTAATCACCTTGGCTGTGCAGAAAGTTGTTTTGATTAGCGTGGGGACCTGGACTCGAATTCTTATCTCCAGATCCAATAGTGGCCCCCTCGTTACATTAGCCAAATGCGGGGTACCACTCCGACGCCTTGAAATGGAATATCGAAGCATTTATCCCCACGCCGCATTTGCTAGACAACAAATGCAGCATGAGTGAGCGATCAAGGTCCCTCAGCTATTTCCAGCCTCAGCACTCAATGGTTGGAGTAGAAGATTCACTAAGATGGCTAATAACCCTTCTTCTTGGCGCACTATGGATTGGTGCCTCTCAGCTGCTCTCTGCAACCAGGGAATCGAACTTGCTGTTCGCTCTATCCTGCCAATGTGTTCGCTTCTCATGTCATAATATTCTGCCCTTTTCTTTTATTCTCTCCCATTTGCGTTTTGATATTGGTTTTGGATTGCTGGCGACAGAGATACCTAATAACGTCTTGTTCTTCTTGAAAACTCGAAAATACCAAATGCATATAGAAAGCGTCGATATCGATCGATGCTTCACACACAAAACTGGCGCAAAATGGAATTGGAATCATGAGGCTGCATCAGGGGTTGGGCGGCTTTGAAATCTTTTTATTTGAGATGGGACATCATTGTAGTACTATCCACTACTGATGGATAACCCATGCTTTGTTAACCGATACGCATTTTATGAGCATTTACAGAATACCATGGTGGCTAGCACCCCTCTTACAATTACGCAACTCCTATCTGGACTATATAAGCAAAAATATATATGATATCTAAATTCGTGTCTAGGAGTTCGTGCCTCGAGTGACTGAGCCCTGATAATTCTACTTTTACCATGATATTCAACGGCTCAAGATTGATATTATGTATATACCGATTGTCTACCTACTTCCTCATTCACAACACAGTTGCTTACACCCACCAGCGTTCCGCAGCCTGTGGATTAGACAACGAAAGCTGTGAAAAACCAAGCACGCAACCATTATGGGCCGTACAATTGATTCATAGCACCAGGAACAGCGACGTGAAAAGCTTAGGTGCGGTACAAACGGGATCGGAGATCTACAGTAGCGTGACAAGCCAGGGCCCCGATCGACCGGGGTTCCTCTCCCATGTACCGTATTGTACATGTATGTAAGTATGCGGAGCTATGTACGGGCCAAGATGGATTTTCCGGGGGTCCCACGGCCAGGGCCCTGGTTGAAGTTACGCGGCAATGCGAGTTGCTCAGGCACGAATGCGCAAGTTACAACTTACTTTTACCATTAGGATAGGATATCGGGTCGTCATCGATATGCTGGGTACCTAGATTTTACGGGTACCTGGGGATAGAAAAACTTTTTTTCCCCCTCCCTTTTTCCTTTTGACACATGCTCAAGTAGACTTTTGCGGTAGTTTTAGAGTTCGCGAGACTCCGTTCCCGCTGTCATAGACGCGTCAGACGGTTAGGTAATTCGGCCGGGGCACGGGTGCGGGAAAGGGGGGCCGCGCGTGTTTGGTACCGTACATATTTACTTACTTAAGGACAGGCAGGCTTCGATCTACCGGTACCTTGCGGATCTTGGGATCGGCGCTGGAATTAGTGTCGAGATACTTTATATTGAAACCCGCTTTTTGTCCGCTCGGTGCGTACTTCTTTCGTATTGGGTACGTGTAAGTATTCATGTATGTACTACAGTATGATCGTGTTGTATGTATATTAGTTTTTTTTAACGCGGGTCTAGGGATTTCGCTTTGCCGGCTCCCGATGTGTGAGTCTAACTTTAGCAAGTGGATGGAGATGGAGATGTAGATGTAGATGTACTGCGGTATCGTGTACGGGAACTGGCAAGATGGGTTGAATCGTGTGGTTTACTTAGGTGAGTCATCGAATTTTCTATGTACCTGATGTAGACGCTCGTCTGGTGAGATTGGAGTATTAGGTAGGATACTGTTAGTGTAGTATTGTGTAGATGATGTGATGATTTACGTAAAATGCTCTTCTGTTTCTCACGCCGGCGGTTACGGGTCATGTCTAGGCACGGTTTAGTACTGTATGATATATAGTACCTTCACATTGTAGTGTGTAATAAGAGGCGTGAGCCGTACATCAGATGTAGAAGCGGAGTAACTCGAGAAAGTTTTCTCCCATCGGCATTTTCGATCGTACGATGTAAGTAATCGACTTGTACATGTGTGTGGATGGGGAAGAGGTGATGGGAAAGTCTCCGGCAGTTGATGCGTTTCACGGCGTTTTTACGTCATGGGAATTACGTGGACGTACTGTACCTGGGCCAAATAAGCCACGATCGCTGACTTAGCAGCGACTTTACCGTACAGATATTGTATCGAGTCTAGTTATATTTATCAATGGAGGTTGAGTGATTCAACGGCTGCTGCTAGGAGAGATGTCTGATTGGTCTCTTTGTTCATTTGACTTATGTATCAAAATCTACCTCTTATATATACTATGATCAAATTCTCCTGTATTCTTAGGAATTGCTCATCTTCTATGGTATGTAGATTGCCAATATTTAAAGTTGATGTTGATTAGACTCGATGTGTCAACTTCTATTCTAGATATGATGTTGGAGCTGACGTTTAATAGTAATGGTGGCCCGTGGACATATGGGACTATAATGGAAGTATCAAAAAAGTGTTACACCAAATCGATGTAAGAATGAATGAGAAGATGATGTACTGAACCTACATCTTCACTAGCCAGGTTATGAATAACTACCCGGTTTAAATTCAAGAGTAGGGAGAATATTTTAAAGATATAAATTCTCCTTGATTGAGTTTGATAACTATGAGTTGGGCAGTATGATGCATTGATGTTGCAAGTAGAAGACATTAGCGAGGTATGTATATACTTATGGAGAATCCCCTGTGCGGGGTATAGCTACGCCCACTGTACCTGCCACCAGTCCTTGGATATTAAAGATACCTAAAACTCAACATCCTACTAAAGCAGCAGTTGACATATTAAGTCTACTTGAGTTGACCAAAATATTCATAGAATCGCCCTATGCTAGAGATGAATTAAATACTAGATGTGGTTATATAACACAAAAGATATCATGTAGAGAAATCTATTAATACATACCATGTATTGGATATCTTATCTGAAGGGTAGGCATCAAACTTTTTACTTAAAGAGTAGAGTAACAAGTCTATGATTATACATGAGAGGTAGAGGTTATTTCTGAACTGTTCAGGTTGAGCTTTGACAGGAGTATCTCGAGACCTGATGAGCGTCTACTACTCAATTCTTTTGCTCGATAGTGACTGAGAGTTACTCATTTTGGATATAGGTTGCCTGGTTTGGTCTTGTGGCAGATTGTGGGTTACTTACTGGATAAGTGCATCTCTATGCTTAAGACCAAATGACGTATATGGGGTCATTGTGAAAGTAGGTAGGCGCCTGGGCAGGTGCCTACCACCCACTATCTAGGTCCCTGGGCTCGCCTGGTAGCTACCTACCTACCCTGCTTCTATGCACCTGTGGACCCGATTTACTGCATACCTTACTTACTTAGACTATTCAACCAAGAAAAAAGTTCCCGACGCGACGCGACGACAATATCCTTAGGGAATCAATCGTTCGCCGCGCACGGTTTTGGTTTATGGGACTATGTTTAAATCATTATAATCTTGCGACGCTACAGGGTATTCTCGATGACATAACCAACCTCTGTAGGGTACGGAGCTGTGGCATTTTAGTGGGACATAATGGCGACTTCTGACGATGAAGAAGAACGAATGCGAGTTGACAAGGAAGAAAACGATGCCCTCTCATCAGACTCCAGCGACAGCGAGAATGGTCTGTCTGGCGACGAAGACCCACCTCCAAAGATCGAGTGGCTGGCGACTGGTCGAGAAAAACGATCCACTGCTGGCAATCGTATGAAGTCGATGATTGCTGCAGAGGAACCCGATGACGAACTCGAACTTCTTTTCGCTGAAGATGCCGACGACGCAGGCTTTACAGATGTCGAAGATGAGGGATCTGATGCCCATATGTCATCTTCTGAAGATGAGGATGCACAGGAGAATGCTGACGATCTGGAAGGGGAGAAAGAGCTAGAGAAGCAAGCACGCGAGAGCAGGCAGGCAGCTCGTAAGCGCAAAGCACAAGAGGCAATACCACTCAAATTTCGCAAGAAAGTTAAGATAGACACCTCACAGACGCCAAGCGCAAGCGCTACACCTGCACCTAAACCCAGACCAAGAAAGAAATCAGAGAGAATAAGTTGGCTTCCCTCTCCAGCCGATATGCCTACTAGGGCCTCCAAGCGGGAGACTACGATGGCAGGAAAAGAACAGCTCCATAAGCAAATGGCGGAGCGAGAAGTCAAACGGCTTCAACAGATAGAAGCTATGGAGCGAAAAGCAAAGAGAATGGAGGCCCTCAAGAAACCACCCATGACACAGGCAGAACGCCTTGCTGAGGCAGCACTCGTGGAGAAAAGGAACGCTAAGAGTTTGAATCGCTGGGAAGAAGCCGAAAAGCAACGAGAAGAAGAGAGAAAGGCAAAGTTGGCTGCCTTGAACAACCGAACGCTGGAGGGGCCTGTTGTCACTTTCTGGAGTGGTGTCGGAGAATGGGTAGATGGGAAACTGAAACACGTCGGGAAGATCGTTACCATCGAAGAAAAGCCAACTAAAAAGAAACGACAGTCTGCCGTTGGAGTGGAAGAAACAGCGGATAGCTCACATGAAGACAAACCTGGGCAAACCGATGATATGCGTCCTTCTCCTGATAGACCTACTTCCAATGGTCACAATCCTGGATTGTTAAAGGAAGCCAACCCAAAATCAAAACAAGTCAAGAGTGGCGAGGTGTCTGTATCAGATCATGAAGGCTTGGCTGGCGCGAAAACCGAGAATGTCAAGTCCTCTACGGGCGTTGGGCAAGAAGCCCAACCAGGACATACTGTAATCTCCGAGATAGCTTCAGCTACTCCGCCTATTCCACATACTGCCACTCCAATACAAGAAGCTCCGGGTGCCCTCGCTTCTCGTGGTCAAGCCGTAGGCCCTGTCGAGACTATTTCTCAACCTCAAATACCAGCCCCGGCAGATATCAGGCCACCGGATCTCAAACCCCCTGACCTACAGCCACCTAACACCGGCTTGTACACGACCAGCATGTTCGCACCACCTACTCAGCCGTCATTGATGCAGCCTCTGGACATGAAACCGCCCTCAAATAGTTTTCTAGCACCTCCTGTGGGTGTCTCCCAAACTGGGTTATCTATGCCTATGATTGGATATCAACCTTCATCTAGCTCGACCACTTCTTCTAATGTCCTCGCACCTCCTAACCCGACACATAGACAGTCGCCACTGTCAATGCCTCAAACAAATATCCATGCTCCACCGGTATCGACACCTAACCAACCCGGAGTAGTCACTTCAACACCAATACCTTCGACTTCATCTACACCGTCAACAACTCCGGCCTTTCCTCATGCTCGCGCGTCGAAAGCACCAGGGAGCACTATGAAATCTGCTAAAGCCAATGCTCAAAAGCACTCAACTAAAGAGGCTGCGCCGCCTCCACCGCCGCCGCCACCCGCTAATGGTAAAGCTACACGCAATTGTATCATACTACAAAACTTCAACGAAAATGCAATTAAGGATAAGTCGGTTCAGACTCGTATTTTATTTGGTCGGGAGATGAGTAAACTGCCAAGTAAGCTACCGCAGACATCTGTCTTTACTCACTAGAGGTATATTAACTGTATTACAGAACACGGACCTGCCCCTCGTTGCGTTATTACGAATCATCCGGCGAAGTATCGAGATGCCAAGACGGGTTTACCGTACTACAATGCATACGCCTACAAAGAGATCCGGAAGCTGTACAGCGGCGAGTATAAATGGAGCAGCCTGATAGGCGCATGGGTAGGTAGCGGAAAATCTGCAGCTCTGGGTGTTCCTGCAAGGTTCACGGATCCAGATACGCCGCTACCTGCTAGAGAAAAGGCCGCCCCCGAACCAGTCACGAAGAACGAAGAAGTAACAGATACTAACAAAAATATGAATTGCCAGGCGATGGGCAACAAGGCTGAAGAGGTTTCAACATTGTCTACGTCTCACTTAGATAAGACAGTTTCTTCGGCTACCGAGGGTGAGATAAGTAAAGATACTACGGCCGCGGTCAATGAACCAGGGATAGAACCCGGCAAGGCTGAGGCTCACTTTACTAACACTCAGCCGTGTGTTCCAACAACCACCGCTACATTTGCCGTGGGTACAGATTATACCACCAGCTCAGATGGACCATCGACTAGCAACACTCAGACAGGGCCCCTACACAACATGGACACCGTATCGCCATCCGATGTGACGAACACGCCTTCGAATCCATCGGGGCTACCTATACCAACAGTGGGCCTCTCACCCACACGTCAGGCGGCGCCTCCCTCCACGACTCGTCCTTAGGAACTATGAATCCACGAAAGACGTTGGCGGACTTGAGAATTTGGTAAAGGGCATCGCTTCTTGAAGCCTTCTATGTAGATATAGATATATCAAATTCTCGAAGTATGAAAATAAAGAAGCCCAAAAACAAAAAAAAGATGAGCAACCCTAACGCCTATGCGATGCATGCTTGTTTCATTGGCCATAATTTTCCATGCCATTAATTGTGTGCCGTTTGACACCTCAAGCTACCAAGCCTGCGAGGCTATTGGTAAGCTAGTTTTTCCTCTTCTTCTTGGCCTTGTCTCCGTATTTGGGGAAAACAATCTTGCTTGTTTTCCTGCGCTTCTCAATGCGGCCCTTCTTGCCGCTCGACTTGCTTGATGTAACAGCGCTCTTAGCGGTGTCGATATCCATGGTGTCTACAGAGAATATCACTAGAGTTAAACTCATTTATCGCTAATGAGAGAAAGGTGGGAAACTTACTTTCGCCTGCTGCGGCACCGTCCTTCTCAGTATTATTGCTACCAATGACATCGGCATCCTCGTCGATAATCTTCATACTTTCGTCGTCGGGCTTAGGCGCCGTAGCTAACTCGAGGAGCTTTGCGGAGAGCCGCGCATTGCGCTCCAGTTCGATGGGACCGAAGACTCTGGCCTTGAGGCGTTGATTATTCGCTTTGCGCGAACTTGAGCGGGAGCTCTTCGCCATTGCTCGTCTGGAGTCTGGATTTCTCGCTTGTTGCTTGCTATTGATGTATAATAGAAATCTTGAGCGTGTAAAGAGCAATGGTGAGGGTGTGTTGAATTGACTTGAGAATTTAATGCCTACCTACAAAGTCGATGTCAGGTCTGGGCCGATCAGTTCATCTGAAAAGATTAATGGTCTTTGGTGGGGCTTATCGAAGATCCACGGTGGGCTTTAGCGGACGGAGTAACGGGCAACAGGGGTTCTCGGGCCTTGGCAGGCGTGCAGCGTGGCCATGGTTTTCGAAACAGGCAGGCGGTGAACATTCCCACTACGTCCGGCTCAGCAGCGACGAGGATGAGGACCAGAAGTGACGACAGCCTAATCAATGAACATTTCCGCCCCTCCTTAATAACCACATTCTTTTCTTCCGTTAGAGCAAGTCACATGGCCCCGGTGCTCGTGCTTTGTCTGCAGGAAGCTTGCTCTCAACAATCAGAATTGTGTTTCTAGTTTACTTCTACATAATCCTTGAACATAGCTAGATTACTTAGCTTCTTGGTGCGATCGCAACGACAGATCTGATACGTTTCTTAACGACTTCGTGTCTTTCGACGCCCTTGACATTCCGACGATCGAATCCATCGAAGCACGAGCCCAGAGTCAACCCCGATCCACCGAGGAACTTTGTTAAGAAACGCCGGCGTTCGACCTTTTGATTGCGACACTGAGCCCGTCGATTCTTGAGTCGTAGACGAAGTATCGCGCACGCACGCGCGCCGGGAACCGTCCTTCTTCCCTCGGACTTTGGAACGGAGCGAGACTTCTTGGATACAAGACCTAGGGCGGCTCAATTGATACTGGGGCTTAAAGTGGTTGAAATTGAGGGTAGGCTGCCGGTCAAATTGCAGGGGGCGCAAGCCCGAGCCTTCCCACGCCTTCTCCATGACGCCGAGACAGGCAGTGGCTGCCTTGTCGTCCTCGCGCACCTGCCTGGGCCCGTAGCTACAGAGCCCTAGGGCAGCAGCGCCAGAAACAGCGCCAGCAGCGGTGGTGGGGTGAAATTTGGTGGTGACGGCAGTCGCAGCTATGGCCTCCTCTTCAAACAGCGAAATACGGCAGCTCGAGCGCACTCTTTCCACGCTACTCAACAAGCAGCTACAGTCGATATGCCAGCAGAATAATATGAAGACCAGTGGTGTTAAGGCCGAGTTACAGAACCGCATAAAAGCTGGTGAGTTTGCAAAGCACCCACGTTTTCTGTCTTCAATCTACCACGATCGAGGTCGACTCCGCCCACATTGGGCCCTGACGACTGCGAGTCTCAGGCGGTCGAACGAAGTACCGTGGCTGTTTTTTTTGGATACCTATGCGCTGCTACGAGTATCTCGTGGTTGCATCTTGCTCGCATGGCTCGGAGGCGCGTTCTTAGGTACACATGTACCTGATGTTCTCGCACCTTTCGTATTTCCTTCCCTATGCCACTTATGTACTCCTGGGTTGTGATGAGAGAGACCAATGTGCCAATACATCGCCAATCCTTTCACCTGCATACATATTCTTCACTTCCCACGCTTGTCACCGGAGAGACACCTGCACTATTGGAGCCCTGTTCCCTTCGTTGTACTATCTGGCAGCACTACCACATGCCTGACACGCCTCTCATGTTCCTCTTGCTCTCTACCATAGCCTATCAACTCATCCTATCCTAATTCGATTTACTTGAAAGTGCTTCCATCTAACCTGATTTCTTCAATGATAGCACTCATTGAGAACTATACCGCCGCCCCTTATAACTTCCGCAAGATACAGGAGAGTATCAACAACATAGTGCGTGGTTCTTCAGGGCCCACTCCACAGCAAAACATGGCGAACCCCTTCCCGAATGGTAACTACAATTACCCTCCTGGAAGGGCCTCCGACTATGCGTCACAGACGCACCGATATCCTGGAGCAAGTAACTCAACACAGTCACAGGGCAGTTATGGATCTAGTACGGCAGGTGGCAATACATTGAGCTACTACAGGAATGCGCATCAGAATATGCGTGATTTGCAATTCAAACCGTCGCCCTTTTACTCCATAATATCGAGGATTGGCGATATCCGTACCTGTGACAGTAAGTAAACTGCTATTTGACGCGCGTTTTTAACGGGTGTCGCTAACCTGCCGCAGTTATGAGTCAACACAGGAGCACTGTCGTTATTCCCGTACGTGTCGGAGACCACCCAAATCTCGTCAACCTCTCAAGCGATAAATCATACAGAGTTATGGTGTTTTGCGCAGGTGACCGAGATAATGTCCAAGATATCGCTTTTCCTCATCAAAGCGAGTTCAAGGTGAATGGGGGGGACATAAAAGCGAACCTGCGGGGCTTAAAAGGGAAACCAGGAACTACACGTCCTGTGGATGTGACGAGCGCACTGCGCCTCAAGCCAGCAACTTATAATAATACCATTGAGTTCACATACGCATTGACCAACAAGGTGAAGAAGCACGACCTGCCTCCCGCAACTACAGTGAGCGAAACAGCTTGGCGTTACGCGGCGAGGACATTTGTCACACCTTTACTAATACGATGTGAACAGAAATTTTACTTGGCGGCGTATCTTTGTAAGATGGTAACCGTTGATGAACTAGTCACGAAGATACGGGGAAGAAAGATCGCAAAAGCCACAGTCATCCAAGAGAGTACGTTATCCCGCTCAAGTTCACCTAGGTTAGCAGATGGTTCTGACCTATCATAGTCAACAAGAAGGCAAACGACCCGGATGTCGTAGCTACATCAACTGTTCTATCTTTGAAGTGTCCGCTTAGCTATGCAAGGTTGAGCACACCTTGTCGGTCCGTGCTATGCCAGCATATTCAATGCTTCGATGCAGCCTCGTATTTGCAATTACAGGAACAGGGACCGCAATGGCTATGTCCCATATGTAACCAAGCAGCTCCATTCGAGAATCTAGCCGTTGACGAATACGTTAGAGACATTCTCGAAAATACGGCGGACGCGACCGAGCAAGTAACAATCGAGCCCGACGGGCGATGGTCGGCTCAGAAAACTGAGACTGTGCCGAAGAAATCCCGCCACTCTAATGCTAAGACTAGTATTGATGTTGAAGACGATGTTTCCGTTGTCACAGATAACCTGAGCCATAGTAATGGATACGGCAGCACCCCGCATCCCTACGCTACTCCTATTCGAACTTTCATGAGTGGGGAAACACCCGGGCCGAGCTCAAGGGAGCCGTCGGGCGCGCCGAGATCTGGAGGTACTAAGCGACCTGCCCCTGAAGTTATTGATCTTACTCTCGATAGTGATGAGGATGACGCACCGCTTTTTAGACCGACAAAAAAGGCCAGAGGGTCATATGATATGTAAAGATAGATTTATGTAAATGAGGTTCTCACCTGAGTTTCCTGATCTGCGCTTTTATGTCTTTTGTCGGCGGCGTTCGGCGTAGGGGGGCAGGGCATTCGACATACTTGCGGAAGCGATTGTTTTGACGGAAGGCTAGCAGTTCCGGTTTCCAAGGCGTTGATAGCACATGAGTCTCGCATCTGAGGGATACCAAAATTGGTTGATTCCGACGTAGAGATATATGGATCTCCTCAATCGGATATATTTGCATTTGCATCCCAACATCTGCTTTCATGACTATTCCGAAGCTAATGCCTTTTTGTGTTCATGTGTTGTGCTTTTATCCATTCTACCATGTCGATTTGACCGCTATGTTGACAACCAACAGAAACGTATATCACGACTACTTGCACTAGCGAGTGAACCAAGATTTTGATGTTTTGAGCCTCATGGAAGGTATGCGAGAGAACGTATTTGAGCACGACAGTGCAGCTCGTTACTATTCAAGTTAGATAATTCTAACCATATCCCTTTGAAATACGAAAATAAATATATTTCTGTACTCAGGTGCCAAGAGATTTTTTACAAGGATCTAGGCCAATTAGAACGGGTTATTTAGCCCGTTTACGGGGAAAAGTTGCCTAGATCGATTTCTTGGTATTTGAGTGTGGAAATGGCGTTCTAAGGGATAGATTAGTGGATTTTCTTCATTTTGAAGTATTATCGTAGGCTGCGTGGTTGATGATAAATATATGAGCTGGGCCTATGGGTTATGATTTCAATAGACCGTGTATGTATATATATATATATATATATATATCTGCGTGAAGACCGTATTCAACTTGTAGTATTTTAGGAATATATGAGCAACATGCGACATTTCCAGAGATTCTGATTACCCAGCCGGCTCGACAGTGACCGGGCTCACGATGAGCGTACTGACTATAGAATATATGCTTATCACTGCGCCTTTTCGACATTTCTGATTCGGCGGTTTGCAGGTGCTGCCGTCAGGCATATAATCAATCTATCCAACCAATTATGTGTGGTGGTGGCGTTGGTGTCGGGTCTACAGGCTACACGTCATGGTGGTGTGCTGTATTCCTTTCTCAACCTCACCCTTCAAACACAACAACATATTCATTCTACAGTATGCTCTTGTCAAATATTATTGAGCAATGGCTCCGGTGTCGTGCTGCGGCATCTGGCCTCGGTCGCGTCGAGAAGACAACTCGAGCCACCCCGTGAGGGATACAGATTCGGAGCCACAGCATACGTCGCACGTTAGGCTTGTCATAAGTATGTAGATGAATACACATACACACTTTATCTTCTATTGAATAATCAGGTTAACTGGGCATGCTCACGAGATAGTTCGGCCACAATCTGCGCGCTCAGTTAGCGTACCTCGTTCACATGCATCCATACCGTCACCGCCCCCTGTATGTGGGACAGAAGATCCGGGCAACGTCACACTGAATTCGGTCGAGAACAGCCCCGGGCAGCCGACGACACAGATGACCGATGATGCTAATGCCCGGCCAGACCTCTGGGAGAAGGCAAAAGCCACACTTTCAGGCGAGGACCGGGCATGGGTTAACGAGACGGTCGGCACTTCCTTGACACCTGTACATGATATAGTTGACAAGATGATCATCTTAGCTACAGAAAAGCAGCGAGAGTGCGAAACGAGTGGATGGAAAACAGTTCGTCTTGGTAATCATACGATTGCGCTTGAGGAGGTTACTAGCAACATTATCATCTGGCTGAACAAATTCAAAGAAGTCGGGGATACTCTTGTTCAGTATGATCCCGTACACGCCGCTTTGCCCTGGGCTGCCGTGCGGTTCATTCTTCAGGCCGCTATCTCGACCAAGGAGCGAATGGCCGCATCTCTCGCCGTGCTTGAAAAGGCTACTCGCATCATCCATAGATGCCAGGTATTCGAGGAGGTATACAATCGCACGAATGTGGACCATGTCGTTGTCAAAGATCTCGAGTCAAGCTTAGTCCAACTCTATGGTCGTGTTCTCCACGGGTTGATCAAAGCCCACCAGTTTCTCTCTAGAAGTACCCCACTCAAAGTTATATCTGTTGTCTTTCAGCCTGCTGCAGGCTCTGATCTCCTTGCGAGTCTGGAATCTGGCGAGGCCCAGGTCGACCAAGCAGTCATTGCTTGTGAGAGTCATCGCAAGGCTAAGAATGATGCAAGATTTGAGAGCCAGCTGAACGGTCTATTGAAGCTCAACGTTCCTGTCCTTCGCATTGACAAAAATATTGAGAAAGTGCTTCAGCAGCTGGAGTCGGAAAAGTTAACCCGCATCTTAACGTGGATTTCACCCATTAAATTTCAGCTGCATCACAACATAGTCAGCGAGTTGAGAACAAAAGGTACATGTGACTGGCTGCTTCAGTGCTCCAAATTCGGTCAATGGAGTAGTGCGACGTCGTCGATGACACTATGGCTTCAAGGTTTTCGTGAGTAGTCCGCCCTCGTAATCCGTACCTTTCAGACTATAATGTTATTTGGCTTGCTGACAATCTTCAGCTGGCTCTGGGAAAACCTTTCTTACATCTAGGGTTATTGAAGAAATTGAAACAACTCTTGGCGGGAAAGACAATGATGAATGCTTCGCATTCTTTTATTGTAACCGGAACGAAGAAAACCGTCGACATGCCCTTGATGTTCTTAGGAGCTATGTCAGACAGCTGTCAACGACTTCTCACAAACCGGGTTTCATTTACCTTGAGTTGGAGCAGCTCCATCATAAGTGCGAGTCGCGAGGGTCTGGGTGGACACTCGGGTTATGCAAGGAATATCTGATCAAACTCTTGAATCTATACCCCCGTGCGACACTCGTCCTGGACGCACTAGACGAGTGCTGGCCTGAAGAACGAGCGGATCTGCTCGATTTCTTCGATTCCATCCCAAGCAAGTCCTCAAAACCCGTAAGGATATTTATTTCAAGTCGACCCGAAAGCGACCTGCGACAGCGGTTGATTCACCTCCCCAACATTGGCATTGAAGCAACTGACAATGGAGATGACATCGCCAAATTCGTGAGAACAAGTATCGAACGAAATGGGAACTGGAGTAGAGTGCTGCGACAGAATGAGCACCTGAAAGATGATATCGTACAAACTTTGTTGACGCAGAGTAATGGGATGTTCCAGTGGGCCATGTTACAGATCAAGCAGCTCCTCAATCTAGGGACGGAAGGCGAAATACGCAGCCGTTTAGGTAAATTGCCAAAAAGTCTCAAGGCGGCCTATGATGAAATATTCGAAAATATCGAGTGCTTGGAAGCTGACGCTAGAACAATGTCGTTCGCTGCCTTCCGGTGGGTCATGTGCGCGTATGAACCCCTGACAAGTGAAGCACTTCTGGCAGCTATCAATATAAACCCAGAAAAGGAAACCGTCGGATCTGTTGAAACTGCCGATGACGACCTACTTGGTTGGACTGGTCATCTACTGCGGATCGACACCCAGCACAATCCGCCTGCGTGGCGAGTCTCGCATCTGTCGGTTGTTGAGTATCTCGAAACTCACTGGACAATACTAGAAGCCCATTGTTATGTCGCAAAAGCTAGTTTGGTGCTACTGCGAGAAACATTCAGAGACGAGGCTGAGCAGCAGCTGAGTACCTCACTCGAGATATTTCATCCGGGCTATGAACTTCAAGAATATATTCAGTTCAATTGGATTCGGCACGTGCAAACCCAAGAAGATCAAGACATTGATCCTAAACTTGCTTATCTTCTCAAAGCGTTTCTCGGGTCTCTGGAGGAGTCGAGCGTTCACTACCGCGGATGGCGTCGGCGAATTATTTCTGAAACAATAATAGAAGATCAGAAGGTTATTCATAGAATCTCCTTGATAGATATCCTAATGTCCTTCTCTAGGAGCTCTACGACCCCTCTAGCATGCTGCTTTTCGCTCTACAATCTCATACGCGATTGGTGGGACAACACATCACTAGAGTCATTGCCAAAAAGGATTGAAGACGGCGATAACCTTCTCACTATAGCTGCTGCCGCGGGCTCTAAGCCAATTTGTCTCAGACTGTGCGAATTGGGGATGCCAGTCAACACGGCGTGCGAGAGCGAGACAAGCCCGCTTTCCGCTGCGGCGCGGAATGGACACGCCGACATCGTGCGATTTCTTGTCGACAAAGGAGCAGATATCCATCGACCGCTTCAAGATGATTATCGCAGCGTGCTTGAGGTTGCTATAAGTAGAGGCCATATTGACATTGTGCGATTTCTTGTTGACAAAGGAGCAAATATCAATCAGCCGCTCCAAGCACATTATTGCAGTGCCCTTGCAGCTGCTGCAGAACGCGGCCAAATTGACATGGTACGATATCTAGTTGATAAAGAGGCAAATATCAATCAACTGCTAAATGGATATTTTTATAACAGCGCTCTTGCGGCTGCTGCACACTACGGCCATCTAGATGTGGTGCGATTTCTTGTTGGTAGAGGGGCATTTGTTAATATGCCAAGCCAGACCAGGGTCGATACTAGCGCCCTTTACGTTGCGGCAAAATGGGGGTACTTGGAGGTTGTACAGTTCCTTGTCGACAAAGGGGCAATTCTTAATGTGCCGCGCCAGGGCGGGGGCGACATCTGTTTGGCGCTTGGTGCCGCAAGACGAGAACGACGTCATAGCGTTGTAGCATTTCTCATTAGTAAAGGGGCAATAGAATGATGGGTGCTTCACATCAATCATCATATATAACCTATCTCAATGTCGTCTGCAACATTAGGTCAGATACCCAGGTGCAACAACCAATCGATAAGCCGAGCTGTAGTCCCTAGCTCAAACCCCCATGCACTTCCGCATTCCCCAGAGCTTCAGCCCTGCGACCCACCTCTAGTTAGTAGGTTCTAGTTAGGTAACTTCGCCAAAACGACCACATTCGCCAGTGCCTCCGAGAATCATAATAATAATCATAATATCACGCCCAAAATGTCGTCCTTCGATCAGCCATTGCCTCCATATAATGCATCCGACCCCACCGCCACCTTTGTAGGGACCTCATGCCTCGACTTCCTGCTCATCGAGCTAGTGCCCATGGCATACCGGATCGCGAATGAATTAGGGGAAGCAGCCGACGACGCTGGCAGCGGCAGTGGCGGGAACAAGAACAACGAGGAGGCCGGGTCCGTAAGCACATCCGCCGGTACCATAAGTACGGCCCCCGGGACCGCCTCGGCGACGGGGAGGAAAAGCAAGCTAGACGAGGACGAAGAAAGAGAAGCAGTCTTTTTCCGCCTTGAGGGCCTTGGGTATCGTGTGGGATTGGGACTGGTTGAGCGGTATGGCCACGCCCTTCTCGCCCCTCCGCCTATTGACAACTTCACCGTACACATCTCCGTACTACGTACGACCTGTCAGCTTTTGACTTTATACTGACACCAATTTCAACCTCGTAGCTTCTCCCGTGATCGCCCACGGTTCACCGACACGTTAGACGCCATCAAATTCGTGTGCAAAGATCTCTGGATGCTCGTCTTCAAAAAGCAAGTCGACAACCTCAAGACCAATCATCGCGGTGTCTATGTGCTGACGGACCACGCGTTCCGCCCGCTGTCGCGCATGAGCGCCGACGCTGGTGGCCAAGCCGTTGCGCGTGCACAACCCGTATGTACATCTTCTTTCCAATTGATGTTCTTTCAACCCATCCCTTTAGCATTCCTACCGTTCAACTTTTCTCCCTACTGTCATGTTGTTATATATCCACGACTTTCAAGATAACGTGTTTCTCAAAATGTCGAAAAATCTAACAACGATCCCTCAAAACAGTTCCTCTGGTTCCCTTGTGGCATTCTCCGCGGCGCCTTAGCAGCCATGGGCATCAGCTCCACAGTGCAAGCCGAGACAAGCGAGCTACCAGGCGCAGTCTTCCAGATCAAGACAACACCAGCAGCTCCCAAGTAAGCGATAACAAACATAGGTAAAGAAAAGACATAATGAGATATCAGACACCCCATGAAAAGCCTCAATGAAAATCTCCAGACAGATCAGATCAGATCAGATAAGTAAGCGAGAAGACTCTTCTACATAGATAGGACTGGGCCAAGATCTGGGCGGAAGATCTGCGCAGCTCAGCACCCAGAAGTTTTGAGGGGGATACAACGGCATAAAGCCAGACCAAGCGAAGCCAGGCTCAAGGCAGGGAAGAAGGCGCAAATAATCATCTAGAAAGGTGAAATCCAGAACTCGGGTTCTGAAACCCAGACGGTCCGAGGCAGAGATAATCTGTCCGCGAAACAGAAGAGAATGGGCGCAGGCCACGGGATAGGAGACGCAAAATAGCGTCTACCCGGAAACAAGCATAGCACCAATGATAATTTCACTTACGAGTGGAACAACAATTAAAATAAGACTTTTAAGTCCCACACACATACACACACATACACTCTATCTCCCTCAAAGCTCACGACTCAATCTAACCCCAGTATGAATCATCTACCGACCAAGATCTCTATCTATCCACAACAGCGTAAATAAACATTACCTTTCCTCCTCAACCCAGCCCC